ATAGTAGCGCTGCAGGAAGGGCTGGAGACGGCTCTCCAGCCGCTGCAGCTCCTGCAGGACCTCGACATACTCCGCAGGGGATGGATGGCTGTGGACAATCCCGGAAAGTGACCAGGCTGTCCCGAGCCCCGGCCTCACAGTCAGCAGGGCCCGTACCTGTCTCCCCCAGCCCAGCCCAACCCAACCCTTCCTAGGCTAGCATTTTCTGGCCTTTCTTCCTCACCATGGGGAGGCCAGGAAAAGAAATTAACCATCCCCACCTTCCTCGCCACAGACAGCGCCATGCCAGCGAGCGGCAGGACACTAACTGAAAGGAAATGGGGCCATGCGGGCTCTGACTGGGCTGGGAGGGGGCAGGCACTGCTGCCCGGCACAGGTCTCGCAGCTACTCCAGAGGCCTCTGAGCGCCACTGGCACAGCCTGCAGGGGCCCCGAGCAGCGCCTCTGCTCTCCTGGGACCGCTCCTAGTCTTCAGACTACTCAGCAACACCCAGGCCCAAAGGTTCCCGCCGAGGCTCACTTGGGTGCATTCGTCTCCGGAGCAGCTGCTGGCCCTGCTGGCGCTGGTGCTGGTGCTGGCCCCGAGGGTGCGAGCTCGGGGCCCTGGGCTGGAGCACGCTCCTCCACTTCCTCCGCCTCCATGGGCTCCCGGGGCGCTGCTTGGCTTTCAACTGCTTCTGAGGTTTGCGAGCTCAAGGCTCCCGGCTCTGGGGCCATGGCCGGTGCCTGAGGGGGCGGCTGACTGGGCTGTGCTTGGGGTGCCCCTCGACACTGAAGGTGGGGAGAGCCGGGACATCAGACAAACAGTGAGGGTGCTGTAAGGGGTTACTCGGGCCAATGGCACCCCTGCTACACTCCCTATGGCCAACCCCCTAGCCATCATACACAACCAGCTCAAGAAACACAATTAATGACCATGGTATCTGTAAAGAAATTAACAATGGAAAGTAGGGTCTGGGATTTCCTGACCGCCACAGAGAGGGAAAACCACAAGGCTGCAGCAGAACACAAACTAATGAAGTCAGGGCAGCCCAATGTCAAAATATCAGAGTCACAAAACTGACATCAGGGGACGCTTTGTTCACTGGAGGGACGGATGCCACGGGAGTTATCTGACAAGTCCAAAACAAACTCCCCAGAGCAGGAACCAAAAGGACTGGCAAGGACAACAGAGCTCACAAAGATACTTTTCCTGACCAAAGGAACAATTACAGATAAGAGGCCAGATCAGGAAGGCAGGCCTTGTGGGAGCAGCCCAACAGGCCCTCCCCGCAGGCTGCGGAGCGGGGGAGGAGCGGGGGAAGAGACGCACACTGCACTTGTCCACTCACCTCCATTCGGCACAACAAGGTCTGTATGTCCCTGATCATGTGCTGGGCCATCACCAGCCGAACCCGAGGCTCACTCTGCGGTAAGAGAGCAGTCATTAGGGCAGCAGTCAGATCAAACCATGAGCACCACCCGCCACTAAACCAGGTTCTGGGCGTCTCCTCAGCCGGGCCCACCCCGCCTCATGGCCTCCTTCTCCCAGATCCCCTTCCCTGACCTTCCCAGGCCCTGCAATACCTGAATCGGGGCCTGTTCCATGTTGATGTGAACATCCACAGCAGAGCCGTCACTCTGGGGAAAGGGTAAGGGAAGTTGCTCTGGGAGAAGTTGAAGACTAAGGCCTGCACACCTCCAACTCATTCTCTGGAGCCTAGCCTCGTTCCTCAACGTGTCAGGGCCAGACCAGAGGCCTCCACACCCAAGCAAAAAGCTGAGATATCTGTCTCCTGAATGCCTGCTCCTACCACAATGAAAACTAACCTTCCCCCAAAACCCTCCTGTGTGGAACACAAGCTTACAGGAAGATTGAAGGTTCCAACCATGACATAGCTGTTCGCATTCCGGTCATGAACAGAGGCCCCAGGTCCCCGAGTTCCAGGCAGGGGTCCCCCACCATGGGTGGTTGAGGCAGACCCTGTCCCAGAAGATGCTCCAGAAGGGAGCTGAGTTTGAGGAGGAGCCCGTTCCACCAGGTGGATCACCTTTCCCCCAACATCTGCAAAATAAAAGATACACACCAAAACATTGTGTCAGCAGGTAAACCCATGCCTCAGTTCGGCCCGAAGCCCTGAACTGCCTCCCCCACCCCTTACTGTATTCTTGGAGCTTCTTATCATCCTGCAGAACTCGCCCCTGATAGATAAGCCGTTGTTTCTCAGAGGGAATGCTGACAGAGGCAGCAATGTGCTCCTTAAACTCTTTGACATTCATCTGCAAGAATACACAGAAATCAGAGAAGAAAAAGGGAAGAACTTAAGGGAATAACTGACTTGAGGTGAACAGTAAAAACCACTAGAGTAGCCAGCCATGGTGGCATGCTCCTGTAATGCCACCACCTGGGAGGCTGAGACAGGAGGACTGCTGCAGTTCAGGCCAGCCTGGGCTACACAGTGAGTCCAAGGGCACTTGAACTCAAAAAACACACCAATAAAACCACATCACACATTCATTCCCAATTTGTTTTGACTGTGTGGCAATTAAGGTGCAAAGCCCTGAGCCAAGATCCCATGTCAAAATACAAACAATAAACTTAACAAAGCTCAGACTACAGACTCAGAAGAAAATAACAAGGATGAGAAGACAGCCAGTCAGGTACAGTGCTTTGTGCTTCTTTTTTCATCACTCTGAAAAACTCAAGCAGGAGGATCAAAAGTTCAAGCCCAGCCTAAGCAACTTAATGAGACTTTGGCTCAAAAAATAAAGGGCTTGGGATGCAGCTCAGTACCAAGAACCCGAGTTCAAAGCCTAGCACCCCATCATAAAAAAACAAAAAGCCAATTGACATTCCTTGTCTCCTCCTTTGCTTGGCTCCCAAAGGAATGTTTTTAAGAGATATCAGTGACTCCTTCCCAAACACAAAATACTAGTTTATCCCCTGTAATCTCAAAGATAAAAACAAAGGAAAGGACAGAGTGAGGAACCAAGTTAAGGAAGACTAAGAAGGTAAGAAGGGAGCAAAGGGCTGGAGACCTAGCTTAGTGGCAGAGCATTTGCCACGCAAGCACAAAGCTCTGGATTCCACCCCCAACAACATAAAAAAAGGAAGAAGAAAAAATTTTCCCTAGACAAATAATCCTTGAAGAGTATGAGTGATTTACAAAAATCTGTATGATTTTTTTTTTGGTTTGCTTGTATTTTGAGACAGGGTCTTGCTCTGTAGTTTAGGCTGGTTTTGAACCTAACTGTGCAATCCAGGCTGGCCTCGAACTCAGTAATCCACCTGCCACAGCCTCTTAAGTGCTGAGGCTACAGGTGTGTGCTACTACACGCAACAATTCTCTTAAATATGTTTAGGAAACTAAAGATCCATCAGCTCATGATTTGTCTCTAAGAACTACAAGGGAAAAAAACACAGATAACTGTGCTTACACCGTTAAACTCGAGATAATTATTAATTATTGTACCATGGGTACTAATAATCCTACTTGATAGTTTCCTAGCACTGCAATATAGGTTCTGACTTCTATATTTTATAAACAAACAATACAACTGTAATCAAGCTGTCTATAAAAGACATTTGAGATTCCTGAGTTGTTTCCCTTCCCAAAGGCTGGAGTCCATCCACAATAACAGGACACGGAATCCTACTTTCTCTGTACTTCCTTCTGCACTGAGTTCTATTAAGCTGAAGAAAGGCATAATAAAATCTGCCTTATTCATCAATAACTGTACCTTCTCACACAACGAATAACATCAGTGTATGTCCTATCTATAATGAGAACAAGGGAATCAATGAAAATAAAATCTGAAAATCAAGATCTTCTCTCAGTCTAAAGGAGGCAGAGGAAGAGCTAAGGTATCTTCAAAAATACTGGGGTCTCACCTGGGCCCCTACGATAAAGGTCCGAGTCTGAGAGTCCAGGGTCTTCACCAGTACCTCCAGGGTGTCAGGCTCCTCCATAGCGGCGCTAGGACTATCACTGGGCTCCATGGCCAACAGCTCCCTAAGGAAAAGCGAACCGTGGGAGACCTGATGTAACCCGTAACAGATTTTATACACCCGGAAGCCTCCCTGGCCTGAATCTCCGCCCAAATACCTAAAAAGTTTCTTCTACTCAAGCACACATACTCACACCCACCCCCATCTTCCTTCTGATTCCGGGGTACAGGGAGAGAAACACAAAGGGCAGGGGATCGACGACACAGGAGTTGAAGGACGGAAGGTGGGAGGGGCTCCACAATGCCAATCATAATAAGAGAGGACCAGTTGGGCTAGGAATCAGGAAAGAACGCACGAGACCACGACCAGTGTCATCACCGGTCGCCATAGGGCAAGGGCCCCAGAGATAGACAAATCCTGGGGCTACGCGACAGCCGGGGTCGGCGGAGAAAGTGGTTTCGCGCACGCGCGCCACGCCCATCGAACCCGCCTAAATCACTACACGCCCAAGACTCACGCGGGGCTGGAGCGGCTAGCGGACTGTCGCCCTCGTCAGCCTTCCTTCGGTGTTCCAGCAGAGCGGCACAACCAACACGCGGCCCAGCACACATTTACACACATACACACCCCACTGCCCTGCGGCTCCACCCCCGCTGACCCACCATACCGTCACTTCCGGTCTTCCCCAACCAGCTACCGATAGCCACTTCCGTTTCCCCGATCGTATTTGGAGCTCTCTAGGCGGTACTTCCGGCTCCCCCCAGGCTCCGAAGATTTACTTTCGAAGGACACGATGAGAAAGTCCGCGGCCCAAAACAGTGAATTCCTGGGGGAGAGACGGGCAGGGGCCGGCCTAGATGGGAGGGAGCCGAGCACCCTGATGAGGAGCCGCCGCCGCGTCGCCCGGCGGACCTTATTGCGCTTGCGTGAGTCTCAGGACGCATGCGTACACACTAAAGCACCGCCCCATGTCCCCATTGGCTCTGTGCACTCGCCTGTGCGGCGCGCAGGAGCGATAAGTGCAGGTGGCTACTCTAAATGCCTAAAGAAAATAAACCAATACCGTGAGAGACTACGCCTGCCTCCAGAGAGACCGCGGACGATCGTGTGAGCTTTGACCTTCAGACCGAGGCCTCTCCCTCGTTAATCTACGTTAACGGTTTGGCAGGCAGAGCCTTCCATGTGGCACTGTCCTGGCCACCTAAAGCCCTCGAGCGCCCCCCGGCGTCGCCGCGCGCAGCCCCACACTCCGGAAGTCAGCCGACCGCGGCCAGTTGGAGGAGGCTCGAGGGCTTCGTGAGCTAAATATGTCACGGCTTTTGAGGAATTTCAGCAAGCAGCGAGGCGGTTGCCGGCTAGGAGGCTGAGGCAGGAGGATCGCGAGTTCAAACCTAAGTTGAGCGACTTTGTTAAACTCTATTTGAAAAATTAGATCACGGCTGGGAGTGTAGCACATTTCAAAGGCTTGGTACGGAAAAAGGGGCTGAGGGGGAGAAGCCTCAGAATCTGCAGGAGAAGTCTGAAGACCTTGACACGAGACTTGAAGAACCCACCGAAGGGATTTCGGAGGGCTGGACGATTTCATCCTTTCTGCTCGCTCCCCTGCCTTATGTTTATACCAAGGTGTCAGTGTTAAGAGTTGCAGTAGACACCTGTGCAGTGAGCACTTACTTTGTACCAGGCCATTGAGTTTAAAGCCGGCGGGCCTTGGTGGCAAACACCTGTGATCTCAACACTTGGGAGACTGAGGCAGGAGGATTGCTGCAAGTTCCAGGTCAGCCTGAACTACAAGGTGAGACTATCTCAAGACACTAGTCATGGCCCGGCGTGGTGGCTCATGCCTGTAATCCCAGCACGTGGGAGGCTGAGGTGGGAGGATAGTTGCGAGTTCGAGACGAGCCTGGGTGAGCTCAAGGCCAGCCTGAACTGCATAGCGAGACCCTATCTCAAAAAACAAAAAAACACTAGTCATCATTATCGTCATCATCATAATCGTAATACACTGAGCCTTCCACCAACTAGACCTACAACCTTTGGATTAAACTCTTCTTCTTTACTACCCCAAAATTGTTGAACTTAATTATTGTTAAAAAAAAAAAAGTCAAGGGCTGGTGTGTTAGCTTAGTGGTAGTGATTACCTACCGTGGACAACGTCTGGGCTTCCATCCCCAGCACCAGAAATAAACAAATATTTGAACATTGCCCCCAAAATAAAATAGTATGCTGATATCATGACCCAGCCTTTGTTTTAATTAAATCACAAACTGATAGCAAGTCTTCTCTCTCAGGACAAATCTTTGTGTGTGGCAGCTGATGATTTATAAATAATCTATTAAGGGAGACTCATGGCATTAACTTTCCCATCCACTTGGCACTGCCTCTAGACAAGTCTTCCCATCATTAAGAATTTATTCCTCTCCCCAAACCGTAGTAAGTGCTTTGCAAACATTGCTATTAATTATGGCATTATGCCATTTGCAGCTTTATCCTGAGTGCATCCTCTGAGGTTGATGATTTGCCCATTTTACAGACAAGGAATGCAGAGATTGGTGAATTCTGCCTAACACCAGTCTGTCCTCTTTAATCATTAGATTATGTACCCTCTGTTGTTTATTTGACAGGGTCTCATCACGTAGTTTAGGCTGGCCTTGCACTTGCAGTGACCCTCCTGCCTCAGCCTACACAGTACTGAGACGCACTAAGCTCAGCTGTCCCTTTCTAAGTAATACATGGGCAAATGCGCTCACTGGTGTGTCATCAAGCTGCTCCCAGGTAGGTACATAGTTTCCCAATTATAGTAACACAAACTTTAGAAAAGTCCACCATGCCCCTAACTGGTTCATACCTGTTTTGAAACAGGTTATCAGGGCAGGCAAGGTGGCACATGCCTGTAATCCCAGCACTAGAAGGCTGGGGCAAAAGGACTGCCACAGATTCAAGGCCAGCCTGGGCTAACAGTGATACCATGTCTCACAAAAAAAGGCGGGGTATGGACTATATTACAGTGATTTGTGTACACACCTAGTTTCCCCTCTGCTGGCTTCTTCAAGGTCAGGTACTGTGTCTTAGTCGTTTTCCCATCTGCAGGGATTATCCATTTTCTGGCAAACAGCTGGGATCCAAAACAGTTTAAGTGAATGAATGAATCAAAGACCTAATTCAGCCACTTTTTCCAACACTACCCAACACAGCAGGTCTCAGCTCGGACCCGGGTTCAAAGATCCCAGACTTCACTCACAGGGTTCAGCTCTCTGTATAACTCCCCAGATACCGGGGGGTGGGGGTGGGGGGTGGGTACTGTGAAGGGGACCATCCAGAAGAGGGAGAAGAGGGCCCCAGCATGGCAGGTAATCCAGGCCTGAGCTAGAAAACAAGGCTGAAGTTACTCATTAGCAGGTGGAAGGGTCAAGGGTCGAGGCAAGGGGGCTGGAGGCACAGTGGACTGAGCGCGGCAGGAGAAGCAGCGGTACCATCAGAGCACCAGCTCTGCCAACCCCAAGATGTTCCACCAAATCTGGGCTGCTCTGCTGTACCTCTGCGGCATTCTCCTCAACTCTGTCTACCAGTGCCCTGAGCACCCTCCGATCACAGCTCTGGGGGTGGATGAGAAAGAGGTACAGGCTAAGGATCAGGGAGTGGGCACCCCAGACCCACCAGGAGCCGTGCTGGGAAAGGGAGGAGTGAGTGTGGATGCTGAATTGAAGGAAAAAGGCCCGTGCCGTGGTTATCAGGATGGGAATGTGGCCGAACTGGGGCAATGCGGTGTTATCCAAGTGGGCTTGGCATGGACGAGGGGAAAAGTCGGCTCAGGAGTCCTTGTCGTGGAACCGAGCCCGTGGGCTGGGAGGGCGCAGCTCCTCTGCTCCAGGTCTCGCCCGCTGCTGCAGTGCTGCCGTTGGCTGGAGCCTTTGGTGCACCCACCGAGGCCCTCTTCTGCTTCCTTCCTCAATCCAGTTCCCGGAGCCACACCTGGGCCAGTGGTACTTCATCGCAGGGGCAGCACCCACCAAAGAGGAGCTGGCCACCTTTGAGTCTGTGGACAACATCATCTTTAACATGGCTGCAGGCTCCGCCCCAACCCAGCTCCAGCTCAGCGCCACCATCCGCACGTGAGTGCTGGGGGCACCGGTGCCCAAAGCCCGGGCCCTCGTTCTCAGTCCACTGTGGTCAGTATCTCTGCCAGTTGCCCTGTCCCTTAGGAGCTGGGAACCAGGCATGCGCTGGGTGCAGGGAAGGACTACGATGAAGCGAGGTGGGAGCTGTGTCATTGTGGTGACACTCAGTCCTCTTTCCTGGCCCCTGCCACCGCAGGAAAAATGGGTTCTGTGTACCCCGGAAATGGATCTACCACTTGACCAAAGGGAGCACAGATCTCAGCACCGAAGGTTGGGTTCCAGCAGCTCTCACTCTTCCCAGCCCCCTCACCAACTCAACTCGCACCTCTGTCCTCACGGACCTTCCCCTACTCGGTGCACCCTGACAGGTCGCCCTGACATGAGGACCGAGCTGTTCGCCAGCTCATGCCCCCGTGGTATCATGCTGAAAGAGACAGGCCAGGGCTACCAGCGCTTCCTCCTCTACAGTGAGTAGATGCAGGGCAGGCAGTGCAGAGGACCAGTGTAGATGGGGCCATTTCTCTGGGCCCTCTGCTGTCCTCCATGAAGACCCCCAGGGTGTGGTGCTGAGAAATGGGCTCTGCCCAGCCTGGCTGCCCTTGCCCTTCCAGATCGTTCCCCATACCCTCCGGAGAAGTGTGTGGAGGAATTCCGGTCCCTGACCTCCTGCCTGGACTCCAGAGCCTTCTTACTGATTCCCAGGAATCAAGGTGAGGGGTTAAAGTTTCCCAGGAGACCCGGTCCCACCAGGCATTGGGCAGGTGCCGGATGGGAGGCTCATGTGATCCAACCAGAGCCAGCCCGAGTACATGGCCCAGGTGACATCATCAGAGCAGCCGAGGGGACGTTGCTACTTCTTGCAGGCCACGATGACATCAGAGGAACCCAGCTGAAAGCCGTGATATCACCCAACGGGACAAGGGCAGGCTATGGGCTCCTCAAAAGATAGGCTTCTGAGTCTGACCGGGACAGCACCCCCTTCCCACCAGCCTTGCCTTGGTCTTAGGCTGCTAGAGCCTCTTCTCTTTCCTTCCCCTCCCCTCACAGAGGCCTGTGAGCTGCCCAGCGACCGACCTGGAACCTGAGCTGTGGCTTGAAGGAGATACAGGGCAGCCGAGCTGCCCAGGGGAGGAAACCCAGAGCCCCCTCACAGATAATAAAGATGACCTCCCATCCTTGCCCTGCTTCCTGGTTTCATTTCACCACTCTGCCCAGCCCCTCCACCGTCTGACCTCTGCTGGACGGCATCAGGAAGGACACTGGTGGGACAATGCTCACATTGTAGTGGTGTATTTAGGGATTAGTGTGACACAGGTATTTATTGCTGGGTGAGCAAACCCCTGACCCCTCGTGGAGTCTCCAAGCTCCATCCCCCTGCCTGTCCGGCCCTCTGAGCTGCCCTCCACGGTACTGCCCACACCATCCCACTCATGACCCCAGTGAGCCCCAATCTTCCCTGCAGGCATCCTGCTCCGTGGGTCCAGTGCAGACTCTATCCCCCAGCCTCACACCCTGACTTCGAGCAAAGCCCCCACTCCTGCCTAGGTGGCCCAGGTTCTGGGACCCCCCACCCCCCAGGGACACCGCGGGCTCCCAGCTACTTTCTCCCTGCAGAGCTTTCGGTCCTGCTTCTCTCTGGAAAGGACCCTCTGTTCTCTATGCTCCACCATCACACTTTTTTTTTTTTGGCTTTTTAAAAAGAGGTGAAGGAAAAAACTATAGGTGGAAGAAATATAAAAGCAAAGGGTAACAACAGCTGGTGAATCCAGGGCGATGTCCCACCATCCACAGTCAGGGTGCTGACAGCTCTGTTCCCTCCTGTGGAGGAAGAGGCCCTGTGCGGTGCTCCTTGGGGCTGCTTCCCCGTCCCTGAGGTCCCTGTGCTCAAGACGCACCATTCCTCCTAAAGGCCACACTAGCTTCTTCCCTCCTTGCCCCCACTATGGCCCCAGCCCCTTCCCTGGCTCTCCTCTCTGCTCCTGGCCCTCACTCCGGAGCCCCTCGCCGTCCCAGTCAGTGGCAGCTTCACCCGCACCAGGCTCCCGGAGGCTGACAGCCAGCACCAGGGCCTGCAGGAGGCCGAAGAGGCAGGCGAAGTGCAGGGGGTGGGCGGTCAGTAGACTCAGCACGGCGTGGAGCCCGTGCAGGGCAGCCAGGAAGGACAGCAACCCGTGCAGCCAGAGGCCCAGAGGCCCCCGGAGCCCCAGTGCGTCCAAGGCCAGGCGCAGGGGCCGGGAACACACAGCCAGCAGGGCTGAGGCCAGCAACTCCAGCAGGTGCAGCGTCAGGTTGGTGGAGATCTGCAGACGCTCCTCGGGGTCCCCTGGGGGAGCCCCTGGTTCCCCTCGCAGCCAGCCCAGCAGCTTCTGGCGTCGGCCAGGTTTCTCCACTGAGGCCTCTGGCCCAAGGACACCCAGTCCCCCTTCAGGGGCAGCAGTGGGTCTCGTGGTGCCCCCTGAGTCCACAGGGTCCCGTCCAGGTGTTGGACTGGCTCCTCTGGCTTCCAGTAGCCCGGACTCTTGAGTGCCCCCCGGAGTATGGTCCCATTTGGGGGAATCCACTCTCCTGCTCCCGGACTGCTCAACTTGGGGCTCCCTGCTTGGCTGCGGAGCGGCCCTGGAGCTCCTCAGTGTCCCCGAGTCCTTAGTCTTGGGAGTTCCCACATCTCCCATGGATTCTGGGGCACTGTCCCAGTCGCTGCCCGAATTCTCAGGGGAGCTATCCACCCATCTGGGTTCGGGGGCAGGCGCGGCAGGCCGTGTTGCTTTCCGGCGGCCCCACGGGCGAGGGAGCCAGCCACCAAGCCGTCGCAGGAACATTGCTGGGGTGTGCGAGGAGCGCCCCCAGGTTCAGGACCACTTTTGGACCCTTCACGGGCCCCCTTTGGAAGGCAGACTCTGCTCAGGTTTACAACAGGTAATTGGTGATGCCGCCTACTCCGAATTCATAAAGGGCCCCCCATTTCCCCGGACGGTCATGCAGCGTCCAGCGTGGCTTAGCTTCTTTTCAGTTCGGGGTAAAAAAGAAACGCCACCCGCAGACTTCAGTCTCAGGGCCTCACCAGGCCTGGGTCACCCCCACAGAATCCTCTAATTCCGGATTTCTTTCCCAGCGGGCAGCACCCCAAGTTTCACTCACCAAGGCCACGCCCCAAGGTGCCCCAGAAACCGGTGCGGAGGAGGTGCTCCATCAAGGAGGTCGCTAGGCGGCCGGGGTCCTTCGCTCCTCCTGGAGCCAAGGAGCCCTACACCGCCGCCCCCGGCAGCTCACGGAACAGGAAGTCTCTGCGGAGACGGATGAAGGAGTCCAGCTCTCCCTAGCCTGTGGCGTACCTCTTTCGATTTAGGGGCAACGATTCCCACAACGTGGCCCACCCCCGCGGCCGTGAAGGCGCAGCAAATAAGCCGCGTCCTCAAGGTCAAGACGGAGATGTCCTTAGAGATCCCAGCCTCCGAGCGCAGCACGGGCCGACGCGCCCGGGCGTTCTGCTTCTCCGCTCCACCGCCACAGACCCAGCGCTGCGGCCCGGCCTCGCGGAGGCGCCCGGAGCCGCCGAGCCCGGAAGCAGCTGCATCGGCGGGAGGGGAGGGGCGGAGCCGCAGCTGGGGCGGGGCCTGCTGAGCGCCCGCCCCCTTCCGTGGAGCCTATGGGGTAGCGCCTGGGCCGAGTCTTCTGCATCTGTGTCCCACCCCCACCCCTCCCAGGGACCCCGCGGCCTCTCTAACCCCGCCTTCCCCTGTCCTGGGGTCTCTGCACATCCCCCTTCACTGCTCGCCTGTGACTTCAAGGCAGGCCTTATAGAAAGGAAAATGATGCTACAAGCCGGGGACCCAGCAGCGATGCTTTGCCCACCCGTCAGGGCCCGGGCTCTACGAGCTCCTCCTGGGCCCGGCACCCGGCTGAGCGCGGCCAGCAACGGGGCATAGGGTTGAGGCTTGTGGGCCTGCAGGATGTTTCCCTGCCCGCAGGCGCTTCAGTAGTGAAATGAAGAATTTGGACTTAGCCAGAGGAGGACTGAGTTCGAGGCCAACCTGAACTACACAGACCCTGTCTCAAAACGAAAAGTAAAGCTTGGACTGGAAGTATATGAGTTATGACCCAAACCTAAGCAGCACCTAGGATAGTTAACTTTAGGCCTTCTCGTGGTAGGGGCTTTCCTTGACTATCCCTAAGAGCATGCATCAAAATACTCGTTTTAATTTTTTTTAGTATATGTGCTCTGAAGCGAGCACTCTGTTTTGTATTTGTTTTGTTTTTGTTTTTTGAGATAGAGTCTCACTATGTGAGGCTGGCCTTTAATTTACTATACAACCCTGGCCAACCTCACAGTGATCCCCCTGCTTCAGCCTCCCAAAGGTCAGGATTACAGGCATGTGCCACCATACCAGGCTTGATTTCTTGAGAATAGCCATTCTTTCTGGAGTGAGATGGAACTTCAGCATTAATTTGCATTTCTTGATGCCCAGTGATGGTGAACATTTTTTCATGTGCTTATTTGCTGTTCCTACATCTGAAAAGTGTGTATCCATTTCAGATGGTCATTTTTGGACTGGGTCTTTAAATTTGGGAGGCTTTTTTTGTTTTGTTTTGTTTTGTTTTGTTTTTGTATTTTTGAAGCAGGGTCTCTCTATGCAGTTCAGGCTGGCCTTGGGCTCACTTTGTAGCCCCAGGCTGGTCTCCAACTTGCAACTTTCTCCTGCCTCAGCCTCCTGAGTGCTGGGATTACAGGTGTGAGCCACCACATGCGGGTATTTTTTTTGAATTGTTTTTTTAAGTGTTTCACATATTTAATGCAATTCCCACATGCTATTAACAGAACCTCACAGAAGGAGAGAAAACCTCCTCCTCCTTCTTCTTCTTTCTCTTCTCCTTCTTCTTTTTTGTACCGGAGATCAAACTCATGACCTTGCACTTGCCAGGCCAGTGCTTATGCCACTAAGCTAACTCTCCGGCTTGAATTCTTTATATATTCTAGATAGTTGTGCTTTGAGGAAGAGCTGGCAAAAAAATTTTCCCACTGTCTGGGTTATCTCTTCATTCTGCTGGCTTCTCTTGCTATGCAAAAGCTTTTTAATAAGATGAGATTCCAGCTCTGTGTTGAGTCTGATTTCCTGTGCAATCAGGGTTTTGTTCAGAAAGTCTCTCCCCACACCAGCGTCTTCACCAGTTTTACCTCATCGATCTTCCAGCAGATTTAATATTTCTGTCTTAATATTTAAATCTTTGATCCATTTCAATTTTAGTTTAGTGCATGGTAAAAGATACAGGTATACTTTTTTGTTGTTGTTGTTGTTTTGTTTTTCCTTTTTATCGGTCCCGGGGATCGAACTCACGACTGCCCGCTTGCAAGGCAGGAGTTTATGCCGCTGAGCTAAATCCCCAGCCCCCGATACAGGTATACTTTTAATCTTCAGCTGTAGAAAGCCATTTTCTTTCTTCCAGTGAAGTTGTTTGGCTCCTTTGTCAGGGATAAGGTGGCTGCCGGCCTTGGTGGTACATGTTTGTAATCCCACCAGTTGGAAAGCTGAGGCAGAACTGCTGTGAGTTCGAGACCAGCCTGGACTATGTAACAGGACCCTCTCAAAAAAAATAAAAATATGGGGTTAGGGATTTAGCTTAGTGGCATAAGCACCTGTGTGGCAAGCACGAGGTTGCAAGTTGGATCCCTAGTACAAAAAAATAAAAAATAAAAACAAACAAAAAAGATAAGGTGGCTGAGTGTGTTTGGAGGTGTTTCTGAATCTTCTGTTCCACTGATCCTCTGGTCCATTTTTTGGCAGCCAGACTAGCCTTACAAAAGATGCTAAGGGAATTTCTATATCCAGAACAAGAAAAGGGCTGGGGATTTAACTCAGTGGCATACGCACCTGCCTCGCAAGCATGAGGTTGTGAGTTTGATCCCTGGTACAAGAAGAAGAAGGAGAAGGCGAAGAAGAGGAGGAAAAGAGATAATTACTCTCATGAAATTATAAATGTGTTAGAAGAGTAGACACATGAAATAGAAAAGAATTAATATTACCAATACATGAAACATCAAATCATCAAGATGAACAAAAGAAAATAAAAAAGCAAAGAATATTCAAAATGTTCTGCCATGGGGCATGCCACCTTGGAGCCAGCTAATCATGGACTGAAAACTCTACAAACTGTGAGCTAAATAAACCATTCCTTCCTTAATTCTGGGCATTGGGTATTTTGTCTCAGCAACAGAAGTAACCAGCACAGTCACCATATTGATCAAAAGATCAGCTCAACAAGAAGATATAACAACTGCAAATCTATGTGCTTCTAATCTTGGAGAACCCAATTTTATTTAAAAGCCCACTATTAGACCTAAACGGAGAGACAGACTCCCCCAGTAATCATGGAGGATTTGAACATCCCTTTTGGTTTGCATAGATCATCCAAATAAAAAGTCAACCAAGAAACATCAAAGTCACGTGCAGTGACCTATGTCTATAGTCCTAGCACTTTTCAAAGCGGAGGCAGGAGGATAGAAAATTCAAAGCCAGCCTGGACAACTTAGTGAGACCCTGTCTGAAAATAAAAAATTAAAAAAGACTGGTGATGTAACTCAGTGCAAAGACCTTGGATTCATTCCCAGTACTACAAAATAAATAAATAAATTAAGAAGTTAAAACTTAACTGTAAAACAGGCATGATAGTGCATGCCTGTAATCCCAGAACTCGGGAAGCTAAGGCAGAGGAGGATCATTGCAAATTTGAGACCGTCCTGGGCAACACAGTAAGCTCAAGAGCAGCCTGAACTACATAGCGAGACCATGTCTCAAAAAAGACCATAAATAAATAAAGTTTAGCTGTAGTACACATCATATAGTTTTAAACAGACATTTACAGAATATTCCATCCAACAGCTGTGGAATATACATTTTTTACATTAACATGATTTCTCTAGAACAGATCAAATAGTAGGCCATAAAACAAGTCTCAACAAATATAAAAAATTGGAATCACATCCTCTATTTTCTTTTTTTAAACATGCCCTATTTTCTAATCACAGTATAATAAAGCTAGAAGTCAATAAAAATAAAAATTTCAATTACACAGATGAAACTCAGAGACCAAACAACTTTGAATGAAAATGGATTTTGAAGAAATCAGCAAAATTTTTAAACATGGTAACAGAACATACCAAAACTTAGGGATATAGATTTTTAGTACTAACCTGGAAGTTTATAGCAATAAGTATTTTTTTGCTTTTTTTTTTGGAGGGAGTACCAGGAATCAAACTCAGGTGCTTATGCCACTGAGCTATATCCCTGGCCCTTTTTGGTCTTTTTGAGACAGGGTCTCACTATGCAGTTCAGGTTAGCCTTAAGTTCATTTTGTAACCCAGGCTGGTCTTGAACCTGCAACTGTCCTCCTGCCTCAGCCTTCCAAGTACCTTCCCAAGGGCTAACAGGCGTGTGCCATCATGCCTGGCTCAGCATACCTGGCTTAGCAGTAAGTATTGTATTGGTTACTTTTCTCTCATTGCTGAGACAAAAATACCCAACACCCAAAGTCAAAGAGGAAAAGGTTTATTTAGTTTACAGTGTGTAGAAATTTCAGCCCATAGTTGGCTGGCTCCAAGGTTGGGTGAGACAGGCATCATAGAGGGGGAAACAGTTCACGGTGGGCAGAAGGTAGCAAAGTAAGTAGGGGACCTCAACAGTGTCTTTTTGCCCCTTTTATCTTATCTAGGCTACCTTGGGTGGGTGGCACTCTCCCCATTAATCCTACTGCCCTTGAGCCTAGCCCTGTACTATGAATCAGTCACACACTCTAGATCCGGCAACCTCTGAAAAAGTCCCACCTATGACCATACAAAGCCTTTGGCCAGACATTTAAACACAGGCCATGACAAGTACCCACATGAAAAAGTAACAAATGGAAACCTAAAGCAAATAAGTGAATAATCAAATAAACAACCTAATGATATAGTTCAGTGACTTAGAAAAGCAAGAGCAAACCAAAACCAAAATTAGCAGAAATTAGAGCGTATAAAGATTTAAATCCTAAATATCCCTCAAATTCTCATTTGCTCATTTGGAGGGCCTCTAGAAGTTGACTGGCTCATGTGGAACTATGCTCATCACATTAATACGTTGATGAGCTCACAGAACACGCTATTAAGAGGTGGAGGCCGGGTGGAAGTGGATCACTGGGAGCCTTTGCGTTTCTCACTCTCTGCTCTTTCTGTTCCTGGCCTCATCAAGAAGTAATGAGGGAGCCGCCTCCCTCTGCTGTGCCCTTTTGCCATATTTCTGTCTTGGAGACAGGTGGCCATGGATTGAAACTTCTGTTTTCTCTCTCTTTTTTTTTTTTTTGTCTTTTTTCCTTTTATCGGTACCAGGGATCGAACTCATGACTGCCTGCTTGCAAGGCAGGCGCTTATTCCGCTGAGCTAAATACCCAGCCCCAAGATTGAAACTTCTGAAACTGTGGTCCAAAATAAATTACAATAGAGATCATGTATATCTCTCATATACGACAATATCAGGTAGCACACACCTCTGTGAGACACGTTATCTCAGACTGACATCTTCAACATTATGGATCCACATTAGTCCTGTACTAAGCACCTGCTACATGTAATACTTTAAGAAGTTTATTTGTATTTCTCAGATCTGCTGTGTCCTCCAAAGGGCTCTCTGTGTGTGTGTGTGTGTGTGTGTCAGGGTCTCATTCAGGATGACCTTGAACTGTAGTACAGGCTGGCCTCAAATTCATGGGAATCCACCTACCTCAGCCTCAGCCTCCCAAGTGCTGAGATTATAGGTTCTTGTTCTGAATATAAGATATAAAAATTCTCACACCTGGGGAGAATTGAATTTCTGTATCTTCTGGGTTCAGCTTTGGTAATTCATATGTACCTAGGAGTCTGTCCGTTTCTTCTGTGTGTTTTCCTTATTATTAGAATACAGGTTCTTGAATTAGGTATTGATGATCTTCTGGATAGCTTCAGGATCTGATTTCATCCTTTTGTTTGTGCGAGCTTTTTGTTTTGTTTTTTTGTCTTTTTGAGACAGGGTTTTGCTATACAGTTCTGGCTGGATTTGAGCTCATTTTGTAGCCCAGGCTGGTCTCAAACTCCCAAGGATCCTCCTGCCTCAGCCTCCCAGGTGTTGTGATTACAGGCTTGTGCCACCATGCCCGGTTTGTTTTTTGTTTTTTTGAAGCAAGGTCTTGGTTTGAAGTTCAGGATGGATTTGAACTCACTTTGTAGGCCAGGCTGGCTTCAAACCTGCAGAGATTCTCTTGCCTCAGCCTCCTGAGAGCTGGGACTACAGGTGTGTGCTTCCCCTCCCCCCTACCTTTCATCTTTTTTTCTTACTTGCATGGATTTGAATTTCCTTTTACTGATAAGGTTGGCTAATGGTTTGTAATTTAGTATTATTTATTTATTTATTTTGGTACCACGGATTGAACTCACAACCTCACACTTGCCAGGCCAGCACTTATGCTGCTGGGCTAAACCCCCAGCCCTCTCTTTTGATATTTATAATTTCCTCCCTCATATAAGCTTTGGACTTCACTTGCTTTTCTCTTTCTGTAAGTTTGAGGTTCACCATTAGGTTGTTTGAGCTCACTCTGTTCTTTGATATGGGAATTCACTGCTATAAATTTCTCTCATAGGACTATTTTCATTTCATAAACCCCAGAATGTTACATTGGTGTTATCATTTAATTGTAGAAACTAATTTCTTAATTTCACCTGTTGTTCAGGAGGGTAGTTTAATTTCCCTGTGTTTATGAAGTTCTTGTTTCTTTTGCCATTTTTCCCAATTTTACTGCACTATGGTCTGACAATAATCATGGGATAATTTCAATTCCTCTGCATTTACTTAAGCATGTTCTATGACATAGTACGTGGCCTCTTTTAGAGAGTATAACATGTGCAGCTGAAAAGAACGTGTATCTTAATGTGGGGAAGAAAACTTAGTAGATATCTTCTATTTGTTCAAAAGCCTGGTTATTTGTTGACTTTTTGCCTAGTTGATCTATTTGACAGCAGGATATTAAGGTCTCCCATTACAATTGTACCAGTATTTGATTTTTCATATCCATTAATATTTACTTTATACAGTTGGATGTGGTGGCATTTCGTGCATATATAATTCTCTTCCTCTTAAATTATTCCCTTTACAAGGACGTAGCAACCTTCTTTGGTCTATGAATTTTTAATTAAATGTATTTCTTATCTGCAGCATATTATTGGATCTTGCTTCTTGAGCCATTTTTTTTTTCTTTTTCTTTTTTATCAGCACTGGGGATCGAACTCACCACCACACACTTGCAAGGCAGGCGCTTATGCTGCTGAGCTAAATCCCCAGTCCCCCCTTTTTTTTTTTTTTTTTTTTTTTTGTCTTTTTGAAACAGGGTCTCTCTATGCAGTTCAGGCTGGCCTTGAGCTCACTTTGTAGCCAGGCTGGTCTTGAACTCACAATGAGCCTCCTGCCTCAGCCTCCCGAGTGCTGGGATAACAGGCATGAGCCACCATGCCTGGCTCAAAGTAATGCTTCTATTCTGCCAGTCTGTTTCTTTTTTTCTTTTTTCTTTTTTTTGTCTTTTTCCTTTTTATAGGTACCAGGGATCCAACTTACGACCGCCTGCTTGCATGGCAGGCACTTATGCCGCTGAGCTAAATCCCCAGCCCCCAGTCTGTTTCTTTTGATTGGTGAATTGAGATCTTTGATGGCCATAGCCCATATGCGTTGATTTACTCTTGTCACATTGTTTACCTGTTGATGGGGCTGAGGGTTTAGCTCAGCGGCATAAGCGCCTGCCTTGCAAGCAGGCAGTCGTGAGTTCGATCCCTGGTACTGATAAAAAAGAAAAAGACAAAAAAAACAAAACAAAACATTGTTTACCTGTTGTTGATTCCCTTTCCCCCGTCCCCTTGTTTAATTGCTTCCCTTGCCTGTGGATTCATTCTGTTGGGTTTCATGGAGTTTTAGTCCTAGGTATTTTTCTATTTTTTTTTTTTTTTTCTTTTTTGTCTTTTTCCTTTTTATCGGTACCGGGGATCGAACTCACGACTGCCTGCTTGCAAGGCGGGCGCTTATGCCGCTGAGCTAAATCTCCAGCCCCTAGGTATTTTTCTAGAATGTTCACCACCATATTTCAGAGTGCTAGTTTGATGGTAATGAATTTCTTCAGGTGTTCTTTGTCATGGAAGTATCTTATTTCTCTGCCAATTTTGAAAGACAGTTTTGCGGGATACAACAATCTGGGTTGGAAGTTTTTCTTTGAAATGCTTAACTCCAAGCTTTTCTTGACTTGAGGATTTGCATTGAGAAGTTGACTGTGATTATGGCCTGACTTTCCTTTATAGATGATTTGTTTTTCTCTAACAGCTTTTCATATTTTTTTTTTTGTCTTTTTCGTTTTTATCAGTACCAGGGATCCAACTCATGACTGCCTGCTTGCAAGGCAGGTGCTTATGCCGCTGAGCTAAATCCCCAGCCCCTAACAGCGTTTCATATTTTGTTCTTGTGTTGAGTTTCGGAATCTTGACTATTATATTTCTTGGAATAATTTTTTTTAAAAAATCATGGCTAGAGTTCTATATGCTACACTTATCTGTATGTCAAATTCTCTTTTCACGCTTGGGAAGTTTTCTGCCATTAATTCTGTGAACAGCTTTTTTTTATGTCCTTGTTATATCTTGCTTTTTCATTTATGCTGATCAATCTTTTTTTTTTTTTTTAATTTTAGTACTGAGGATCCAACAAAATGACCTTGCACTTGCCAGGCAAGTGCTTATACCACTGAACTAAATCCCCAGCGCCCTACTCTGATCAATCTTGTTATTCTTCTTTGCATTATCTAGCAGCTCTTGGGTTGATTTTTCGTGATCCCTTGCTATTTTTAAGTAATCTTTCTTTTCTTTTCTTTTCTTTTTTTGGTACTGGGGATTGCCTCACAACCTTAGGCTTGCCAAGCAGGCGCTTAAGCTGCTGAGCTAAATCCCCAGCCCTAGTAATCTTTTTTTTCATGATCACTAACCATAACCCTGTCTCCTATACCTGATACTCTGTCCCTACATTGGTTGATTCTGCTACATATACTTTTGATGAAATTTTTAATCTCCTGGATATCTGTATGAATCTTTTTAATGGATTTCATTTCTTTGCTATGTTGGATGGTCATGGTTTCCATCATTTTCCTAAGCTCAATTTTTTTTTTATTTGCATCTTCTCTAGAGTCACTAGCCATGTCTTTCTTTTTTCTTTTATCGGTACTGGGGATTGAACTCACGACCTCCTGCTTGCAAGGCAGGTGCTTATGCCGCTGAGCTAAATCCCCAGCCTCTATGTCTTTCATTATAGTCACCATCTCTGTAGTTTCCTGACAAATTATTTGATTTGATTTTTCTCTAGAGTCTCATTCATCTGCCACATTACTTCTGCTATTACTTCAGAGAGCCCAGGTGGGAGTGGCTTTTGAATTGTTCTATCTCATTGCCCCCCTGGGTTTTCTGGTGAGCTGAAGTCTGGGTTGCATCTAGCTTAAGTGCCTTCTTGTTTTCTATGTTCTTTAGCTTAATTCCTGGATTGATGCTTGTAAATTGCTTATGGTGAGTAGCTTTACAGTTAGTATTGAGAACCCTAAGGAGATAACTATTTTCAGAGGTATCTTCTAGGTGTAGTTGGCTTTTGGGTTTTGATTCTGTTGCAAGATCCTACTTCCTCAATATACTGGGGATGAGAAACAGCTGCCAATTTGCCAGCTTGCCCCTGGTTCTCTGGCACTGGCCCATAGTATTATGACCCTTAAGCAATCTCAATCCTGACATGCCAGGAAAAACTGATCAGAACAACTGTAACACCTTGGCTAACGCAGTACAATCACTAATAACATCAGAATTAAACACAGCCTAGAAAATGACAAATCATGGTAACTATTAATTTTTCACCTTTAATTGTATAAACTATATTTACGGATATATAATGAGATTTAAAAACAAATCAGAAAATTATATACAATATATAAGCCTCAACATGGTAATTTTACCCTCAAAGGAGAAAATTTAAAAGGTGTTGACAGAAAAACAGAGAAATAGAAAAGGAAGATATGATGAGACTGGAGGGCAAAGTAAGATTATTCGAATTTTGGGAAGCTCGTCAAAAAGCCAGGAGGGAAAGAGAGAAAGAAAGAAAAAACTAGAAACAATGTTTACACTCCTATGAAAACAAGAACAAACAATTGAGAAAACAAGGAAAAGAACAAAAATAGGAGAAAAAGCCAGGGATTTAGCTCAGTGGTGTAAGTACCTGCCTGGCAAGCATTTGGTCATGAGTTCAATCCCTGGTACCAAAAAAAAAAAAATCCACTTCAGGTGATGTCTCCGCTGTTACTAGCAGGCAGTGCGGGCAAACAGAGCCTAGATGCATAATTAACCCCAGCAAGTCAGCCATAAATCTATGGCAGGGTAGTGCATAATCCCAGCAAGCCTCCATCCTTAGTCCCACTGAAGTTCAGGGTGGTTTCTGGCCATGAGGCTAGAACCTGTTTGCGCGCCAATTTGAATTCAGTTCTGCCTCATCCTGACACTGGGAGCTGCTAGATGGAGCCAGCCTGCAGCTGCTAAACTCTAAGCTCAGTTGGGCCTCTCCAGGTGGCTACCTGCCAGCCGTCCTTGGTAACTCACCAGCCCTGTGGTCTGCTGCTTCCAAGGCTCCATTCCACTGGCGTTTCTCGGGGAAGGCCTCTGGGTGGGTCTGCAGGTTCTAGCTGCCTTTCAGTGAGTCACTGGAGGTGCCACCTCCTTCTGAGAGGTCTCTCTTCTCTGTCCCTGTGGGCTCCAAGTCTTCCTTCAGAGCCTTGTTGTGTCCCAGGGGCCCCCTGCTTCCTCTTCTGCTTCTCATGCTGTATTCAGCATCTGGATGCTGCATTATAACATTTGGTATCATGACTCCCCCTAACTGTGTGCTCCTTCAGTGCTTTGTTATTTTAAATGCACGAGGGGTCAAATACAGCACTGAGCTAATATCCCAGCCATTTTGAGACAGGGTCTTGCTAAATTCCTCCGCTGGGCTCAAATTTGTAATCCTCCTACCTCAGCCTCCCAGAGTGCTGAGATTACAGGTATGTGCCACCACGCCCTGCTACCATTTCTGAAATCAGTGACAGGAGTGGTCAGAGGGCCCTCCTGGTAGAGGTGTAAATTCCTGGTGAAGGGATCTGAAAAAGGTGGGGCACTCCCAGAACAGTTCAGGACCGGCAGGAAGTTACCATGCCACTGCAGAGGATGCCTCTTCCAGCTCAAGTGAGATGCACATGCGTCCCCAGGCTTCTGTTAGGCTTTCTCACACCAGCTTCCAAAAAAGTAAATAAGCCATAAGGGAGGGAAAAGGTTGATTTATTTCTCAACTGTCAGCAGCTCTCTCCCAAGACCAGAAACCACTGATTAAAACCTGAAGGTTTGGCACCCAGGTAGATCCCAGGAAGTAGAAATCGAAGTGCTCATGTCAGAAGTCCAAGTTCAGACCCTAGTAGCAGACCAGAGTCAAACTGCACTGAGTCAGAACTCCAGGTTCATGTATATCCTGAGGTCCCGCTCCCAGGCCCGACCCTTTTCCTCCTGCCTTCTGTTCTGCTTTCGGCTCAGTGTGGCCACCCGAAGGGCTCTCTCCTTCCCAGACACAGCCCGGGGATCCCGGGCAGGGAAGTGTGTGACTCGAGGCTGGGGTGCCGGTCTGTAGCCCAGTCCTTCCTGGTCCCTCTTGAGGACAGTGGGGATAGGGCTGGCACGGCCTTCACCTCGAGGCCCCAGCCCCATTCCTGGCTCCCAGCCTCCCTTGAGCAGCAGCCTGAAACCGGGGCTGGATGTGGCTACCCCAAGGGGACCCCTGGGGGGCCGGGGACCCCTGGCTAGTGACAGCAGGTGGGCAGTAGATGTGCAGTGGTTGGAATCTTCAAAGCAGGCATTGCAGGTCTCACAGTACTGGGGGATGGAGGAGAGAGCCCTGCGGAGAACAAAGAAAAGCGCTGACGACAGAGAAGGGAAAGGGAGACCTGAGGCCTCAAAAGAGGCTGGCAGTGCGGACGCAGAAGATGCCAGCTTTTCTGCTGAAGAACCAACTGCCTTTCCCCACTCGGCACCACCATTTTGGGTTTTGTTTCGGTGCTGCTGATCTAACCCAAGGCCTCTTGCGTGCCAGGTAAGCCCTTTACTGCTGAGCTACACTCCCAGCCCTTTCTACTTAGCCATAAGGGGCTCAGAAGGAAATGGGGGAAAAAAAGAGTTGGTAACCAAACCTCACAAGCTCGTGGACAAGGGTGGAATAATGACTTCAGCTGTTCTAATACTTAAATATACTGACCAACCTCGATTGATGTGTTTTGAAATTTTTTTTTCCTTTTTGAAGTAAAATAGATTTGGGAAGAAAAAAAATAGAATACCTGACAAATGGCAATATTTTCATAAATATTAACATTGTTTAAAAAAATTAAGAAAGATACATATTTATCCATTAAATCCTAACTAGCCTGTAAGAAAGATGCCTATTGCTCCCATTTCTCAGAAAAGGAAACTGAGACATAGACATAGGTTTCCAAGTTAGTGCAATCAGGAGTTAAATTCTAGAAGCTCACATCCACAGCCACTCCACTCCACTACTTTAACATGGGAAATGAAGAGATCCCTACAGATGCTCTGGGGCTGTCTCTGGTGTGGGCAGCCAGGAAACCTAGAACATGGGTATGGACTAACGCTCTCCTTACCGGTTCCCTGGGTGCCTGGTCTCTCCATGGCTCTCCCTGATCATGCGGGCCACCTCAGGGAAGGCTGCTTCTTCAGCCAGCTGAGCAGCATCCTTGCCACCCAACTCGCAGACCCCCACCCAGGCAGCCCCTCGGTCCAGAAGATAGCGTACAGCAGCTTCCTGGCCCGCTCGGGCAGCACACATCAGGGGGGTCCACCAGAAAGCGTCCCGAGCATTGATATTCCCTCCAGCTCCCTCTGCCTCGCGGGGCTCCAGCAGCCTTCGAAGTTCTGTCATGTTCCCCTCCTGGGCTGCCTTCAGTATCCGCTGGGTGATCTTGTGCTCGTCTACGAAGGAGCTCCCCTGCCCACGTCTTCCCGATGCTCCTGCTTCTGGTGTTGCTTCCCTCACCACTCTTCTTTTCTTCCTCCTTCTCTCCTGGGCAGGCTTTGGCTGGGCTCTCTGGGGTTCAGCGGCAATGGTCTCATCTGCAATCAGGGCCTCATAGAAAGCCCGGGCTGCTGCCCCATCCAGGGTGGGCTCTGGCTCCTTAGGCTGCGGCTGTTGCTGCCCATCCTTCCAGAGGTCACTGGGGTCAGTAGCTGGGGTGAACGAGATGAGTGATGGCCTGGACATGGCTTTGGAGGAACTGGGAAAATGAAGACTAGGTAAGAGTAGGTAAGATAAGGATGAGACAAGTAATCCTAGCCACCCCTACCATGGCCTCTGTGATGACACTGCTACCTCTAGGGACCTCCTGGAACGAGGACAATTAGAATAAAATACATCCTCCTGCCCAAAACTGACCCCACAACTAAGACCTGTGGACCTTATGTAAAAATACATAACCTTTGAACAGACCCTGCCCCTTAGTAGAAGTTAATAAAGAAAATTCTGTGAAGAGCTAGGAATGTAGCTCTATGGTAGAATGCTTGCCTAGCATGTGAGGGTCCTAGATTCCACCTCCAGAACCACGAGAGAGGAAAAAAGGAAAAAAATAAAAATAAAAGAAAAACACTAACTCCACGAGACAGCTGTCTGTAAGTCCTGCTTTGCACCCCACTAACCCTTGACAACAAATGCCAGCCTCTCTCTCTGAACACAATTATGATACATACCATTAAGTAACATCAGTCCAGCCCTTTAGATCTTCCCTGATCCTACTTCGGAGGTCTCTTTCCAAACAAAAACAGACGTGACATTTCTCCGGAAGATTTCGGGAAAAGGCTCCTCCTATCTGCATCCTCTTGCGGCTTCCATCCCGCAAAATCGCACTACTCCAATCTAAAGAGTTGACACAATGCATCACGTGGCCCAAAGACACGTGGCAACAACAACAAAACCGCTCCCAAGGTTCGACTTCCCGCCCCTTTCCAAGTATGCAAGCAAAGCATCGCGAGCCCTGGCAGCGCGAGGCCCAGGGACGCATCGGTTGGGGTCCGGCTTTTACAGAACGCCCCACAATGCCCTTCGCTGCCCTCTATTTGGCACCCCCGCCCCACACTGGTTTTCTGAGGCTGAGAGACCATTCTCCGGGATAAGAAAGGCCTGAGGAGGCTGCGGGAAAGCTGGAGAATGCCAAAGAGCTGTGAAATGAAATAACGTCCCAGTGTCCCGCACCATTACGACCGGGGCTCGAAGAACACACTTAGAGCCCGCAGCAAAACACTCCAAGCCCTAAGAGGAAATGGAGAAATGCAAAGAGATGTTGAACAGCAGAATGGCTGGAGACCCTTCAGGTTAGCGCACTGGACCAGTCTTCCTACCACTCAGCTCTGCTAAGCCCAAGCGCATCCGATCCAAGTCCCTCAACACGGAGCCCAGCGCACCTCCCGTCTCAAGCCAGATGCTGGGTGGGACAGGGTACCAGTCGGAGGTTCTAAGCGAGGCTGACAGGCGAGTGGGTCGATCCGAAATGGGATCAGCCCCCTTGGGCGGCAGTGCTGCACCACGTCTGCACCTAAAGGGAACCGTGTGAGAGGAACATCTGGGAGGGGTTCCGCCGGCTCGCTCCCCACTCCCACCCTCACTCTGCCCCTAAATCTTATAAATTCGCGAATATATTTCCCAGATTCCCTGGCCCAAATCCCCCTTTGACTTCCGCTTCCGGTGGTACCTTGCTGCATCCCGCCCCCAGGGGCGGGGTCTTCCTCAGGGTCCTTGCGACGCCAGAGTCGTGCGCGATTTCTGCTGGGATTCGTAGTTCACGTTTCCCTTGTCTTGCTAGTCTCGCATCCTACTCGGGACCTCACCTCCCGGCGTCCACCGAGGCGTCCGGATGCCGGCGCCTGCGCACTGCTCTCTTCCCCCCGCCCTCCCCAATTTCCATCCCCCCCCCTCTTCGCCTGCCGCCGTCGGGTCCGCGGCCTGCGCTTGAGCGGTCCGCGGCGTTCCTTAGGAGCAGCAGCTCCCCTCCCCCACCCCGCCCCGGTTCCCGTCCCGCAGGTGAGTCTGAGGTCGTAGCTGTGCGGAGTTCCCTGTCTCTAGGTGCGGCACATGGGGATCTCCGCGCCTCGATGTGAGGGCGAAGAAGGAAGTGACCCGGTCTGGCACCTAGGGAAGAAGGGTAGCTGAGGGGCGGAGGCGGGATGTGGAGTCTCGGGTGAAGGGGACCTGACGGCCGCGCCGAGCCAGTGAGAAACGAAGGGCCCGGCTCTTGCTCGGAGGGATAAACTTCGGGACCCCGGGGAAGGGCGCCGGGGCCAGGCAGTCGGTCACCCGCGGAGGTAGGAGGCAGACGGCCCTGCTGGGGCTGCCGCCGAGGGGACCGCGGCCCGGCTCGCACGAGCGCCGGGCGGTGTGAGAGCCAGCGGGTCGCTACCAGGCGGCTTCTCGCCGGTGCTAGAAGTTCAGAGAACTTCCCAGCTCGCAGGAGACGGGCCGAGGGGAGTAAGGGAGGTTGCAGAGGGGTGCCCCAGAGCCTGCGATTCTGTAAGAATGGGCGGCCCCAAATTCTTTCGTGCTAGGAAGCAAGGTGTGGGAGGAGGGAGGATCCCGAAGACAGGGAGAGCCTAGGCTTTACTTGCGCTCTTGTTTTTCCAGCCGAGGTGAAGATGAGTAGCTCCGAAGAGGTGTCCTGGATTTCCTGGTTCTGTGGACTCCGTGGCAATGAATTCTTCTGTGAGGTGAGTTGTCTTAGTCCTCCCTACAGGGCTTCTCCAGATATTCCCTGGGCTAACGTCCCCCGAGGTGTTCAGCTCCCGCACACTTGTCTTACATGTAGGGGCACCCCTTCCTGTGCAGGAAAGATCCTATCAGTAACTCCCCAGTAACCTGCGGTAATGAGGTGAGACTGGGGCCCAGGTGTCCCAGCTCTGCCACCTTGCAGCAGTATGACATTGGACTGGCCAACCTGTACCTTTTCTGTTGCTAGAGTAATATTGGTAGAGCGATTTCCAGTAGGTACTAGGAGAATTGAAACGCTGTTAAAGTGTTTACTAAGGTGCGAAGCTGTGTGTTAACGTAAGGGATTCTACTGCCTGCAGAGACCAAGCTGTTCAGCCCGTTGTCCTCAGAAAGCCAGCTGTCCCTAAGGAGAGGGTAAAACTGGTTCCTAGATACAAGGTGCAGAAGCAGAGAGGGTGATTTTGAAAGGGATGTGTTGTAACTGCCTATTGTTAGAAGAGAAAGACTGAAGGTTTTATGGGAGAGAGTGTGTGTGAGCTTGGAGGAGAGATTCAAATACTTCTGTAGAGTTGAGAATGGGAAACCGGAATAGTTGAAGTTTGTTAAGGACGAGACATCAGAGCACGGTGCCTCGCCAAAGTGGGGATCCTTGTATGTATTAACCTCTTGAATTCTGTGTCCTGGCAGGTGGATGAAGACTACATCCAAGATAAATTTAATCTTACGGGGCTTAATGAGCAGGTGCCTCACTACCGGCAAGCTCTAGACATGATCTTGGACCTGGAGCCTGGTGAGGCATCTTTGGGGTTCAGTATATGGTGGTGCACGTATTTTTCCTCTCTTCCAATTCCCTGTTCATATGCTTACCGATTTTATTTTTATTTTTTGTATTGGAGATTGAACCCATAGCCATTGCAGTATATACCACCACACCCAGGATTTGAATTTTTAAATTTACTTTTGATTTTCCAGCTCCCATCACCCAGGATCCCCTGCTTTATTTTGATCCTCTGCTTGACTCTTGCCCAGTAAACCTGCAACTCAGTTCTGTTCATAATACCACTTCCCTCAAGGGCCCTGTTTACCACCCCTTTCTCTGGCCTTGCAATTTCCAGTCTAGATGTCTAGGTGTTGACGTCTTTGCGCCTCTGTGTTGAAGGAGGGATTGGGAGGCAGAGGAGAGAGCAGAGGCTGAGGGGTGTGGAGAGAAGACAGAGCTGCATTGAGTTGGTAGAAGGGCCAGTCCCAGATTTCTGGGTCAGATACCCCAGCAATGAATAGGGTGAAGTTCCGAGGTGGGTACTTAGCAAACTTAACCAGCGAGTTGCCCTGGGCCATGGGTGGGGTGCCTAGGAAAGCTGAAAAACAAGAGGTTGCATTTGGCCGGCCTGTGTTTCAGATGAAGAGCTGGAAGACAACCCTAACCAGAGCGACCTGATCGAGCAGGCAGCTGAAATGCTTTATGGATTGATCCACGCTCGCTACATCCTCACTAACCGTGGCATCGCCCAGATGGTGAGGCCTCTGCTCCCACTTGATTCCTTCTGGGGCAGTCAGGGAAGCGGAGTTTCCTGCAGTGAGAAGTTGTGCTTCGTTCCTGTCCAGGAGTCTAGCTGAGAAGAGGGGAAGAAGCTCAGGGCTGGGGCCTGGCAACTGCATCCTCGCTGGGGTCGTGCTGAGCGGGTGTTTTCAGGGAGGAGATGAGATCGGGAAGAGTGGTTGTGGAAACACAAGGCTGGCTCTGGTGTTGTGTAGCCCACTGAACAGAAAGCGAGGCAGTGGAGGGGTTTGAGGGCTTGTGTGGGCCAGAGTCAGAGATGGCAGCCACAGCCTTGTGGGCTGGGCTGGGCTGAGCTGAGGAGAGGAGCTGCTTTCTCCCACCCACCGCCCACCCCTTGCACTGTGTTCACCTCAGTTGGAAAAGTACCAGCAGGGAGACTTCGGCTACTGTCCCCGTGTGTACTGTGAGAACCAGCCAATGCTTCCCATCGGTGAGTGATGAAGACAGAGGTGGGCACTGCGCAGCAGTCCTCTGAGGAGCGGGGTCTCCACAAGGCAGTGCCTGAGTCCCAGGGGTGGTTGGGCAGAGCTAGAGGAACGCGTCCTACAGGTTCTGCTGTCTCCCAGGCCTTTCGGACATCCCAGGCGAGGCCATGGTGAAGCTCTACTGCCCCAAGTGCATGGATGTGTACACACCCAAGTCATCAAGGCACCACCACACAGATGGCGCCTACTTTGGCACCGGTTTCCCCCACATGCTCTTCATGGTGCATCCCGAGTACCGGCCCAAGCGACCTGCCAACCAGTTTGTGCCCAGGTGGGGAGCAGTAACAGAATCTCCAGAAGTTGGAGGAAAGGCCCAGGCAGGATTCCCAGGAGGGAGAGGACAGGAGAGGACAGCTCCTCCCAGGGTCAGGCCTTTGCTGGGGATGCACTCAGCAACAAAGGCGCCTGCCTGGCAAGCACAGGGTCCCGAGTTTGATTCCTGCTACCAAAAAAAAAAAAAAAAAAAAAGGCAGCTCTTCCTGTTGAGCAACTGTGGGAAGTTGTTTAATTGACTGTGCCTCAGTTTCTGTGCCCATAAAGCAGGTGGTGCTGGTACACACCTGCAGTGTCTTTATCAGCTTGCCTTGTTTAGAATCACGTGAAATAGCATTTACTCCTACTGTCACAGGTGATCAGCCTTTGCCAGATCCCAGGGCCTGGTTAAACATGGTTTCTCTTCCTGGCATGTTATTTTTATTCTGTACTAGTGAACGAAGGTTCTGCTTTATCCTGAAACAAGTAGTGATGAGTATCTCCTAGAATTTCAGTCCTGTTGTTTTCTTCTTTTGTTTTGTTTTGTCTTTTTTGTTTTTATTGGTACCAGGGATCGAATTCACGACTGCCTGCTTGCAAGGCAGGCGCTTATGCCGCTGAGCTAAATCCCCAGCCCCTTTTATTTGTTTTTGTGTGTGTTTATTGCTGGCCATTGAACCCATGGCCTCGTGCTATGTCCTTAGCTCCCTGTCTTCCTTTCTGTGGTTTGTTTTGTTTGGGGACAGGGTCTCACTGTTACGCAGGCTAAGCTCAGAGTCTTGGGCTCCAGGAAGTCTCCTGCCTCAGCTTCCCTGATAACTGGGGCTAGAGGTGCACACCACCACACCTAGCCTGGAATTTAAGCTTTTTGGGTTTTTTTGTTTTTGTTTTTGTTTGGGGGGGGTTGGTACTGAGGATCTAACTCATGACCTCGTGCTTGCCAGATAGGCGCTTATGCCACTGAGCTAAATCCCTGGTTGGAGTTTGAGTTTTAACGGATGCATAAGATACATTTCCAAATACGAGCAGATGAATTTGAAGTCCACTTTCCATAATAAGCATTGAGGCTGAGGATTTAGCTCAGCAGCATAAGTGCCTGCCTTACAAGTGTGTGGTCATGAGTTTGATCCCTGGTACCGATAAAAAAAAAAGACAAAAATAAAACTACATTTATACCATAATAAGCATTGGGGAAGGCCCGGGTGGAGCTGGGGGGCTAGCAGCAGGGCCAGGACGGGATTCACCCTGCTCTCTGTCCGACCTCTGTCCTGGCCCAGGCTCTACGGTTTCAAGATCCATCCGATGGCTTACCAGCTGCAGCTGCAGGCTGCCAGCAACTTCAAGAGCCCAGTCAAGACGATTCGCTGAGTCCTGCCCTCACTCTGATGCCACTGTTCCTTTGCTGCCACCCTTTGGGGACCCCTCTCTGGTTTTTAGTTTAAATTAAAGGAGTCATTATTGTGGTAGGAGTATGAAATAAAATGGAAGAAAAGGCCACGAGCTAGTCGGCTGGTGCTTGTGGTTGGGGAGGGAAGGTGGTGGTGTGCCGACCTCAGGGCCCTGCCCACCCTTCCTGGGCTGGAAGCCAGCGCAGGTGGGTGCTGTGGATCTGGGTGATGTCTGCAGTGCAGAGCAGAATTCCTACTGGATGTAGGAAGGTCAAGAGGAAAGAAGGTTGGAGACTACAGAACTGTGGCTGTCTATTGCAGCAGGCTTCATCAGTGACACTTACAGTTTTTTTTTTTAGATCTTCCTGTAGTGCAGGCTGGCCTTGAACTCACAGTGATCCTCTTGCCTCAACCTGGCTTTCAATTTAGATTTTAAAAGGAATGCCGGGCATGGTGGTGCATGCCCCTAATCCCAGCACTGGGGAAGCTGAGGCAGGAGGGTCACTGAGTTCAAGGCCGCCTACACTACATGAGGAGGCAGTGTCTCCAAAAAAAAAAAAAAAAAAATGTGTGTGTACAGATGAATGGAGTCCTGGAATAAAGAGCTGCGAGGGTGCAGGGAGGCTAGCGGTGCCTGTGCAACCCCCACTGGGAAAGCAGTGCTCACCTCTAAGGAGGGGACCCGTCCCTGGCCAAGCACAATGGGAACTGCAATTGTGGGGGGAGGGCAGCAGGTGGTGCTAGAGACAACCAGCCCCTGCCCTGAAAGAGAAAGGGGTTCAGGGGGCCTGCAGGAGGGGTAGACACGTGGGTCCCCCTGTCTGGGCCACTGCTCCCACGCTCAGGAACCAGCCCTTGTGGGCGAGCACACCATGTCCCTCCTGCCAGCATAATGACTTCCTCCTCCGGCCAGGGTGCTACCCCAGGCAGAATATAGCCCGCTCCTCCAGCAGCTGCTGTGAGACCACCTGCCGCTCGGGCTCAGGAGCCGTTCCAGAAGGCAGGGCTCCCTGAACCCCGTGATGGAGGGCTCCATGCTGGTCGACCTGCTGGTCCTGGTGGGCTTCGCACTGGGAAAGGGTAAGTGGGCCCCGGGCTGGGAAGGTGAGGTTGTGGCTGGGGCCCTGGGTGCTTGGGCTTCCCACGGCATCTGGGACTGGAGTGAGCCTCTGCTGCCATCCCTCCTCTCCTGTGTGCCCCAGTTCCTGATCCGGAAGTCCGGACCTGCCACTTCTGCCTCTTGGAAGACCCTTTGGTGGGGTGCATTTCTGGCTCGGAGAAGTGCACCATCAGCAGCCCGGCCCCGTGCATGGTGATCTCCATCTTTCATGGTGCGTCGGGCCTGAGGGGACAGGGCTGCTGGGAGCCTGGGTGACAGGAAGAGGACAGCAGAACCTTGAAGGTGGGGTGGGAGTGGAGGCCCTGAGCACATTTTCCCAGCCCCCTCTGAAGATGCCTAGAAGTGGGATCTAGGTAAGGGCTGGGGAGTCTCAGCACAGAAGATCTGGGTTTGGGGACCCTGGTGACCGTCACTAGGGCTCTTGCTGCCCTTTTTGCTCTAGATGTCAAGGTCCGCTTCAACATCCGAGGCTGTGGACAGGTCAACTCCTACCGCTGCCAAGAAAAACGCAACACCTACTTCTCACACTACTGGTACCAGGCCCAGTGTTGTCAGTACGATTACTGCAACTCCTGGGCCAGCCCCCAGCTGCAGAGCGCCCTGCCCGAGCCCTCTGCGAGGCCTCCCGCGCTGCCCCTGTCCCGCACCCAGGCCCGCCGCTTCTACCAGGCCCTAAACCTCTCCTTGCCCCTGCCCAGCCTCAGTGCTGGGAAGAAGTCCAGAAAACCGGCCACCCCGGGCCCCCTGCCCCTGGCGCTGGGCTTGTCTGTTGCCAACCTGCGCCGCCTGTACTTGTTCTTCAACAGCTCCGGAGTTCTGATTCTTCCCAGGGCCAGGACCTGAAGCCTTCCTGTCCCACTTGCACACACAGCGTCCTGCAGGACTCCACTCTGTGCTCCCGTGCACTCTGGGCATCCCTTTGGCACTTCAGCGCCCTGTGGCGTAGGTCTCACCCCTGTCCTGTGCTGCTCTTTCTGCCTCCTAGAAAAACTCAAGTGTGGCTTCGGCCCAGGCCCACGGAGAAAGGCACAGTGGTTCCCATCATCTGAGGGCCCTGCACCCCCACACCAACCACCTGCTCTGACCACTCCGGCCTGGCACTGCCCTCTTATGCCTGTCTCTAAGACTCAGTACCACACTGCCTTTCAGCAGGGAGGATGGCTCGGCCTCCACTGACCCCTCTGCCATCCCGGTCTCCTGCTCTGGCCTCTTGTCACAGTCTTTGGCCTCGGTGGCCTCTTGCACCTCACTAAGCCCTTCTGCACCTGCCAAAAGGGAATAGAGGGGCTGTCGGGGTTTGTTGTGTCCCCAGTGCCCTCCACAATAAACCAGGACCAGGGTACCTCCATGTCGCATCCTTTGTGGGTCGGGTTCCGAGTGGCAGACGTGACAGGTTGAAGAGTTAACTGAATGTGGGAGCCAAGCAGGATTGCAGGGCAGTGCCCACTCTCCCTGGCATTAGGGCTCCCTCACATCCTTGCACACCTCTGCTCAGCCGAAGATCAAAGCACAGGGTTTCAACTCCAGCCACGAAAGGCCTGCAAAACCTAGAGTGTTAAACCCAGTTGATGCCAGGGCTTTTCACTGGAAGAGAAAATTTCCCTCCAGGTAGATTTGAGCCCAGTGCCGAGGGACCTGGGCTTCAGCTGGTCCGTGGTGGTTTCTGAGGATCCTGATAGCCAGGAACTCCTTTGTGGATGTCCAGATGAGAGGGCACTGGAGGGACTGCAGCAGCCAGATCTTCACTTGAATATTTTTGAACAGTTACCAGCATAGAGGAAGCAGTGATGGATTCAGGTCAACCTCTTGTATGCACTCAACAAACGACATAATGCTCTGAGCCAGGCCTTGTGTTAAGCCCCAGGACTCCCAGGTGAGATCTGCCTTTCCAGTACTGCAGCCGAGTGCCAGGACTGGAATCTTCTGAAGGACAGTGCCAGTGTGGCCCAGACCCAGCTTTCCTGACACTTGGGTTAGTCTGTCACTTTGGTCACCTACCCCCGAAGGATGTCACCCCTTAGAATTGAGGGAATGTAATTATCCATGCACATGAGCTTTAGTTAGGCGCACTGGTGCATGCCTGTAGTCCAGGGTATTGGCTTACTGGTCACTGGGACACTACCTGACAGTTAACACTAACAGGGGATTCAGTGGGATTCGTGGCCCGTGGGAGGTAGAGCCAGGAAACAGCACCAGCCAGGAAGTGGCCAGGGGCCATGTGCAGTAGACAGGGTCACACCTCTACCAGCTGCCCAGAAGTGTCCAAAACTGCTCCACCAGCCCTCCGACACTACCCTAACTGTTACAGCCACTACTCGGGAGGTAGAGGCAGGAGGATCACAATTGAGGCCAGCCTGGGCAACACAGACTTAACAAGATGCTGTCTCAAGAAAGAGCTGAGGGAGCCGGGCGGGTGGCGCTCACCTGTCATCCCAGCGCTCAGGAGGCTGAGGCAGGAGGATTGTGGCGAGTTCAAGACCAGCCTGGCAAAGTGAGCTCAAGGCCAGCCTGAACTGCATAGAAAGAACCTGTCTCAAAAGACAAAAATAAAAAAGCTAGCTGAGAGGCTGGGGATTTAGTGCAGCAGCTCAAACTATGTGCCTGGTAAATGCAAGGTCATGAGTTTGATCCCTGGTACCAAAAAAAAGGGCGGGGGGACTGAGAATGGAATTCAGCGGTAAAGCACTTATCTAGCATGCAGTGTGGATGAGGCCCTGGCTTCAGTCATCGGTAGTGCCAGGTGTGTGTGAGCGTGCTTGTGTGTTTGTACACCTTGGAGATAAATGTACCCAGGCGTGACACACACTTAACCGATAATGGTTTGCAGATTACCACATCTACCTCTCAACAAGCTGTGTGGGGCAAAGACACCAATGTTAATTTGTAGATCATGAGCTTTAGGAGGTTGGAAATGGGACAAAATGAAGAACAAACTCTGCCCCCCACCGTCTGGACCCATCTTTCTCTATGACCTCTGTTTTCAGTACAACACAGAAAAAAACAGGTGCAGGGACATACACCTCTAGCCAGTGCTCTGCAGGCCGAGGTGGAGATCACGAGCTCAGTAGTTCATGACCGGCCTGAGCAGCAAAGCAAAAAAAAAAAAAAAGGAAAAGAGAGCACTGTGCAGTAGTCCACACCTGTGAGCCCATCAGTCTGGGAGGCTGAGACAGGAGCATTCCAAGTCTGAGCCCAGCCGGGTGACTTGGTGACTTAGTAAGACCCTGTCTCAAAGGCAGGGGCAGAAAGAAGAGAGCCATGTCGGGCTCCCACAGGTGTGGCAGTGCAGCTGGCAGAGAGCCTTAGGCTGAGGGGTGCCCTCCAGTCACCACCCACGCGGTCTGGCTCAGGGTGGCTCAGGGTGCCTCTCACCTCTGAACCCTTCCAGTTCCTCCTCTTTTTGCACTAGTGCTGAAGCAGAGGCAGGGACCTGGGGCAGAAGCAGAGCTGGCAGCCCCCTCCTGTCCCTGTGGTCAGCAGGTGGCGGGCACTCTCACCTCCTGCAGCCTCCACCTGCCAGAAAAGAGACGAACTGGACGCTTAGCAGATGGGTTTATTTCAGAGGAGACCTGGGGACTTGAGCAAGAGGGGTAGCCTGGGGCAGCATGGGTGTAGGGGTCCAGGCACTTGCAGGTGCCATCAGGAGTGCGGCAGGGAGCGTGGTGTGCACCCCAGAGCCCCTAATGAAGGTAGGTCTCTCGGTTGTGGGGGTCGTTGCAGAAATTCACGAAGCAGCACTGAGAAAACACCCAGAAGCCGGCCACAGGGGCAGGCCGTGTGTGCGTGCAGTCCTGCATCCGCTCCCGGCCACGGCAGTCACTCAGCATGATGTCAGAGCCGCTGGCTGGGGGCACAGCACAATGACAGAAGGTCCCCTACAAGGTCCCTGGGAGTCACCCCTCCCTCCACAGAGATGTACCCCTGCAAGCCGCACCTGCCCCTGCCCAGAGCCACAGAACAGACTGGGAATCGGGTGGCAGTGGGGAGTCCAGTGCACCCTGATGAGGGACTCAGAATTTTCCCAGAAGCAGGAGGGAAAGAGCCATGGAGAACTCGTCCACACCTGGGGGCTGCGTTGGGGGTACATAAGCACTTGGGGGTGAGGAGGAGAGAACCAGGTAGCAAAAAGCTGAGGCAGTGCAGGAGAGGCGAACTGCATACGGCAAGTGGCTGTCACTGGTTTTCTAGACCCTGCTGGTCTGTGGTTACAGTCAGGGCAGACCCTGGCGCCCTGTCCCAAGCAGTCACACGTAAGGCTGTTCCCTGCTGCCTGGCTCCAGGTGGCTAAATACTAGGACCTGACCAGGGGGGCTGGTGGCGGGGTGGCTCAGTGGGCTCAGTCAAGGCTGGCCTCAGAGCAAGGAAGCTGCTTACAAACACACAGAGAAGGGGACTCTCTCTCTCCTCGGGGACCAAGGGTGCCACTGTCTAGGAGGACAGGTGAAAAAGAGTACACACTGTGTATGTTTTGCTAACTTAACAGAGATGAGGAAGGAGAGAATGGGTCCCTCTCCCATGAGGAGAGCAGCCCAGCCTGGCATGGAGACCTAGGAGAAGGCAGAAAAACCCTCAGGGCAGAGGGTGTTGGGCAAGAGGAGGCTGGGGCCAAAGTCAGTGAACAAGGCCATTAAGGTTCAGGGAGAACAAGGCAGGACTCGGAAAGGTGATACTGAAGTATCAGAAGGGTGACACCAGCGGTGCCACAACTCTGCTGATGCTGAGGAGCTGGCACCTGAGGGAGGGCCAGGCTGTGGGAGTCCCCAGGACCCCGGAGGGTGGAAGCCGGGCAGCTGTGGGCCAGCAGGGAAGCGGGGACAGGAAGTGGCTCTGCAGGAGAGACGGGAAGCCTCTCCGGGCCGTGGGCCTGGGACATGGGTGCACCTGAGGCAGTTAAGAGCGGCTGCCTAGGCTCTCTCTGGCCAGGGCTGGGGCGGCAGCAGGCTATGCAGGTAGCATTTTTCCATTTGTTCCCCAGGACTCCGCACTCGCTGGGCACTTGCTGGGCAAGCGCTGCACCAGAGCCCCCAGCTTACCATTCCGTATGTGCACAGTGATGCAGCTGCTGCCCTCCGGCACAAGGCAGATGTCAGACCCTAGCAGGCAGCCCAGCTCCTTGGTCTCAAAGAGACAGCGATAGCAGCGCAGGTATTTGGGGAGTGGAGGTGGCTGAGGGTTGGGGACAACGAGCTTGCCTAGAACACAAAGAGGCAAACACCCTAAGCCCTGCCTGATTCCCACCTATCACTCCCTCCCTGCCTCCAAAAATCCAGACCAGGACCCCAAGCCGGGCTTAATGCATCAGAAGCTTCAGTCCTCACTGAAAGCTCCCAGAGATGAGAAACATTAATTCACCCCTCTGTCTTCAGTGAGTGCTGCAAGAGCTAACAGCACCCTGCACTCGCCCACTCTGAATTCACAGGGAAGGCTGAAGTAGCCGCTCCTCTGTGACTTGGTTTCTGAGTCCTGCACCTTGGATGCTCTTGTGGGCATTCCTGCTTGGGCTCTTGCTTCTTTGTTACTTTGGGCCAGCCGGACCCATTAGTAGCCCAGCCTGTCCTTATGCCATCCTCCTGCCTCAGCTTCCAGACAGCTGGGATTTCTGGCCTGCACCACCGTGCCCAGCTCGGCCCTGTGTTCTTAATCCACAATGCTCCAAAGTGAGAGCAAGAGTGATCACAGGTCAGAGACCATCTCTGTGTCCCTGCAGACTGGAGAACTCAAGCAGACCATACCACTGCTTTTATCTTGATGATGCCTTCACCACCCAGGGGCCCAGCCCACAATAAAGTTTGCCCACCAAAGCGCCCATTCTCTGCTTCTTTCCCCAGTTATATGGGTATCCACCCCATCTACATATCAATGAGTCCCAGACCCAGCAGAGCAGAGCTAACCCTAAAAGGAAACACTTGGGCCCTGGATTTGCTCAGCAGCTCAAACATTTGCCTGTTAAGTGCAAGGTTGCGAGTTCCATCTCAGATACCAAAAATAAATAAAAAAGAAAACCCTTGGAATCTTGTTTCTCTGTAGAAGGTGAGGTTATCAGGCTGGGCTCAGCCTCATTCTACTCTGGAGGCTCTGTTCTGTCACCCTGAGTGTCGCCCCCCCCCCCCAGCTTTCTGTGTTGTCTTCAGCTCTAGAGAGAATCCCTTGGGTGTCTCAATGCAAGTCACAGCTGTGGAACAGGACAGCTCTGGAGTGTCACTAGAACTCTTCCCCAGGGTGACACTTAATCCTGAGTGGTCCTCAAGTCCTCCGGACAAATGGGCCCATCCCGTGGTTCCTGCTGAGCTGAGCCCTTGGTAGGCAGGTTTCTCCAAGCAGCAGGCCGGAAACCCCCCAGGGCTCTGTAGCTACTCACCAACCATGAGATTCACCATCACCAGTACAGTCAAGAGCATCTTGTACAGGGCTTGAGAGGCACTGCGCGGCCCAGAAGCCCTGGACAGAGGCTCACTGCTCATCCTGCCTTGATGTCCGTCGTAGTCCGTAGCCTCCAACCCGAGTTTATATTAGTGGTGAGAGGCTGGCCAAGAGGAAGAAGACTGGCAACATGTTTGGGTGGAAATCAGTGCCAGAACCACTGCAAGGTCAGCACATCCCCACCCACAGCCAGGGCCCTCACTTCCTGGCTCTGGGCAGAGACCCAGCAACAGGAATAGGAGGAGGAAATTTCTTTCATATCCATTCAGCAAAGATTACTGAGTCACTGCATCAGGTGTCGGAGGTCCCACTATACAAAGCCCCTCATCTCACAGGGCACAGTTAGCAAACAAGGTCAATAGGCAAGGTGTGGGGCAGAGTGCATCTGGGAACACAGGCCCAGAGGATTTTTTTTTTTTTTTTTTTGAGACAGGGTCTTGTACAGTTCAAGTTCACTGTGTAGCCCAGACTGGCCTCAAACTCCAGGGATCCTCCTGTCGCAGCCTCCTGAGTCCTGGGATTACAGGCATGTGCCACCACATCCTGCTAGGAATTTCAATAGAGTAATAAGATCTGGCTTTTGAAAAAGACTGGCATTGTTGAACATTGGAGAATAAAACGTTTAACAGTACAGGCCATAAACTAGGAGTGGTGCTGTTGCTGCACCTGTAATCTCAGCATTCTGGGATGCTGAAGCAGACTTGAGCTCAGCCTGTGCAATTTAGTGACACAGGGGAGGGCCTATATTTTAAAAAAGAGAGAGAGAGAAAAAACAAACAAACAAACAAACAAACAAACAAACAGAAAAGCGGACTGGTAATATAGCTCAGGGCCCCAGTCCAGTCCTTCGAGGAGGTGGGAGTGGGCAGCGTGCTGTTCCTGAATCCGGGCGCAGGATGGCGGCCAGGGCTCCCAGCAGAGGCGGGGACTCCAGGCGGTGAAAAAAGCCGAGCTAGTTTAGAAAACCACAGACCAATGAGGCCAGACTGCACGTGGGTCAGGGGAGGCGCGGTCCTGGACAGGGAGGGCCCAGTGGTGGTCGTTCTCCGACAGGGGAAGCTCGGACCTGGATCTGGGCGGCCTCGGGGCCCGATCTCCTGTAAGAGCTCCGCCTTCTGCGCTCCGCTGAGCGCGCCTAGGAGCTGGGGCGGCCGCGCGTGGGAACCCGGGCCCCGGCACCCCGCTCATCCCGGGGTCTCTGCCTCGCGCCCGCGGGGTCCCCATCTCGCTGGCTCCGACACGGGACGTGAGTCTCAGGGCTTTGCTTCAGGTACGTGGGCCTCGGCATCCCGCTCCAGTTCCCCGTGAAAGCTGTACGATCTCGGGGTGTCGATCCTGGCACAACACTGGGGAGGAGAACAGGGCCTAGAAACTCGTGCCGTCTTGGAACCTCAAAGGAGACGCAGGGGGACTGGGGATTTAGCTCAGCGGCATAAGCGCCTGCCTTGCAAGCAGGCAGTCGTGAGTTGGATCCCCGGTACTGATAAAAACGGGGGGGGAGGGCCGAGGGAGGCGGGACGAGAAGGAGGCGGGGCAAGAGAGTGGAGGGAGGGCGGGGCTAACAGGAGGACGATGTGAATCAAGGGGGCAAGGATATAGGCGGGGCTAAAAGGAGGCGGTGTGGAGGAGGGTGGGCGGAGCAAATGGAGGGGCTGGTAGAGCGGGGAGATGGTGGAGAAGTGGGGCGAGGGCAGGCAGGATAAGAGAGAGGGGAGGGAGAGCGGGGCTAAGAGGAGGCGGAGAGAGGGGAGGTGAATCGAGGGGAGGCGGAGAGAGGCGGAGCAAATAGGGGCATGGCCACCGGGGGCGGGGCTATGATGGGGAGGCGGAGCGAGGGAAGGCGGGGCAAGAGCGGCGATGGAGGGCGGGGCTAAGAGGCAGGGCGTGACAAGGAAGGAGAGGCGGAGCCGAACAGGGGTGGGGCTAGAGGAGGCGGGGCGAGGGACCGGGGGTCTGCAGACTCAACGCACCAGTGCGGGCAAAATGTTAGGAGTCTGAGGCTGCACCCTCGCGCACCCTCGGGAGCCCTCCCTCGAATCTGAGAGCTGAGGACCAGGGCCGGGCTGAGGCTGGGCTCCCGCGGGGGTTGCCCTGACAGGTGCTGCGGGACTCGCCTTCGGTTACTGCGCCTGGAGCCAGAACCTGGCTGGAGGGAAGACCTTGGGGGACTGGAGTTGGCCTTCGCGGAGGGCGTGGCCTCTCGTCATTAACCCCGCCCTTTTAAGGTCCCCGCAGTCCGCCGGTAGAGCGAGGCCTGTGCGCGCTAGCGCGTATCCCTGGATATAGTTTCCGTGAAGGCTTTCCTGCGATTAGGCCGGTGCCATAGTCGCCATAGTGACATTGGCAGTGGACTGCATCAGCACCGAGTGCCCCCTCTCTGACAAAGGCTGCCTGGAATAAACATCCCTATGAAACTAAGGAGACAGAGCCTGCTGTCCGAAGACCACATCTGTGGGACTAGGCTGAGGGAAACTGAGGGGCGCGACCCGAGTTATGTTGGGTACAATCTGGAGAGGGACTGAGCAGAGGGTCTTCAGTCTGAATGTGATGAATGACTGGGTTCCCCATCGTGGCACACACCTGTAATCCCAGCGCTCTGGGAGGCTGAGACAGGAAGATTGCAAATGCAAGCCCATCCTGAGCAACTGAGCAATTTAGTGAGACCCTATTAAAAACAAAAAAACCCACGAAGGTTGGGACTGTAGCTTAGCTCTGTCCCCAAGACCTAGGCCATCTCCTCCTGAGCCCTTACTGGTGACAGCTGTACGGGACGCCTCTGGGCCTCTGGGCTTGCACCTCACCCTGGAAGCCTGGGTCCCTGAGACAAGGCGGGATGAGGTGTGATTCTGGCCAGGTTTCCTGCCAGGCTCTAAACTCCTTTCTCCACGCTTTTTCCCTTGCCCTGGTGGGCCCAGCTGCTCAGGTACCCGGGCTTCCCACAGTGGTGGGGTGTCCCCTTCAAGGGACGTCCAGGAAAGCTGGACTCTGCCATGCAGGGCAAGAGAGCGTGCTGCCCCCTGCTGGATCTTCAGGCAAAGGCTGCAGCCGTGAGCTGCCCAGAGAGAAATTGGAAGCAGCAGAGGCCTGCATCAGGCCACCCCTGTCCTACCGGGGTGTCCCAGGGGGAAATGGCAGTAGGGGAAGTCTGTGGAGTCCCTAGGAACTGTGTCAAGAAATGGGGAGCCCTTATCTTTTGGGAGCACACTCTGTATTTGCACTTGAGGTTCCTTTAGCTGAACAAAGTGGTTCCCAGATGAACTGTCACGTGGGACTGGGTGGCCAAGGACCACAGCCGTCCAGCTGACCCCACAGCTGTGCAAGCCCCACTCCCCATTCTGTCGACTCTGTGGGACAGGACATGCGGTGTCAGTGACAGCTTTCCAAGTGTTGGTAATGGGGGAGCATTCCAGAGCTGGGGTAGCTCCTCCTGACCCCAGATTTTAGTGTTCACATCAGCTGGTGAGTCTGTCCCCTTCCTGAGGGATTCTCTATACCAGTGGCAGCAAACCTGTGGCACACGTTTTTCTTCTAAGACAAAATGTTCACGTATGAATTGTTTTTTCTAGACTAAAATCTTAGTACTTAGGTTTAATTATAGTCAAACCTTGTAATAAATAAAGGAGCTTGGGGTTGCAGTTTGGGCACTTGACTCTAAAAGGCTCAGCCTGTGCTTCCCCTTAAGGAGGTGCTGAGAAATGAGGTGGAACTTAGACAGGTCCTGCACTGACTCAGGAACCAGCCAGGCTCTAAGTCCTCATGACATTGCCATCCCTGTTAAGCATCTTTTTAAAATTGTTTTTGAAATAGGGCCTTGCTGTATAGATCAGGCTGGTCTAGAACTCAAAGCAATCCTCCTCCCTCAGCCTCAAATGCTGGGATTACAGGCGTGTGCCTCAGTGCTCAGCATCCCTGTCCAGCATCTTGTGCAGAGCACCTCGACCCTTGGGAGGTAAACTTGGGACTATCTCACCTGGAAAAAGTTTCCCTGGAAGACAGTCCAGCCACAAACGGAGGGGTGGGATGCAGACATGTTTTGACCCACAAGGTGCGAGGGTTAGAAATAGAAGTTATAGAAGCAGCTTCCTCAGCCTAGGAATTTTCCACCCGCAGAGCTGTTGGAAAGGCACAGCAAGGCCCTAAGAGGACAAGAGTCTCTGGGCCACCCCAGCCCTTGCCCCTCCCCATGGCAGGCCCTGTGTTTGTTAAATGCTGAAAGGATGCGAGATTTGGTGGCTGTGCTGCACAAGATGCAGGGAGTGGGCATCTCATCTCCAGGGGCATAGCAAGCGCTGAGCATGGAAATCAGGGAACACTGTGAGGGGTGCTGTAGGTTGGCCTCAGAAACCAGCAGAGGAGGTGAGGAGGTGAATGGGATCCTGAGAAGCACTTTATAAACAAAGCTAAAGAGTTGTAAAAAAAAAACAAAAAAAAAACAAACAAAAAAAAAAAACGAGTTGTGAGCAAGACAGGGCACCTGGGCTGGGGTGGCACAGGAAGAGCTGTGGAGGGGACCAGGCCGAGTGCCAGCCCCAGGCATCGGGGTCCAGGGCCAGGGCACAGAGGCGAGAGGGCAAAGCCACCACCTGCAGTTGGTTTCCCAAAGCCAGGTCCTCTGGGGACCCCCACTGTCCTCACTACCAGCCCCTCGGTCCCTGGGCCCTCAGGGGGGTCATGCGACTAGACAGACAGTAGAAAAAATACCTTTTTATTAATTATTAGGAAGAATGCATTCACTTAATGCAGGGTGTGTGGTGAGGGAGCACGTGCACAGGGAGCAGTGGCGGGGATGTGGCCCCCACTGTCACACACAATCAATGTGAGCAGCGACACACACATCACAAACCGAGGCCCTTCGAGGCCCCTCCCGTCCTCCTTCCAGACAGGTCCGTTGTGGACCCTAGAGGCGCCAGGGCATCTGGAAGTGCTGCGCTGGAAGTGGAGTGCAGTGTGTGGCCTCAAAGTTGTGCAGATGCTTCCGGGCCTGAGAAGAGAGTGGAGCCGGCGGGCACACGCTTGGTGGGGAGCAGGGGTCCTGGACCCCTCCTCACCTCCACCCTGGGAGCCCCATGTGTAAGGATTCCTGTCTCATCCTGTTCGTCCACAGTAACCCGCTCACCAGAAACAAAGCCAACTGCTGGCGTCCCTCAGCCTTCATGTCTTCCCCTGCGGACAAAGAGGACGCTGAGCTGAGCCCGGTGGCGCACCCTGCTGGCTCCCTGCCCACCCGGGCCTGGCCCCTTACCCACACTCCAGGGGAAGTCGGGTCCATGCTCTGCCTGGTAGGAGCGCAGCACGGACACACACCAGTCCTCCTCCACCTCCCAGCGGCTGTAGATGGAGGCTGCGAGGGGACAGAGACACCAGTGTCAACGACAGGGAGAGCTGGCCTTGCTGGGCCGAGCCTCCAGGAGCCCTCACCTTCCTCCAGCTGGGAGGAGGCCTCCAGCCACTGCCGAACCACACGGAGGCCCTCCTCGGCCATCACTCTGGGGTACCTGCAGGAGCCAGACGGCTGCAGATCAGGTTGGATTCGGGCCACCCCAGGAGGGAAGGCCCCCAAGTTCCTCCCTCCCAGCTGGCTCCACACTGTGCTCTTTCTGCATCTGATACTCACCGGAACTGCAGGAGCTTCAGCAGGAGGTCGTTGCCTCGGTTGGACATGATGTCTTCGGGGACCCTGAGGAGACAGGATTGTTCTGTAGTGGCAGTGGCTGGGGGCAGTGGTGGCTGGGACAGCTTCCCAGACATTGCTGGGCTGCAGGGGGCCAAGGACCCACTCACGTGGTGGTGATGATCTCATCCTTGGTTCTCCGGATCAGCAGCACTGGGCCCTGGTACCTTAAGGACAGTGGGAAGAGCTCCGCGGGAGCAGGTGGCAGGTGACAAGTAGCTGGCCCCATCCCACCATAGCATCCTTACCCCCAGCTCCCCAGAGGAATGCCCCACCTCTGGCTGAAGGTCGGGCCCTGAGGGGAACCGGGGCTCCCAGGCCTGGAAGGGGCCAAGCAGGGTCACTAGGGGAACGTGGGCAGGGGCCGGGGGCTGGTTTTCCTTGCACAGCTGTGTGGATGAGGTGGGTGCAGAGCTGAGGTGCTGGACTCCTCAAGCCTCACCTGCACAGCTGCTCTGCGTTGTTTAGATTCAGATGCTGCCTCACTGTCCTGGTCACCAGGGCCCCTAGAGGGAGACAGAGATGAAGGCGTGGCACCGGAAAGTGCCTGCTCCCATCCCCAGGGAGACCCCTGCCCCGATGCACTCACTCCAGCTGTCAGGCATGACCTTCAAGGCCAAGGGGACCAGGTCATCGAAGGAAGCATCCAGGACCACCGCACTGATGTCCGGGTAGCACATGGCTGCCCATGTGGCTGGTACCAGGACAAGAGGACGAGGACTGAGGGGCCCGGCCACCCCATCGTCCCTGCATCTCCTCAGCCCTGCTTCTCAGCCAGGCTAGAGACATCAGGAGTGCAGGGGAGACTAAGGCAGAGACATCCCCTTTCCCATCTCCCCACCCAAGCATGGCTCTACTTCTGATGACCAGGCTGCAGGGACAGAGCTCCCTCCACCCCCCCACCCCCCCGCCACTTCCCCAGTCTCTGCCTGACTTCCGACCCCAGGGTGGTCCCCACCTCTCCTGGAGAGGGGCACAAATGTCTGCAGTGGAGGGGGGGGCAGGTGGTACCCGTGAAGCCGCCGATGGACCAGGCGTAGACGATAATGTCCTGAGGCTGGAAGCCCAGGCGGTGGATGGCGAACTGGACCACCACGTCCATGGCATTGGCCTCGTTCTGTGGGAAGGGCACACCCTGCAGGAGGAAGGGCGAAGCTGGCTCATTTGCCACCTATGGTCTCCGACCATCCCTGGCCACCACCTGCAGCACGTGGACGGGCCGAGGTGTTCACAGAGCCCAGCCTCTCCCCACCACACCTGCTCCTTTAGATCCCTCAGCACCTGGGCCCCGGGCTGGCCTTGGAAAGATGCACCCCATTTCCTCCATCCAGTGGCTGACCGGAGTGAGACAGAAAAAGAAAAGGGACACCAGACAGGCTCTCACCGTGCTTCCTGCGAAGCCTGGATGGTTCCAGCCCAGGACTGAGTAGCCAGCTGTCACATAGGAGAAAAAGGGACTGAGACCCGGTGGCCCGAGTCTCCCTCTGTCCCTGGGGGAAAGGATGGCAGAAAAGCCCTCCAGTGCAGGCGTCCCGGATCAGGGAGACAGCAGAGACAGGTGTGTGACTGTGTGGGGGCAGGACAGGACAAGCATGTGGTGAGCCAAGGAACAAGGCAGGGGAGGGGTGTCAGGGTGGACTTTCCCCAGGGAGCAGAGACCCAGCCTCACCCAGAGGGAGAGGTCAGGCCCCAGGTCACCATAGCCTGGAAGCAGAATTCTGTCCCAGGGCTGGACCATGGGCCTACCTTCCAGGGGCGTGGAGACGCAGCCCACCTCGTAGAAGCCTGCGTTCCCCTCACAGCAGATCACCTGTGGAGGAGGCGGGAGAGGGCTGGGGGGCAGTCGCCCAGGTTGGGGGGCAGCCCGAGAAGAGTGGAGCAGGGCAGAGGAAAGGGCAGATCTGTTCCCTCTGAGGGACAGCAATATCCCACAGGATCCACGGACAAAAGGGAAGACTGCAAGTGCCTGGCACACTGGGCGCCCTTGGAGGAGGACGCCCAAGATGAGCTGCTTCAGTGCCTGGCGCAGCGGCCACGTCTCCCCGGAAGCCTCCAGGTGGAGACTCACAGGGGCCGTAGAGCTTCCAATTTTGGTGCTGGGGCCGCATGCAGGGCTCGTGCTGGCTGAGCTGTGCTCTGGCCCTTGCTTGTGTTGACAGCGTGGAGTCTGTTGTGTTTCTGCTGTGCGCCATGCTGACTGCTCCCCCTCCCTCGCTGGGCTCTAATCTATGGTGATGCAGACTCCAGTTCTCTGGTGCCCCAGTAAAAACTGCCCCGGCAGTAAGCAGAGCTGACCCTGGGACCCAGGCCTAGATTCCTGGCCCTGTGCTCTTTTCAGGGCCACTTCATGGAGGGGAGACTCCCTATGTGCCTCAGCTCCATCTTCTGTACGGTGGGCTGGCAGGCCAGTCAGACCTGCTCAGGGATTTTGAGTACGCATCTCAGTCGTGCATCCGAGCAGGCGCTATTAGGGTTGTTATGTTTCGGTTCCTGAATGGCAGCTCCTGCTTCATCTATTTGCCTGTCTTCCTACAGAAACAATGCGGGGTGGAGCTGGGGGGTGAGATTACTCCTTGCCAAGGTGCCACTGAAAAACTGTTGGCAGACTGGGGCCCCAGAACCCCACGAGCCTTCCCATACTCTGTGGGTCCCTTGGATCCTCTTACCAGTTTCTGTCCCTGGGGCTCAGCTGTCCCCCGCCGGTCCACAAACATAGTGTCAATCTCGTTGCCATCACAGGCCAGCAGCTTTGCCCGGCGCCCATTACACTGAGTGGGGAGATGGAGAGCAGCGGGCTGTGAGGGGCCAAGTTCCTTCTGGAGTCAGAGGCCAGCGGGGTGGGCACGGGGCAGCGCTTACCTCCTCCACCAGCCGGGCCTGGCCCTGCAGCAGCACTGGCATGAGGGCCTTCTGGAGTAGGTACACGGAGCCAGGGTACAGCATCCGGCGCCCCAGCGTGTGTGCCACCAAGTAGCTGGGGGGAACACAGGGCAGTGAGCACCCAGCCCTGGGGTAGCCCAGGGCCCATTTGCACCCTAGGCCAACAGTCTGGGGCTTGCATCACCCTTATCTTTCTAGCTTCCCTGCCCTCTTCTAAGACTTAATGAAATAATATATTACCAGGCTAATGAAGATACAAATTTTGTGTTGTGGCCCCGAAACACACAAATAGATGTCCTTCAGCTTACAATGGGGTTAGATCCCCATACGACCACTGAAAGCTGAAAATATGGAACGCTGAAAATGTACATAATGGGCCGAGAAAATAGCTCCATGGCACAAGTGCCTGCCTGGTGAGTACAATGTCCTGAGTTCAAGTCCAGTACCAAGAAAAGAAAATGCATTTACCGCACGTAACACAACATGCACCATAGCTCAGCCACCCAGGACGCTGGGGTACTGTTTACCCCCGACCACGTGGCTGCAGGGCAGCTACGGTTCCCTTCTGCCCAGCCTCTCTGAGAGCATTGTGGTTTATGTCCTCTGGGAACCAAGACTTCAAACTGAAGCCTGGTATAGTGGCACACAATTGTGACCCCAGTACTTAGGGAGACTATGGCAGGAAGGTCACAAAAAGCAGAGTCCCACCTAAGCAACTTAGCAAGACCTGGTCTCAAAATTAAAGAAGAGGAAAAAACCCCAGAACTTAAAAAACTAAATGGATGGGGCTGGGGATTTAGCTCAGGGGCATAAGCACCTACCTGGCAAGTGTGAGGTCATGAGTTCGATCCCTAATACCGATTAAAAAAAAAAAAACCTAAATGGACTAGTGATACGGCTCAGTGATAGATCACCCTTAGATTGTTCTCCAGTATTGGCCCTAAAAAAACCCAAAATATAAGTGTGGCTGGGCATGGGAGAGGCCTCTAGTCTGCTACCTCACAGGCTGAGGAAGGAGGGTCCCTGAAGCCCAGGGTTTGGGGACAGCCTAGGCCACACAGCCATACCTCATCTCAAAAGGACAAAAACTAAAACAACACATTGTGCTAACACCCCGTCACCAATGTGATGATATTTGAGAATGGGGGGTGTCCTCTGGGAGGCAATGAGCTTTAATATCCTTATAACAGAGGCTTCATGGGTGTGGTGGCGCATGATATAACCCCAGCACGTGAAGGGCTGAGGCAGGAGGACCGCTGCAAGTCAGAGGCCAGTGAGTTCAACAGCAGCCCGAACTACACAGCAAGACCCTCCTGTCTCAATAAATAGTAAAGTAAGATAAAATGAAATAAGCTCCAGAGAGCCCTGAGGATACAGCAAGAAGATGCCTCCTAGGAACCAGGAAATGGGACCTTGTCACATACGCCGGTGCTCATGGACTCTGCAGCCACCAGAACCCGGAAATACAATTTCTGTTGTTTGTAAGTTAAAAAGCAAAACAAAGCCACCCAAGGCAAAATAAAACAGAACCCCCTCTAGGTGGGGCAGCACGCCAATAATCAATCCCAGGACTCAGGAGGCTGAGGCAGGGAGATCATGAATTTGACATCAGCCACAGATACATAATGAGTGCAAGGCCAGCTGGGCTACACAGTGAGACCCTGTGTCAAAAAGATCAAACAAAACCCCCCCAAAATTCGGGGCTGGGGATTTAGCTCAGCGGTATAAGCGCTTGCCTTGCAAGCCAGGCAGTCTTGAGTTCGATCCCCAGTACTGATAAAAAGGAAAAAGACAGAAAAAAAAAAAAAAACCCAAAATTCAAAGCATGCCACCAAGGTAAGCTGCGGACCGTACATACGTGATTCTGAGATTCTCACAAAATAATACATCTTATGCACAATAAGTAAAAGCAAAGTCATCACCAAACATGATTCTGTTTACACAGAAACACAACTTTCTAAAAGCCCCATGCAGGACAAGGTGGGTAGCTCAACAGCAAAGCTCCTGCCAAGAGTGTGTGAGATCTTGGATTCAACCCTCAGCAATGCCTACAAAGTCTCCAAATAAGTAACATTTTTAAAAATAATCCTTTTAATATACAGGTAATTGCAAGATTCCCTAGTGGGCCAAGACCCATAGTTTGAAACAAACTGTGGCAAGCTCTGTGGGGGCAGGAACCTCGCTGCACGGCTCTGCCCACTGGACGCCTCAGGGCGGGGCACAGGGCAGGGCTTAGGAGCCACCCAGGTGAGGGCAGTGAACTGCAGGTGTCATCCTGTGAGACCATTCGACACTGCCATCAACCTCGGAGGAGGACCTGTCCCCCAAACACCACCTGGCCCTGCCTGGTACCCCTGCCGCACCCCCCAATCTGGCTTTCCTCTCAGACTCAAAAGCACTGTCCACACCGCCGGGCTATCCCGGAGGCTGCTATCCCGGACAGCTCCAGGGTCTGTTCACTCAGGATGGGAGCTCACTGTCCCCACTTCCAACACCCCCCCTCAGAACTCAGGTTCACCTGACTCCGCCGTGCCCTTGGGCACTCGGGGCAGCTGGAAACCCTTCAGAAATGCCCCCCAGAAGGCAGGCTGCTGGCAGAGACAGGGAAGCAGGGAGCAGCGGGCCAGAGGGGGTCAGAGCTCCGGCAGGCTCCCTTGTCCCCTCCCCACCCCGCAGGCCCCCCCTCTCGGGCAGCCCTGCCTTAGCATCTGGGCTTCTCATTCACTGCCTGTCTGGTGAGCCCAGGCCTCCAAGCCTCCTCCTCACACATCGGCGTGGGCAGGGTGACACACAGTAGCCCAGGACTCGGCTGAGAGTGACGGCTGTCTCAGGATGGAGCCCCCAGTCCGGGCCTTCGCCATCCCCTGCACCCGCCATTGTGATTTCCCACCTGGTGATCTGGCAGGGCAGCTTCTTCACCCGGCTGAGGAAGGTGTCCGCTGTTCCCCGGTGCAGGGGCTCGGGGCGAAGCAGGGCCACACCGCGGCGGGAGGGGCCGCCCCGGGACTCCTTCCTGAGGACAGCAGGAGGACCGGGCCGGGTCAGGAGGACAGGACAGGCTGGCGGCCGGGGAGGAGGGGACGGGGCAGCAGGGCCAGGGCCTCACCGGCTGCTGGGCTCCTCCCAGTGGAAGTCCACCGGCCAGCTCCTGAAGTCGAAGTTGTAGTTGGCCAGCTGCCTCTGTGGTCAGGACAAGGAAGAGAGATCTCAGGGAGGTCTGGGGGCCCCCGATGCGCCAGGGGTCTTGGCTGAGCACTCTGAGGTGACCACAGCCATCAGCCCCAGCCCCTCTCCCACAGGAAACCGGAAGATGGAGCCATGTAGGAGGGCGGCCACGCCGGCTGCTCATGCTCCTCGCCGACCTGATGCTTTCCTGGTTCCCAGAGCAAAGTAAAGTCCCATGGCTGCAAGACAGGGAAGGTGGTCGAAGCCACAGGGCACCCTGTACTTGGGGCTCCTGCCGAGGGAAGCCCTGATGGCCCCATCCTCGCAACCCCTCCTGCCCTCGGCATCACCTGGCTGGCCTTATCTGCACTTCCAGTCACTGCGGCTTGGTCCACACAGCCCAGCCTCACACCCTGCCACCTCCTCCCCCAGCCCCAGAACTCCCAGCTCGCCATTTGGAGGGTTGCTTTGTTTCTTTCTGGCACAGAAATTTTTTTAACATTTTCAAAAATAACTTGACTAAAAGAGAGCAAGAAGAAAATTATACAAATATGGAAATGACAAATCCAAATGAAGAAGAAAAGCCAGTTTCAGCTGGGCTTCATTTGGACCTGCTCTTGCCTCTAGACCAGGCCACTTCTAGGCTCTGGGGTGGTGCATGGGTCACTTGACCTCTTTTTGCCTATATCCTCAGATGCACAAGTGGGAGTAATTATGCCACCTCGCACGCTGGCAGCGAGGGCTAGAAAGGGTACATGTGACACACACACACCTCTGACAGCGGCGCAGCACTGGCAGCATTAAATTACACAGCTCCATAATGGTGGTGTGGAGCAACACTTAATGTGAGGATGGTGGCCACGGCTGTTGGAAGCCAGAAACCCTCTCATGACAGGAGGAAGCTCTATGGGGCACCACAGCCCTTTCTCAACGATAATCATACTCCAGCATCCCCTGCGGGGCTGGCCCCACTGCAAGGACAGCGTGCCCTGGCTTTGCATGGCGCCACGCTGCGTGCCCTCACAGAAATGGGCTGTGCTAGCTAGTGACATGTTTGGTGCACACAGTCAAAATAAACAGAACCGAGCTGCTGTGACAAAAGAAGACCTGTCTAACAGACACGTTCAAATAGTGCCTGTAGATGGAAGCTGGAGGCAGGGAAGGCTGCACTAGCAGAATATCCCACTGGAAGTGGCAAGGAGGACAGGCCATCGATGGAGGGGCAAAGGGGGACAGCAGCAGGCAGCCAGAGACCCGGAGTGGCAGGTGGCAAAGCCGAGCTTCCTCCTGCAGAGGCCAGGGCCCGGCGCTCGGGGCAGCTGAGGAAGCTGCTGGGGGCTCGGTCTGGCGCCTTTCCTGGAACCCCTCACCTTGTTTTCTGCAGACTGGTTCCGATGTGTGGCTTCCAAGATGCTGATGAACTGTCGGTACTGGGGGTTGGTCCAGCGGCCAATGCCTGGCAGAGAGAGGACAGGAAGCAGCATCAGGGACCCTGGCAAGCAGGGTGTTTCAGGGAAACAGCGAGATGGGCAGGAATGCTGTGGAGGAGGAACAGGACAAAAGCGCCCGGGGCCTGTGCTGTGGAAACGGATTTTCCCTGCCCTCCGCAACTGATGACCGGCTGCAGGTTCTTCTCCTTAGTTTCTCCAATCTGTTTCTCCCTAGACTAGCAAGCTCCCACCTCCCAGATGGCTCACCCCGCGTGTTAACACGCGGCCACGCCGCCCGCTGCTACCTCGGGCTCCGTGCTCTCCCCGCCAGGCTTCTGCGGCGCTTCTGTCTGGAGGCTCTCACCCTGCCCTCTGGCTTCGCAGCTCCTGCCCTCACTGGCTAGCTTTGCCACTGCAGCCAAGCACCCTCTATCCTCCTCCCCGTCAACTACTCAGCAGGGTGCCGGCCCCTCAAAGGTCTGTCTGCCTCTGCTTCCTGGGCGCATTATTGTTTCTTTGTTAGTTTGTTTGTGTGTTTACTGAGACAAGGTCTTGCCATGTAGTCTAGGCTGGCCTCAAACTCCCGGCGATCTTCCTCCCGCAGCCTTCCAAGTGCTGGGATGATAGGTATGCACCACCGCACTTGGCCTTGGGGCCATTCTTACTCTCGTCCAATTCCTAAACTTCCTCTCCTGCCTTTATCCTTCCCTCTCTGAAATGCAGACATTCTCTGCATTGCCTGCTCTCTCTGCATCCACTTTCCTTCCCTGCAGAGAAGCCTCCGACCCTAACCTCTCTCCGCCCGGACCTGGCAGGCATGTGCCGGCCGGCAGGCCAGTCCTACCCAAGAGAGACAGGAAATGAGGGCCAGCCCTGCCTCAGGGAGCTGGCCTTCCGCCAGGTGTGAGAGGGACTGAGGAAAGAAAGAAACCAAGGAAACATCAGACAGAAGTCTTGCAGCAAAGACAGTGAAGCCAGGACAAACCAGAACTCTCAGAACCATCAAGGGCAGCACCCCCCAACAGGACGGTAACAAGCCAGTAAAGCACACTGCAGGATGCCCTGTGCGGACCAGTGCCACTTATGCCGAAAATGTAAAATGCACACATAACACTACTAATTTCTAAGTTTTGTGTGTGTGTGTGTGTGTGTGTGTGTGTGTGTGTGTGTGTGTGGTACCATGCATTGAACCCAAGGGCTTCACACTGAACTACTTCTGTAGCCCTTTTTCTTTTGAGACAGTCTTGTTAAATTGCCAAGGCTGAGCTTGGACTCACTGTAATCCTCCTGTCTCAGCCTCCCAAGTCCTGGGATTACAGGCCTGGCAAGAAATATGGACCTCAATAAAACCTCTCCATATGACAACAGTTATTTCTGGTGAAAGACAAGGAGCAGGGGGACTCCAATGGTGTTGCTGACTCAAAATGCTTTAGTAATTCTACAGACAAATGTCACCTGAAGTAGGACCACAGGGGTTTAGCTCAGTGGCACAAGTGCCTGCCTGAAGCAGTACCACAAAATATGAGCAGTTCAGTTCTTTTTGATTGACTTCTTTTTTTTTTTTTTTGTACTGGGGATCAAACTCATGACCTCATACTTGCCAGGCAGGTACTTGTGCCCCTGAGCTAAATCCCCAGCCCTTGTTTACTTTTTGAGACAAAGTCTCGCTCTATAATTCAGGCTCATCTTAAACTCATTCTGTAGCCCAGTGTGACCTCAGACTCAAGATAATCTCCTGCCTCAGCCTCCCCAGTGCAGCAATTATAGACACACACACACACACACACCACTATGACTGACCTAAGCTATTTTTTTTTAATTGTGAGACAGAACATATGCATATAAAACACACATTATGATTTGTTTTAAAATGCAAAGCAGGGCTGGGAATTTAGCTCAGCGGCATAAGCACCTGCCTTGCAAGCGTGTGGTCATGAGTTTGATCCCTGGTTCCGATAAAAAAAAAAAAATGCAAAGCAAGGTGGAAGTGTGGTGCATACCTGCAATCCCAGTACTCTGGGAGGCTAAGACAGGAGGATCGCAAATTCCAGCCTAGCTTGGGCTACTCAGTGACTTGATAAGACTCTGTTTCAAAATCAATAAAAAGGGCTGGGGATGTAGCTCAGTACAAAGGTCCTGGGCTCAATCTCCAGTACCACAAAGGGGAAAGAAAGCAACAGTAACACTTGTGTGACTGTGAGCCAGGTCAAGACAGAAAACAAAGTCAACTCCTGAGCTGCACTTGTCTACCATGCATGTGGTCACTCGCCTGGCTTTCCTGATCACCGTGCTGTGGCTCTCTTTCAGGTCTTAGCCTACGTCCCTTCTGAACTGGATGGAAGGGCAAACTCACTGCATACCTCATTTGTGGCCAGCTTCCTCCACCCAACATTACCTGTGTGGGACTCATTTGCACTAAGGGTAGTTACAGTTTCCTCATTAGCATTACTGTACACTGTTCTGTCTGTAGCTATTAAAAGTCTTCCTGGTTTAGGATTACTACAAACAATGTGGTATGTAATATGCTTCTACATATATATCATTTATTCATGCACAGAAATTTCTGCCCTGTGTGTATGTAGAAGGGAATGGGTGTGTGTATGGTACAGGGTATATTCATCTTTTCTAGAAAACAGCAAACTCCCAATTCCTCACAGTGAATGTAATATTATGTACTAATAAATAGGAAATTTAAAAAAGAAAATAGCAAACTTTTCTGTTAACTGTTTTTTCACACTTACGTCCTAAGCCCCTTACGGACCATCATGCCTTAGACCATTCTCAATTATTCCCCCTCGTGGCTTAGCCTCCAGCTATATTTGTAGAAAGTACTGGACATCTACCCAGGGACAGGTGGATCCAAACTGGCTTCCTTTCACCTACCTCGGAGGCAGGCAACGCCTGCCAGCAGCAGCAGCAATGTCCCCGCATAGTGAGAAAATGGCACCACCTTGGACAAACTCAAGTAACCTGGGAGAGAGAGGGCTGGTGTGAGACGCCCTCCGCAGCCATCCACTCTTCTCCCGACTTCAGCCCAGCCTCCACCCTACCCGGCTCCTCAGCAAAGCGATATCTTCAGCGGGAAAAGGAAGCCAAGCCATCCTCAGGGGCGGGCCTCCTCTTCTCTTCAGGGGTCCACTCATCTGCCAACAACCTGCCCACTCCCTGCCCCACCTCCTTCCAAACCACACTGACCTTTCCTGTACAGGTAGAAGAAGGCGAAGGGAGAGGAGTAATAAGAGATGGACCAGAAGACTGAAGCCTGCAGCAGAGACACAGGGATAGGCAATCAATACACACACACGTGCACACATGCACGCACTCACACACGTGCACACATATGTGTACAAACACATACACATGCACGCACACAAGCCCAGGTCTGCCCCCACAGGCCTATTCTCTGCACAGGGAGAATGACCCAAAGAATAGCAAATCAAGCCCCTATTCTGTGTGTGCCACCGTGCACACAGTGGGCACTCAGTATTTGTTGAAATGTGTTGTGTCAGAGCATAATGGAGGCCAGAAGAACTACATACGGGTTCTGTTGTATTCCTCCAATCGCCCCTAGACATAATTTCATCACATTTTCAAGGCCAGCTTCTCTGTCTACTCAAGTTAATCAAGCCTTTTCAATTGACCCTGCTCAGGACAGCCCCGTCCTGGTCCCCAAGAGATGCGCAAACGTCACCATAGGAACCCTGCCAGAGAGAGCAGCTGTCTCTGCAGCCAAAGAGGTTAGTTGCCAGGGAGGACAGGTCACTGGGGACTGCAGGCCTGAGCACCTGCAGATGGCCCCAGGGTAAACATGTTTTCCTTGGGGCTCAGACTGCCCCAGAGAAAGCCAAGCTACATACCAATGGGGAGCACCAAGGGTGCACACTTGGGAGTGTGTCAGTGTGTACTGTGTCAGATAAGTCTGTACAGAGCCCTGAGCATGCCCACTCCCAGGGACTCTATCTTGTCCCTGGTTCAAGAGGGCAGCTGGGGCTGAAAAGATGCAGAGAGTCGCAGATGCCAGGGCAGACGTACCAGTGCCAGGATGCTGTCTGCATGTTTCTCCAGGGCACGGGGCTGATAATACGTATCCTGCAAAAAATAGATGGTCCCGTTAAGGACCCTACCTGATGACAGGTCCCTCCCTTTCCCTTCGGGAAGCTCTGATATGGGTCCCCTGGTTGGCACCTACCTCCTTGGCTATTTTTCCACCCCTGGCCTTCACACCCTGAGCCTATTTCCCACCCCTGACCAGAAGAACAAACACAAGGGCTGAACTCGGAAGCAAAAATTAGGCGACTTTTGCTCCTTTTCCAGTGAGTATGTACAGAAGGGCAGCGGGGTGGCAGGTGACACTTCTAAGAGACAAGAGCAACCGAAGTAAAAGCAGGTTGATTAAGAAAGAGAATGCGGCCAGGGGTGGGTGGTTGAGAGATCAGGAAACATATTAGAGATTACCAATACAAAGGGAGGAAATATTCAGGGGAACAGCCTGCCACAAGCAGCAGCGTCAGTCAGACGCAAGGGCTCTGGGATCTCCCTCCAGGCTGGGTTTGAGGGTCAGGAAAAGACGATACATGATAGGTAGAAGTCATTTTGAAATTCAAGGCCAGTTACAGGGAAGTTAAGCAGGGCCAGGGAAGGCCCCGAGAGCTACAGAGGAAGAAGACCCTGGGCGCCAGGACGGCGAGGCCCGTCAGCTCCCGCGCCGCGCAGGGTCCCCGCGGGGCTTCGGACTCCACTGAGACCGGCGCGAACCACGACAGCCGGGGTGGGGGTCGGGGGAGCAGTCATGGACTGGCAGTCGGAATGAGAAAGCGGGGATCCAACAGGGCTAAAGAGAGGAGGCAACCGGCCCACGGGCATGACTTGAACCCACGAAGCACAAACGGCGCAGAGTTTTTGGACAACTAGCTTGACAAGCAGACGCCCCCGATTTCCTATAATGGGCACTTCTGGCGAGCAAAGGCCGGCAGACGTCTGGACCGTACCATGTACTCGACCGGGGGGGGAACTTGACTCACCCAGGAGCTGGAAGGGGGATTACTGACTGAAGTTGGAGTCCCGGGGACGCTGGACGGGGCCCTTTCTGAGTCCCTCTCCCGGTAGATTTTGTAGAGCCGGGGACCTAGGACACAGCTCAGCAGCTTCGCCATGGCCCCGGCTCGGGCCGCTGCTCTCCTAGCAGCAGGTCCCCCCGCTGGCCCCGCCTTTGCCTGCCTCTGAGGAGCTGCGTGCCCTTAACGTCAGCACGTACGGGTTCCGCCTCGCGCGGCGTGGAGACATCTTTAGCGCTCCTTGCGAAAGTCTTGGCTCGGTGGGACCTACGAGTACAGCAATGGCCAGAAATTATTTGGAGACGTTTGATGCGGGAAGTTAGGCTGTTGTCAGGGCTATTTTTAAAAAAGTTTCCCTATCCTTTACTTTCGAGCGATAGTAGAAAGATTAGGAGTACTTAACAAGAGCTAGAGAAAATGCAAGATACCGAGAAATAAATGTAATAAAAGAAATGCGTCACAGGGCGTGGTGGCATATGCATTAATCTCAGCACTGGAGAGGCTGAGGCAGAAGGATCGCTGCAAGTTCAAGACCAGCCTGGGGTACAAAGTGAGCTCAAGGCCAGCCTGAACTGCATAGGGAGGCCCTGTCTCAAAGGACAAAAAACAAACAACTCCAGCTTTTTAATGAAGAAAACTATTAAAAGATACTATTAAAGATTATTGGAATAGGTAAATGAAAGCTTGAATAAATGGAGAGCTACATCATGGGGAACAGCGTAGGAAAAGAGCATTGCTAAGATGTATAGAACACTTGTTAAAAGAAAATGACAGGCCAGGCCAGGCAACACTGATACAGAAGAAATGTCACTTCTAACCTACTAGGTGTCAGATGTACCCCGTTTGCGCCCCCACCCCCATTATCAAGGAATCAGTTCCAAAGGACAAAGGAGGTTAAGGGTAGGAAAGTTTCGTTAAGAGAGACAGGAGGGCCCCCCAAAGTGAGCTGACATAGAAGCCACTTTCCAAGTAAGTTTTATAGAGCAGAATCATGAGGTGAGGACAGCATGAGTCAAACTATAATCAACCTATAAGATTATAACTACTGCTCTTAGCCAATGCTGATCCAGTAAGGACGGGAGGCACACAGCAAAGTACATGATGAACGTCGTTAACCGTCGCCTGTCTGTAATTTCTAGCACAGAACAAACACAGTTTTGGAAGGGATGGGTCCAGGTATCCTGGTCACCCACCTGGATGTCTGATGCCTGTCTGGACCTACCGGACCAAGTGTGGTAGTTACAGGATAATTCTCAGGCTTCCGTCTGTCCCTTTGGGAGGCCTGCAGACCTGGCCATTGCACCTTCATCTCAACGCATCTCATCTTCAGGGCGCCTTCAGCGAGTTTCAATGTGTTCTTCTCACCTTCCGCACTGACTCTCTCAAAGGGCCATCCTTGGCGGACTCTCATTAATTTCCATCTAACTTAGCTATCCACAGTAACATGTACCAGCAATTCCAGCTTGGAAGGCTGAGGCAAGAGAATTTCTTTAAGTTCAAGGCCAGCCTGGGCTACATCACGAGCTGACTTCAGGGCTAGCCAGAACTATGTACCAAGACCCTGTTAGTTACACCACTGATTTCTCTGGGTTCACCGAAGAGAATGATTTGTACTGGTATTGTTCAGACAATGAAGGCAGATGCCTTATGCTCTAGGTGAATGATTTGGGGATGACAATGCGCAACATACTTACCCTTGGGATTACCCTTGTTGCCCCTGATTGATGTGCTTTGAAACTTTGTTCTCCTTCTCCTTCTCTGTCTCCTTCTCCTTCTCCTTCTCCTTCTCCTTCTCCTTCTTCTCCTTCTTCTTCTTCTTGTCCTTCTCCTCCTCCTCCTTCTTTTCTTTCTTCTTTCTTTTTATCCTTGAATAAAATGGATTTGAAAAAAAACCCTGTTGTAACACACACACATGCACACGCTGTGCCTATGGCGCAGAGGTTTTGTGACTGAAACGTTTGTAGGAAGAGAATATTGGGGACTGAATCTAGGGACACTGCCGCTGCTCCCCTCGCCCTTTCTATTTCATAAATCGAGCCAAGGTCTTCCTTGTTACTAAGGCTGGCTTGGAACCTGGGACCCTTTTGCCTCCTCATCCCAAGTAGCTGAAATCAAGTAGCTGTGCCTAAAAACCCGCACCACCATGGCCAGCAGGTACTATTCTATGCCTTTTTAAAATTCTGCAAGGCTCAACTCTGTATAATTGTTTTGTTTTGCTTTGTTTTTGTCCTTTTGAAACAGGATGGCACTATGCAGTTCACCCTGGCCTTGAGCTCACTTCGTAGCCAAACTGGGCTCAAACTCCCAATGATCCTCCTGCCTCAGCCTCCTGAGTGCTGGGATTACAGGTGTGAGCCACCATGCCCAGTTTAATATTCTTTTTTTTTTTTTTTTTTTTGTGGTACCGGGGATTGAATCATGACCTTGTGCTTGCCAGGCAGGCGTTTATGGCACTGAGCTAAATCCCTAGCCCTTAATATTCTATTTCTTAGCAATACACAGGTTTGTTTTATTTTTCTTTGTTCCTTATGCCTACATAACACATAAACTCAAGTTTTTCATTGAAGTAAACACGTACCTAAGAAAGTGCACCAAACAAATATATCCGGTCACTGGTACCCAGATCAGAACAAACCATGATAATGTCCAGAGGCCCCCCTGGATTTCTGCCAGTTGCTGTCATCTCCAGGGTTAGCCACTGCCTGAACTGCTCATCCCACAGATTAATTTTAGCTGGTAATTTTTATACTTATAGAAAGAATCACACACTGCTTATCCTTTGTGTCTGGCTTCTCTACCTGGCTGCAAGGCACCATGATTGCTTCATTCTCTTTGTTTTCCAGTGTTCCGTGGTATGAATAGATCCATCATCCACGTGTGCCTCAGATAGCCTTTGGCCAAAAATAAAAGTTTGGGAATGTGTACCTCAGTGGTACAGCACTTGCCTTGCATGTGTGATGCCCTGGATTCAACTGCTATTACTGCAAAAATAACTTTTTAAGAAGTAAATAACAGATTAAACACCATTAGATCTAGACTTGAATTCTCCTAGAGAAGAGGGATGATTCTGTGAATAACCCAGGCCTCTAGGCCAATAATTCACCTTGAGTAACAGCTTAATACACTCCTCAGGATCTGAAGAGGTCTAGAGTGTGCCAGGCAATCCTGTCACTCCAGACCATTTTTGGGCCACTGACTGTGTGTACGGTATTGTGCATGAAGATGCAGCTCCTGGGCTCATGCCGACCTCTCCTAGGGGTGGAAGCAACCAGAGAACGTCTTCCAGACCCATGGGAGGTGCAGGGGTCTCTTCCACGCAGGAGCAGCCAGGACCTGGTCCTTTCCCAGCCCCTGGAGCAGAAAGGTGGATACTTCCCCTCAAGCGACATGCAAGTGGGTGTTATCTTCCCCAGGATTCTCAAGCCGCCCCAGCCCTGGCAGTGTGGGCCTTTATCTGGGCTCTGTTTCCTCCCTGAGAACACCAGGTCTTGGAGCAAGAGAATGCGACGAATGCGACGAGCTCTCCCCATGGCCGTCTTGTTCAGCTTCCTTCTGTTTCTGTGTGGCCACTGCCGGGCTGCTGTAGGTAAGGAGCGGGAGGTGGGAGAATCTTCAGCCACCTGCAAGGTTGGGGAGGGAGCCTGGTCTTCTTCTTTAGGGGCCTAGAGCAAGGATCCGATTCAAGGGGACAGACTTAACCCATCTGACCTCTCCGTGCCTCTAGTAATGGGGAAGACCCAGAGGCACTTAGGATCAGGATTGTGTACAGTTTCCTGTAGAAAATAAAAACAAGGGGGGGGGCTGGGGATTTAGCTCAGCGGCATAAGCACCTGCCTTGCAAGCAGGCAGTCATGAGTTCGATCCCTGGTACCGATAAAAAGGAAAAAGAAAAAAGAAAAGAAAAGAAAAGAAAAACAAGGGAGTAAATACATAGACACTGGGGCCTTCGACCACTATGTCAGCCTTTACCCTGGTGCACTTAGATCCTCTCACTGGCTGGAGAAGAGGGAAGGAAAATGTTTACACACTCCTTTCCTCTTTCTTTTGTAGCTGTCACTTGAAAAATGTGCTCACTAGCCAAGCCCGAGCCCCAGCTGGGGGACCCCAGAGGAGTAGGAAGCCGGAGTTAGAGGTCAAGTAGGGGTTTTCAATGCGATGGGGGTCTCTGGCCTCATACTGCCATCTCCTTACAGACAACATCCAAGCCATCTACGTGGCCTTAGGGGAAGCCATGGAGCTGCCGTGTCCCTTACCACACATCCTACATGGGGACGAATTCCTGTCTTGGTTCCACAGCTCTGCAGCGGGCACCTCCACTACCCGAGTCCAAGTAACCAACATCCCACACTTTGGGCAAACCAGAAGGGAATCCAGACTCAAACTCCTGGGAAACTATTCTTTGTGGCTGCAAGAGTCCAAGGATGGAGACGCCGGCCGGTACTGGTGCACGGTGCAGGGTCAGCACGTCGAGTACCAGAACTGGAGGGTGTACGATGTCTCTGTGTTCAAAGGTGAGTGGGGTGGAAGTCAGGGACTGTGGGGCTGGGGAAGCCCAGGCATAGCTCCAAAGGGTTCCTTTGTCCCGCAGGATCCCAGTTCTCCGCAAGAGCTCTGGATGGGTCTTCCTGCTCTGTCCTCCTGTGCTCCGTGGTCCCTGCCACGCGTCTGGACTCTGTGGCCTGGCTGGAGGGGAAGGGGCCTGTGAGAGGGCACGCTCAGCCCTTCTGGAGTGATGGGGCCGCGCTGCTCTTGGTCTGTCCTGGGGAGGGGCACCCTGAGCCCAGAGGCCGTAGACCACGAGTCATCCGCTGCCTCTTGCCTCAAGACAAAAGCCTCAGCTTCAGCCTGCCAGGTAAACTGAGGAAGGAGACAAGGAGGAAAGGAGGCGAGAGAATATAAACCAAGCGAGCCTGGGAGTAATTCCTGGAGGAGCAGACTGCTGCGTATGCTGACTGAGTCTGTAGCAAAACGGGGTTGGTTAAGCCAGTTTTCAGATGAAACAGACCAGCAGTCAAGAATACTTTAGTGAAATACATCATTGTTCATAAACAGGGCAATCTGTGATTTTTGTGGAATATCTCATAGCAGAGAGGAAGAACATAAAAATGGTTGCTGAAGGAGTTGTTTGAACCAAGGATATATACACTGGTGTTACTTGGGCCCGTGGAGTGTGAAGGCAGAAGGAAATGTATGGATAGAATTGTTCTGCAGGGCTTTTTTTGTTTGTTTTGTTTTGTTTTTTAGACACAGCCTTGCTATGCTGGTCTTGAACTCACTTTGTAGCCCAGGCTGGTCTCAAATTTGCAAGGATCCTTCTGCCTCAGCCTCCCAAATGCTGAGATTACAGGTGTGTGCACCACCACATCTGACTTGTTCCGAAGTTTAAAGGAAAAAGAAAAAACCATGATAGTACCAGAATGGAGGGGCATGTCTGTATCCCAGCACTTAGGAGGCTGAGGCAAAAAGATCACAAATTTGAGCCTGGCATAGGTAATTTAGCAAGACTTTGTCTCAAAATAAAAAATAAAATGGCTGAGGATGAAGCTAAGTGTGAAGGCCCTGGGTTCAATCTCCAGTAGGAAAAAAAGCTGTACACCAGAAGACATGCTTATGGGGCCCACACTAACCCTCCTACAGACAGTGCAGAGGACCAAACTCAGGCCAGAGGAAGGGCAGGCGGGGTATTGCCCTCTACATCCTCCCCACTGAAGTGCCTGGCACCTGAGAGACCAAGCAGCGCTTAGAGCAGGAGTGAATGGAGGAATAAACATGTGGGAACCACTTTATTTTTTCTGCAAAAGCGAATTACAGCCGTGGCCGAGCAGCTGTGGCCGAGCTGTGCTCTGGAGTTAGCTGTCCTTCTGCGGCAGGACCGCACCACCCTTCTCTCCTGATGTTGGTGTAGGAGGTTGGGGGGTGGGGGGATCCTGGAAAGCATCAAAGGCGGGTAGTAGATATTGGGGGGCAGGGAAGCACATGAAGTCTTCTGCAGCAAGGGCCTCCTAGACTGGTGAAGCTTCTCTCTGGGGTACAGGGTCAGCCCCCTTCTGCCTCCTTGGTGCCCCTGTCTTGCTCTTATTACAGCCCCCACAGATCCACCTCCCACCCTCTGTGCCCCTCCTGCCCGCTGGGATGTGCCCCGGATCCTGATGCTGCTGCTCACGGTGGGCCAGGGATTCACCATCCTGACCCTCAGCATCGTGCTCTGGAGGCGGAGGGCCCAGGGGGGCCAGGGCCCAGGTGAGCCCCTCTCACCGCTTGCCCCTGCCTTGTCCTCCCTGAGGGAGGGGTGGTGAGGAGCCCAGCTCTGCCTCCTCTGCTAACTTCTCTTCTCCCCAGACACCTCAGTCCCTCCATTCAAACCCGAAATCCAGGTCTATGAGAACATCCACTTGGCCTGCCTCTGGTAAGGAACAAAAGAGACAGAGGCTTAAATCCCAGAGGGCCCGGGGATGGGAGAGCAGATGCTGGTGCTGGATAGTGGGTGGGGGCCTGGTTCCCGAGAAGGCGGGGGAGCTTTCCTTAATCTGATTCTCTGTTTTGCAAACCCACAGCCCACCTGCCCACAAGACCAGATGATCTTGGCGACATCTGCTGCTGGGAAGTGTGACCTGCTGGTTCCCGGCCATCTGGCACATAGAGGACTCAGGAGGGGAGGGGCTTTCTGTCCAGCTGGCCTTGCCAGCCACCAAGCTGTATGGGGGATGGGAGGGGAGCTAAAGGAAAGGAGTTGCATTGTTCCATGTTGTCACAAAAAAGTGTGGTCTCCTGTCTTGAAGTGGCCAGTGGAGGGCTGAGCATGAAGAACTGTGAAATTGAGGGGAACCTGGGCTAGTTGTTGGAGTAAGAAAGGATGGGGTGGGCAGCAAAGAGACAAATAAACCCAGATATTTGGTTTATTTTGTTTTGTTTTGTTTTGTTTTTTGTGTTTTGGGTACCGGGAATTGAACTCAGGACCTTGTACTTGCCAGGCAGACCTTATGCCACTGAACTGTATCCCTGGCCCTAATCCAGATATTTGGACAATAGAAAGTAACAATCACACGGAGACCTAAGGACACATGGGGGAAACTGAGGAACAAGCAAGGGAAGAAGCTGAAGTCAGAGGAAGGAGATGGACAGAGACTGAGAACAACAGAAGCACGCTCCAGAAAACTGCAGGACAGAGAAAATGAGAGGCGAGCAGGCCGCCTCCACACTAAGTCAGAGCTTCCTCTGCTGAAGGGGAGAAGCCTGGAGGAACCAGCAGTCTAATCAGCCCCCAGACTTCCTCAGACGGAGGCAGAGGGACCCAAGTCAGAATGCGGGCACTTGTACTGCCCCCACCCTGACACCTTCCTTATCCGGGGCACACATGCTTCCCTGCAGTGTTCCCTCGTGGTATCCAGGGCATGAGCAGCCTATGGTCCCCAAGTCCTGGGGCACCCCCACCCCGTGCCCAGAGGTCACGCTGTTCTCTGTGTCCACAGAGGCTGCCCCATTGTGCTCTCTGGTGAGCTGTGTGGAGCCCCAGCCAAGTCCAGGCCAGTGGGGTGGAGAAGGACCTCGGTGTTCCCAATGCGGCCACCTCCACTCTCAGGGAGAAGTGAGCTGGGCTCCGGTCACAGCCTTATCGCAGGCAGCTCTGCCAGGCAGCCATCAGAGTCTTGGCTCTAGCTTGGGCCTCGCTGAAGAAGAGCTTTCTCGGAAATCTCGCCTGAAGCTTATGCAGTGGCATAAGCTAAGACATTGGCATGAATGATACAGCTGGAAAAATGAGGGGGTACACGCTTCTGGTGCCAGTGGTTCAGCCCAACCCACCAAGCAACTGTAGCTCATTCTCAGAGAGCACATTTGCACATACATGTGCACACTCACATACACATGAACACACATATATATACTACGGTGTCACCAGGCTCCCAGATGGCCCTTTTATTAAATCTACTTTTTATAGCTCCCAAGCTGAGTCCCTCCTTCCTGAGTTCCCAGTTTACCAAGTTACATCTTTCCCAGCCAGAATCTCCTCGTCACAATTCCTAGTGCCCCTTCTACCCTCTTGCCAGTGACCCACACCCTCATCAAAGTGGCTACCTTGCCAGGGACCCAGGACTGAGATAGGACACCAGTACCAGGCAACTAGAAAAGACAGAGAGAGGGTTCCTTTGGGGGCTGGTTCTGGGCAGATACCCGCTGAGGCCTGAGCAGTGCCCACAGGACTCTGCAGGGCTGTTGGGCCCAGGAGTCTGAAGTCTTCATACAAAATCAGGTTCTTGGGAAAATCTCATGTGTCTGTGCCGGGGTCGCAGGCCCTGCCTCGAGGGCTGCAGAGACACGTGAGGCTAGCGGAGGAGGCGGCCACCCCAGGTGAAGCTGGTCACCAGGAGGACCAGGGTGGCAAGCAGAAGGCTGGGGAGCTGCTGGGTTGCGGTGGCCATGTTGCACAAGTCCTGTTCACAGCACTGATGGCGCAGCATGTAGGAGTGAGACCAGTAGGTGGCATTGCCGGGCAGAGGGCACTGGACCCTTGGGAGGCAGCCTTTCCGCTCGATGACCTCATTCTGGTCTGTGGGACAAAGGAGGAATGTGAGGCAGCACGCAGAGATGGACAGACATGGGGCCAGCTGGAGAGTGGCCATCGGGTCAGTGTCCTACCTGAGGTGCCGATGCTGATGCCACAAGCCTCGTCACCCTGACACTCCACGGGAACAGGGTTGCAGGGCTTGGCAAAGCTGCAGGTGTAACAGCGGAGCCGAGCGGGGGCAGGTGGGATGGTGAGGCCTGTGGGACAACAGGAATCACGGCAAGAGGAGGGGAGAGGCGCAGGCCACATGGACAGAGACTAGGGAAGCCGAGAAACAGAGGCAGAGGGAGTCGGAACCAGGCAGGGGACGTCAAAGAAACAGGCAGAGGCGAGAGCCAAACAGGGCGTGAGAGCAGCAGACAGACAGGAGCAGAAGCCAAAAGAACCTGAGACAAGCAGTGAGAGACAGAAACAGCGACCAGGGAGGGGAGGGGAGGGAAGGGAAGGGAAGGGAGGGAAGGGAGGGAAGGGAGGGAAGGGAGGGAAGGGAGAAGGTGATGGTGCCAGATGCAGATGACAAAACAGGCATTGACTTTGAGGGGCCCAGCGCAGAAGGCAGAAGCTCTAGGGGAGATAAGAGGAAGATGGGGGGGGGGGGGCTCAAAGACACAGAGACAGTGGATCTCCGGTGGAGCTAGCCAGTCCTCAGAGTCCCCACTCTCCACCTGGCCTGGCCACCTGGCTCCCGGGCCCGTCCAGCCCTATAGCTCCTCTGGCCAGGCCCATTCCCCATCCGCCCTTACCCAGGGCCCCACAGAAGAACAGCAGGCACAGGACGGCGGCACTGCAGGCACCCATGGCAGGATGGCTACTGCCGGGAGCCTGGGGAATTTGAGCTGCACCCTGAGCCCAGCCCAGCCAGATCCTCTGAGCGCATCTGAGCATGACAGGAGAGAACGGCACACAAACACACCTAGGGAGAGAATCTGGGGGTGGATCAATGCCAGAACTCATCTCACTCTCCAGTGTGACTCACAGGGCCGGCCTTCTGCTCCTGCACCCCTCTTTTCCCGTCTCTCACACCCTCCCTGCCCTTCCCTGCAGGGTCTTTTCCCTGTCCAACTCAGCGCTCTGCAGCTCCTGAGCTGCATCTGTTGCCCTGGCTCCTACTCTGCTCCCACTGCCTCCCTCTGGTCTCCAGCTGCTTCCCGCTCTTTGTTTTGTTTTCTCTGACACCCCCCCCCCCCATCGCTCCCAAACAGCGCTGGCCTAAATCTCAAGTCTGGGAGTGTGGCCTTTGAGTGGGGAACCAGCCATCCCAGCAAGCCACCCCCTGGCCCCACCCACAAGGCCCAGCTGTGGAGGGGCCGCCCCCACCCAGCTTCACATCCCTTTGATCCCCCCAAGCCTCAACATTCCTACCCCATAATTATCCTCAGGCTTTACTACCTTGGAGGCCTGGCCGATGGATGTGTTTGCTCTGAGGAAGACTCAGGTAGTAAGGAAGGAGTGGATAGCATTGGGGGCAGGGGGCGTGCAAGGCACAGACTGCAAGACTGGCATTTCAGAGATTGGGGACAAGGCTGGGGATAGCAATGGAGCGCTTGCCTAGCATTGCTGAGGCCCTGGGACCCATTCACAGAATCTCACACACAGAAAGTGCCTGACTTGGAGGAGTCAGACTAGAAAGAGACAGGTGTTCACCTAGCAGCAGATTCTTGTTGTTCGTTTTTTGTTTTGTTGTTGTTGTCTTTTTGAGACAGGGTTTGCTGTGCAGTTCAGGTGGGCCTTGAGCTCATTTTGTAGCCCAGGCTGGTCTCAAACTTGAAATGATCCTCCTGCTTCAGCCTCCCAAGTGCTGGGATTACAGGAGTGTACCAGCAGGTCGGGCTATAACAGCAGTTTTCAAAAGTTCCATCTCAAAGGGCTGGGGATTTAGTTCAGCGGCATAAGCACCTGCCTTGCAAGCAGGCGGTCGTGAGTTCAATCCCTGGTACCAATAAAAAGATTTTAAAAAAACAAAAAAATTTCATCTCAGAATATTCTTTCTTTCTTTCTTTTTTTCCTGCCTTTCTTTTATGTCTTTCTTTTTCTCTCCCTCTCCCTTCAGAAGTGAAGATTGAATCTAGGATGTCACACAAATTAGGCAAGGGCCCAAACATTGAGCTAGACCCTAGTCTTTTTAAATATTTCGTTTTTATTTTATTTATTTATTTATTTATTTATTTATTTATTTACTGGTATCAGGAGTCAAAGTCAGCACCTCATGCTTGCCAGGCAGGTGCTGCACCATTGAGCTAAATCCCCAGCTTTTCATTTTGATTTTGAGGCAAGGTCTTGCTGGACTCTGCAGGCTGGCCTCAGACTCCAGATCCTCTTCGCTCAGCTTCCTGGGTAGCTGAGATGACAGGCCTGCTCCATCACGCCCAGCTCTCTTACCCTCAAAAATTACGGAAGACGATAAAAGGTTTGATAAGTATTTACTATATTAGAAACAAGACCAGGACATTTTAGAAAGGCATTGGTTGATTCCCTTCATAAAAACCATAAACCTATTATATTTCAGTGAAATAGTTCTGTGGAAAATAACTCAGTTCCCAACGACTCAGTGAGAAGAGTGGGCATCGCTTTTCATTTTTGCTAAACTATTTAATTTTAGAGTTAGCGGAAGATGTGGGTTTTCACAGCCACTTCAGTGTGGAGGGACCCATCCTTCTGGCTGAAGTACATAAAGAAAATACAGCTTTCCGCAGATGTGGGCTCGGCAGGAGACACCTCGAGGAGCCTGGCTGAGGTCCCAGGAGCCGGCGGGAGCTCCGGGAGGGTCTGAATCCCCGCGGAGGATGGAGGTGCTGGGCTTCAGGGATGCCAGAGCACCCGGGGGCCCCACCCCGTCCTCACTGGGGCCCCCGCGCCGGCCGGGGGTGAGGGACTCTTTCCAGTCTTTTTATGGGCCCCATAAAGCCCAGGGCTAGGGGGATATAAGGCTGGCCGCGCGGGGCGGCAGGGGGGTGGGCGGGAGGGACAGGCGCAGAGCACCCAGGCGGACGCGATGAGCCCCCGAGGTGGACGCGTGGGCATCTTGCTTTGCGCCCTATTGGGCACTGCCCTGGGTAAGCCGGAGGCCCGTCCCGACCGGAGGCTGATCCACGGCCTCTGAGCACCGGGTCCAGCGAACCCTTTCTCCGCAGGGATCCGCATGCGGTGCTACGACTGCGGAGGCGCAGGCCCGAGTGGCGGCTGCGCGCACAGCGTGATCACCTGCGGCGAGGGCGAGCGCTGCGGCTTCCTGGAGCGCGCCCCGCAGGCCGGCCTGGCGCAGAGCAAGCTGAACCGTGAGTGCGCCCCCTCCCCGTCCGGCCTCCGCGCGCTCCGCGGGCTCCCGGAGCCTGCCAGGCTCGGTCTGGTGCCAGGCAGATGGGCCTCTGTGGCCTTGGCGCAGTTTGTACGCATCAGACCGGGCCAGCGCCCCTGAGCAGCCCGGGCTCCTCCTCTGCGTTCCAAGGGGATCCTGGGGGCTTGGTGGCTCACAGAGAAAAATCAAACCCCAGCTTTCAGGCATTGGCCAAGGATCGGAAAGAATAGGTGTGCGTGAGTGCACGCGTACGTGCGTGCGTGTATTTTGAAATCATATTGGGTTGGCAGAAAAGTTGCAAAAGTAGGACAGAGAATATGAACTTCACCCAGCTTCGCTGAATGCTAATGTCTCGCACACCTGTAGAGCAATTGTGAAAAGCAGAAAATAGCACGGACAGTGTTACCCAGGAATCCTGACTTTTGGGCTGAACCAGTTGTTCCACTCCTGGCCGGCTTCCGGCTCCAGACAGAAACCAGGATGCCACCTACCTTTTAGCTTTCCTGGCTCGTTAGCCTGTCCCACGCTGTTCGAGTGCTCTGTGTTTTGTGACCTTGACACATTTATTATTTATTTTTGACAGCACTGGGAATTGCACGCAAGCCTTTGCACTCTGTCCTTTTTTATCTTTTGAGATAAGATCTCTCTAAATTGCTAAATTGCCCACATTGGGTTCAAACTTGAAATCCCCTGCCTTTGCCTCCCAGAAGGCTCTGATTAGAGCTCAGCATCTCCATGCCCAGCTAACCTGGACGCTTTTGAAGAATCCTGGTAGATTATTTCATATGTTATTTTTATTTTTTTGTTTTTTGAGACAGGGTTTCGCTATGTAGTTCAGGCTGGCCTTGAGCTCACTGTGTAGCCTTGGCTGGCCTCGAGTTTGAGGTCATCCTCCTGCCTCAGCCTCCTGAGTGCTGGGATTACAGGCATGTGCCACCACACCCAGCTATTTCATCGTTTATTTTTCACCCTAACTCTATGTATCAATCTGTCCCACAGAGAGAAGAGTGCCAAAATAGGCTAGACTTACTTTCTTGCTGTAGCAAATGTACCAGATTATTTTGATAATGAATATTTTAATACAATTAAATTTCCCTTTATGTTAGGTTATTTTGTAGACTGCTCCTTGGTTTAGATTCATCTACCATTTTCCTATGATGAGCCTGATGCTGAGTATGTTAGGCAGGAACACCACCCAAGCCCCTCATTCTCTCTCTCTCTCTCTCTCTCTCTCTCTCTCTCTCTCCCCCTCAGTGACCTTGAGACTGCACCAGCCAGCCTGCGTGGCCATCCATCGCTGCAATCAGGTGGAAACAGAGTCGGTGGGAGACGTGACTTACACAACCCACAGGGACTGCTGCGTGGGGGACCTGTGCAACAGCGCCGTGCCGAGCACCCTGGCCCCCGCGGGCATCCTGGCGGCAGCAGTCACCACCCTGACGTGGCTTTTGGCAGGACTGTGGAGCGGGTAGCAGGCTCAGGGCCGGGGGCAGGGGCAGGAGCAAGGGCAGAGGCGTGCTCTGAGCATCTACAAGAAGCAGATGAGCACTCCTCTGTGAGCCATTAAAATCCATCAACTCTTCCTCGGCTGGCTGGAAAAACTCCATCGCTCTCTTGTGGATGGGATTGCTAATGGAGTAACATGAGGGTTTCTGGCTTCTAGTTTGGGGGTTCCCAGTCCGTCAGTGGACACAGGTACAAGGGCTCACTCAAACAAGACCTCCCAAGGATGAGGATGGGTCTGCCTACAGTGACCCCAGGAATGCATCGCTAGGGAGACTCCTGCAAGGAGGGCAGGTCCAGCCTGGATGGGGCACCAGGAGCCCAGGAGCCTGGTTGGCTGCGTTTGCCCCTTTTTACCCCCTTTGCAACCTGGCTCTTGGTCGGACTGTTGTGAACGGAGAAAGGAAATGTCAGCCCCGAGATAGGCAGGCTGCCTGGGCACCCTGGTTAGTAACCAGGCCCAGGATGGCCTCCGACTCTTACTTGAGGCACTAGGGAAGGCAGGTCCCAGGCCCTGCCCCGTCTACACTTTCTGGAGAGCCTCAAGCCAGGTTGTACCTCCTTCTTGGCAGAATACCAGGGGCGTGCCTTGGTTTAGGAAAGACTTGTTGCTCCAAACAGTGGGGCCAGTGTGCCATCCCCAGACATTGGGAGGGAGAAGGGAGGCCTGAAAAACCTGTTCCTGCTTTTCCCAGCCCAGTCTCCCAGAGAAATACCCCTGAGGACTGCTGGGGAAGGAAGCGGAAGGCAGGGCACCGAAAGTGTTGTTCAGAGAAGGGGCTGGCATTGAGGTCTCCTCACAGTCAGTGCACCACGTGTGAGACACAGGCATTTATTACTGGAAACGAGAAGTGAGAGGCTGGGAGTCAGCCCTCGGGGCTGTGAGGGTGTCAGGTCCTTTGCTCGGAACTCGTGTGGGGGCCTGGATGGAAGCCCAACTCCAGGCCTGGATCCCAGTTCCTCCCCAGGGAGGGCACGGTACCATGCGGGAGACAAAGTGGGGAGCCGTCAGAGCCCGTGGGGATCCAAAGTGGCCTAGAGAGAAACAGGAGAGGACTCAGGCACACAGGGCAGAGAGAAGCCACTCTGAGCACCGTCCCACTAGAGAGGGGACTCAGGACACGCTCTTCTCAGGAAGGGGAGACAGGGAGAGACTGCCCTGGGAATCCAGGGGTGGGAGACGCAGGATGAGCTCAGACAAGGTGATGGGAGAAGGGGGAGCCACAGACCTCAGTGCAGCAGCCAGAGGCCGAGGCCAGCCAAGGAGGTGAGGAACACCAGGGCCAGGGCCGGCGTGGGCCTCGGGGCGGGGCTGTTGCAGTAGTCCTTCTCGCAGCAGGTGGTGTTGTAGTTCAGGCCCAACTTGTGATCGATTTTATCAAACTCCTCGTAACAGGGCTCCTCCGATGTGCCACAGCGGAGCTTGGAGTACAGCCACATCTTCCCTGGGGACGGGATTCGGGGGTCAGCTCCCCGCCCAGGCGCCTCCTTCCCTCTCACTCCACTGGCCCAGCTTCTTGGCCTCATAGTCTGCTGACAGCTCCTTATCCTGAACCCAGTCCTGGTTCTAACACCTGCTGGCCCAGAGGCATCAGGCCGGTTACAGTTGCAGCCCTCGCCTTGTCTCTTCTCCCTTTCCTTCATCCCGCTCTCCTCCCTCCTCTCTTTCTTCCCCTTCCTTTCCCTCCTCTTTCTCCTCCCGTAGTGGAGAAGGAACCCAGGGCTCTGGGCATGCCAGATGAGCTCTGAGCTATCCCTAGCCCTGTACTCTCTGAGGGTATTTCCTCAATGTAATGTTAGCCCTTGGATTGGTTATTGTGAGTGGTGGAACAGTGCCTCTGTGAGCTGAGCACGATGCCTCATGCTCATGACCCGAGCACCTGGAAGGCAAGAGGATCAAAAGTTTGAGGCCAGCCTGAGCTTCACTGTAAGACTGTGGCTCAAAAATCCAAAACCAACCCCAACCAAACCAAAGACAGTGCCTCTAAAGATATGGGTCCGTGATTGACCAATGATCATCCTTGCCCAAGAGTTAGTTGTCCCTGCTGTGGGTCTCTTCCCTTTCAATCTCAGCCCTGGCTGGACCTCAGGCCCACACCTGCCCCCCCACCCCATACCCTCCCAGCTAAGAAGGGACGGTACCAAGGTACACATTGGTTGTCAGGCATCGGTGTCCTGGCCTCAGTTGACAGGACTGCCGATTCACACAGCCCAGCACAGGGATCTTGTTGCAGGAGTGACAGTGAATGTCAGCTGGGGAGACACAAGTTGGGGTGACAGGGTGAGATGACTGGCTATCTGAGCCACCCGGGGTGAGCTGGTGGGGAGTGGGGGGTGGAGAAGGACCCCCCAGTGGCTCTGGGCCTGTTGGCTCCATCACTGATATCCAGGTGAGTCTGTGAGAATGGTGAGTGGGTGGAGACGAGGGTGGGGTTGTTGCTTGTGCAAGGCCCACACCCCAAACACCTTGTCCCACTGCGAGCATCAGGGATGATGAGTCAGAAGGGACACAGTCAGCAACACAAACCCAGCCACGGAGACGGGGGTGGAAAGAAACCACGGGAGAGAGGAATGGGAGGAAAGTGGAGGAGAGAGCAGAGACTTAGAAATGCAAGAAGCATGAGAAATAAGAATCACTGGCTGGGGGCTGGGGATTTAGCTCAGTGGCATAAGTGCCTGCCTTATAAGCAGGCAGTCTTAAGTTTGGTTCCCAGTACTGATAAAAAGCAAAAAGACAAAAACAAACAACCAAAAAAAGAATCACTGGCTACCACACTGCTTTCACCGCTGGAAATGGTGTGGGGCCACGGTGGCAGGCAGCCCCCCCGCCCCGCCCTGCTGTGACCAGTATTAGTGATGTAATTGCCCCTCGCTGGGCTGCCAAGAGCATGGGGACAGGCACCAGTCCTGAGCAGAGGCCTCCCTACCACAACTCTGGGTATAAGGAACAGCGCTTGGGAGCAATGGCCGTCTCAGCACCTCCCCAAAGTCAGTGGGTGCAGAAGGTGGCACCCTAGGGCTCCTGCTTCAGCCAAGTCAAGAGCAGAGGGCCTGGTGAGTGTGCCTCAATGAAACTCAGCTGCAGGCGAGGGGCCTTGCACCCCACTCCCTCCCTTGAAAGCTCAAGGAAGCCCCCTGGCTCCCTTGGAGTGTGGCGAATCCCAGCAGTGGTCACTGGAACCATACAGAAAGCTCACACCCCGGATAGGGGTGAGGTATGCAGCCCAGGAAGGAGAAGGGGTGAGGTAGGAAGGGCCACTGCCCAGTACTGAGTCCCTTGTGGCATCCACAGGGAGGTGGAGGTCCAAAAGGAGCATAGTTCTGGAGGCCCAGGTCTGAGGAGTCCTGCTGAGGGTAGGAGGGAAGAGGAGAACGCCACCGAATGTCCTATGGGGCTGGCCTGGGATCTAGACCTCAGCTGCCGAGAAGAGGGCAGGGCATCCTGGGGTGGGGATGAGGACTTAGAGCCCGGCTTGGTGAGAAGAGCCAGTCTGTCTGGGGCTGAGGAGGACAGTGAGGATGGAGCCTGGGTCCTGGGGAAATGGGAGGAGGAGGCTGCTGTGGCCTGTCTGATCCAGGGAGCACAGGACCAGGACCGATGGGCCAGGAGGGGTGAGGAGTGTTTGGGACCCTGAATGGTGTGCAAGGTAGGGCAGAGGAGCAGGGGGTGGGGGGCAGTGTTCCGATGACCCGGGCCCTGGGCCCAGGGGCTCACCTGTGACCCAGCAGAATAGAGCAGACAGGGAGAGCAGCAGCAGGCCTCTCGTGGCGCCCATCCTGACGTGGTAGTGCCCACAACAGCTGACAGAGTAGACTTCAGGGATCTGGCTCTGCGAGGTGAGCACCTTTTGGGAATTTATAATGCCAAAGGCTCCTCCCCACTCAGCTGCTTAGGACACCTCCCTCCGCGTTCACAGCTTTCACACTCGCAGTCCAGAGGCAGACCAGGTGTGGGGAGGGGCTGGCTGCCCGGCTTGGAATGGAGGGCGGGAGTGTTGCCCATAGCCAACTCCATTGTGGTTCTCGGTTCCAGGGCCCAACCAAAAGCCGCCACCGCCCGGTTCTCCCAAGGAGCATCAGGAGAGGGCCTCCAAAATTTAAGGTGTGAGAGCTTCCACTAGCATCCAGGAATGGGATAATGGGTTATGGCCAAAGTTGGCAGCCAACTCTAGGTGTGTGGGGACCACTGGCACGAGCACATGGACGGGAATGGGGGATGGAAGGGTTGGAATTCATCCCAATTCACTTGGGTCTCCCCAGCTTCTGCTCAGCCACAGGATGAAAGGGTTGTAATGTCATACAGAGTCTCTGTGACATCATGGGGGGTCAAGACTAGAGCTGTGAATCCAGGTAGGCCAGGCACACTGGTCGGGAAATGCCCTCTCAGCCTCCAGAGGGCTCTTGGGTGGGACCTCATCCTGATCCACTTGGCTGGGCATTGCTGGCAGGGAAGGGCAGCGTGGCACACAGAGGTGGGGTAGGAGCTAAATGAAGAAGTAACCCTAATGCCAAGTGCCCGAATGGTGTTCCTGTCTGCCAGCCACTGTTTGCGGGGCTGTGTATTATATTTCATTCTCACAATGTGTGGAGATGAAGTGTTTTTGTCTCCACTTTTTGGGTATGTGACAGGCAGAAGCTGAGCATAGCTGGTAAACGGCAAAGTCGGGGTTCCTGATACTCCGGGCCCCTGCCATGCTGGAGGAGTTAGGCAGGCAAATGCGCTGGCGCCGCCGAGGACCAGAGTGCAAGTGTTATGTGAGTACTGTTTGAGGGCGGTGAGTTTGCCACAGTTTCCCAGAGGGACGGAGCAGCTGGGGCCCCGTACCGGCTCTTATCAGAGCCCCCAGTGCTGCGGTAGCCCCGTGCCCCCTTCCCTCCGGTCTCCTCTGCTGATTCACTCTGGGCTCTCCCTACCACATCCCAGTCATGGCCCTGGTCCTGCAACTGCTGTCTCTGCTGCTCACCAGGGCCCACGGGGACGCGGGGGGTAAGCGGCCCCTGGGAAATTGACTGAAGCAGAGGAAGGGGCACCTGAAAGTGGGGTGTATGGGAAGATCCAGTGGCTGGGAGGAAAGAGGTGTGGGGGGTCATCTCACCACGTGGTCTTGCTCTAACTGCCCACCACCGCACCCTGTGTGCCTCCCTAGCTGCTTTGGTCAGTCGGCCTGGGGACCGGGTGAATCTCTCCTGTGTAGGGGTCTCGCACCCCATCCGCTGGGCCTGGGCGCCCAGTTTCCCCGCCTGCCAAGGCTTGTCCAAAGGACGCCGCCCGATCCTGTGGGCCTCAGCCAGCGGAATCCCCACCGTGCCTCCCCTCCTGCCCTTTGCTGGTCGCCTGCGTTCCCTGGACCCTGCTGTCCGCAGACTGGAGCTGCTCGTGGGTGTAGGGGACTCGGGCACCTTTATCTGCAAGGGCCACCAAGAAGAAGAGAGCCGCACCCTTTTGCACGTGCTGGGGGACACGGCAGATTGCAGGCCCCCGGGACCCACCCACGGTAAGCGGAGGCCAGCAGCCATGGGGTCTACAGTCGGGTGCAAAGCCTGGGGAGGCAGGGGACCCCGTGGAACCGCCCCTGACTTCGACATCCATCCCCTACGCTTTCCCCAGGGTCGGTGTATCCCCAGGTCTTCATTCCTCTGCTGGGCGCGGGGCTGGCGCTGGGCCTGGGAGCACTGGGTGTGACCTGGTGGCTACGCAGGTGAGCGGGGGCGGGGCCTGGTGGCTGCACACGCGAGTGGGCGGGGCCTGTCCTGATGGGGGGTGGTCAGGAGGCGAAAGTGCGGGACCCGAAACTTCTCCGGGCGTGGGGGAGGGGGGCGCGGTCGGAGAACCAGAGGTCCACTCCGGTGAGCAAGGTGCTGTGTCGCCGGGGGCTCTGTGCGCTCCTGGCGGAAGGAACGGGCCCAGAGTGCCCCAGGATGCGAGCGTGGCCCGCTGAACGCGGGAAGGAGCCGTCAGCGTGGGTCAGAGCCTGCAGCGCGGCGAGCCTGGCGCCTCTCAGAGCCTCCTTGCTCCTTCGCAGGCGCGCGCTCCCGCCCCCGCTCCCGCCGCTGCCCGCATTCGGTAAGAGGACCGCGCTCCGGTTCTTCCACTGCACCTGCCCGCCCTGCAGCCCCGCGTCTGGGCCCTTGACGGGAGCAGACACATTGGTCACCTTTTCTCCATCCGTCAGCTCTGTCCCCCCCATATAGCTCCATTTGCGAAAGCGGCGGCCCAGACTCCGGCAGAGGAGGGGGAGGACCCAGAGATTCCAGGGGACCGGGACCCAGACCCGGAGGAGCCGGTAAGGCCCGAGGATAGGAAAGGGGCTGGACAAAACCCCTGAGCATGTGGACCAAGAAAGAGGTCTGGATCCGGAAAGTCAGACCCCTGAGTCTGCCTTCCTCTCTGGCCTCTAGAGCCTGCTGTACGCAGACCTGGACCACACGGCCCTCAGGAGGCCCCGCCGGCTGTCTTCCATGGTCCCTGCTGACACGTCCACAGTCTACGCAGTTGTAGTTTGAAGGGAAGCTTTTGTCCAGCCCTCCTGGGGGGGGGGTGTGCTCCCTGCCTGCTCTAATCTTGACCTCCCCCTAGAAGAGGAAGTCCAGGGGGGCCTGGGTTCCAGGCTCTCTCTGCCACAGAGCTTGCTCCTTCGGTCATTCCCAGTCTTCCTTCAATTCCCACGATTCCTTCTCCATCTGTGTCTTCTCCAAGCCTCGCTAAGCCCTGTCTCCTTGTCATAAGACATCTGAATTCCCCCATGTTAGCCCAATGTCTTCAGAATCGTTTTTTGATCGGCAGTATAGGCCTCTCCCTGCTGCTCTCCTGCTGAAATTGCTTACTCTCTACAAGGGTGCCAGTGATGTCCTGGGCGCCATCCTCCAGCATTCATCTGGCTTGGCTTGGATCGTCCCCTTTAAGCTGTTTTACTTGCCGCTGGTGTCTTCTGAATTCCCCTCCCTAATTCACCAGCCCCAACATTCTAGGTTTGCCCCTTTTTTCCCTTCAGCCCTCTTCAGGGAAGCTTCTATCCACAGCCCTTCTTCAGCCCCGCTCTTTACAAATGGCACCAGAATTCTCTTCTGTCTAGATCTAGTGCCTTGTATCCAGCAGCCCCAGGCATTTTGCAAATGTCAAACCCAGCTCACTGTCTTCTCCCAAATCACTTGAGGAATCCTTGAGATAGTAAACCAGCCATCCCTGAAACTCACTGCAGCCCAGGCTGGCCTTGAACTCAAAGTGATCATCTTACCTTAGCCTCCCTAGTGCTAGGATTACAGGCTTGTGCCACCATGCCTGGCCCCTCCTCTAGACTCTCTTCTGAGGGCCAGGGATTTAGCTCAGTGGTGTAAGAGCTTGCTTGACAAGCACAAAGTTGTGAGTTTGAACCCCAGTACCAGAAAATAAACAAACATAAATAAATTCTCTTCTGAACAACCCAGTTGCCCAAGCCAGAAACTGGGAGTCATGCAAGACCACGTGGTGAGATGACCCCCCACACCTCTTTCCTTTGTCACTCCCACACCGTGAGCCATAGAGCTTTATCCTTCTACCAGATGTCACTGTCAGATCTACACCTGTCTCCATGCCCATCACTGACATCACATTGTACTTTCCTAACTTCTCTGCTGGGCCATCCAGTGTCCCAACTCACCCTCTTGCCCTCTGGGAAGCCAGGTAGACCTTCCTCAAGTACTAAACCACTCCCAACAGTCTTCTTTCCAAACTTGGGCATTTATCTCTGTACCCTTCAGCTCTGGGCCTGGGGTTTTGATACAAGGTGACCCAGTGTTTTTTTTTTTTGTCACTCTACATGCATACAACATGCCAACCCAGCCCCCAAATATACCTTTGCCCTTTTTCCCCGTTAGAGGACTTGATCCAGGTATATCCTTTGGTGGAAAGTTGTTCCTGACCCTTCTTCCCTATTCCTGCATATACTTTGATGCCCTAGGGAGTCTCCGTATTTTTTTCAGAGAACAGCCTCCAGAGAATTATTCCATCACAACCTGTATTTCCATCTGTAAGAAACTTTCACATATTGTAAATTTCCTGACACTGACTTTGTTGATATAACTGTTGAGCCTCTCAATAAATGACTGAATGAAAATGCCCCTGGTAATTACATTTTTTTCTTTTCTATAAAATAAAAGGTGAACTAGTAATCTACCAGTGTCTGAATCATCTGGCATTTAGATAAACTCGTATAGGGATCAACCCACATACTCCTTTTTCGACTCTGACATGCTGTCCGTATGACAAGGCTGGGCAATGAAGTACCTAATAAGAGCTTTTTAACCAAAGAGGCTTCCTCAGACACTCCCAGTTTCAGCCCTGTCTCATCCCTTTGCCCTGGTAAACACATCAGCCACAGCCCAATCTAAAAGGCCAATTCTGTTTTATTGGTTTTGAGAGACAGAGAGAACTCACCCAGTCACCCCTGTCCCTTTCCCCGTGCTATGCCCTCTATCTTGGGGACCTCTCTCCCCACTCCTCACCATCCTCCATCTAACCCTCCTTCCCGGTCTACTCCCTATGCTGCCACCCCTGGGCAAACAGAACCCCAAGGCCAGGTCCTTAGCTGTGGGGGCGCGTGCTGAGCATCAGGCAGAGGGAGCTGAGCCCGGCGCCAGCTTTCTCCAGTTCTGAGCAGGACACAGGGACCAGAGTGACATCAGAAAGCTTCTGCAATGCCTACAGGGAGGATGTGGAGAGGGGAGTAGGACCTGGAAGCCAGAGCCACACCCTCTTTTGGCCAGCTCATAGCAACCCCACCCACAGACTTCTATAGAAGTACCCCTCCTTCCTCCCACTAGGAAAAGAGGAGACACCTGGTTTTGGTTGGTAACAATGGGACTCTTGCCCTCCCTCACCTCCTGGCTGTTGGGCAGGTCCCCACCTCCTCGGTGCAGAAGGAAAGATGGTCCACCAGGCAACCCAGGACGCAGAAAGAGACAGTCAGCAGCTGCGTCATCCGGGAGGGTCAGGGAAGCATAAGGGTGATCTGTCAGCGCTGCCATCGTCTGGGACACAAGAAAGAGGAAGTGTTTGGCCTCAGAACGTCTCCACAATTGCTCAAGTTTTACTGAGGATCCACGATAGATTAGATTTGTCAAGTAGTAACACTAGCAAGCAGGCAGTGCTTGCTTTGTTTTGGAGGCCACTCAAAGTGCTGTCACTACCCCAGTCCAGTTCTGAGCCCTTTAGTTACTTTTGCTAACTTCCCAGTCACATGTAGTTCTTTTCACCTACAGCCCACTTCTCCCCTCCCACCTGCCTGTCCTACACCTCCCACAGGTCACAGCTTCTTCGATGCCACCATTAGGTGTTTCTCAAAACTCTAGAAGAGCAAATGCATCGCCCCCTCTTCCCCAGTCTCCCAGCTTCCTGTCCCACTATTGAGCTTTTTGCTTCCTTGTGTGTACACAGCTCAGTGAGGACAACTGTGTTTTTGTTTGTCATTTCGAAACAGGGTCTTGCTATGCAGCTCAGGTTAGCCTTGATCTCACTTTGTAGCCCAGGCTAGTTTCGAACTCACAATGATCATCCTGCCTCAGCCTCCAGGGATTACAGAAGTGCGCCACCATACCCAGCCCTAGAGTGTTGAAGCCCTGTCCAAGCCTCCTAGCTCCCTGCCTCCCCAGGCCGGAGCCACGCCCACCCCTGGCCCCGCCCCTCCTCACCCGAACCGCCTTCTGGGCAGCCTCACTGCTGCCCGCCACTACGGTGCGGGGTCCCCCCATGCCGCAGAGGCCGCGCAGGTGGGAAGGACCTGACACTGGTACGGTGGAGACCGCAAAGTCCTAGAGGGCAAGGGGAGGCGTTTAGGGGCGCAGGAGGTCTGAGGCGTGCCTCCGGCCAGACACGCCTCAACCTCTTCCTTGGGAGGAGGGGGGGTCCCTAGGCCACCCCCTCTCCAGGAGGAGCCGCGCTCACCCGGAACGTGTCCGCTACGATCTCTGCTCCTCGGTGGTTGGTCCACTTGGAGAGGCCTACGAAAAACTCCCGGCCTGCGCCCAGAGCGATAGGGAGATGGAAACAGGGCCGGAGCCCGCCCAGTCTCCTAAACTTCCCGTGATAAAATCTAGGAGTGCCGGACACCGCCACCAGCCTCACCGGTGAAGAGGACGTCGGTGCCGTCCAGCGTCGCGCTCTGGTCCCCCATCTCCACGATTCGGAGTCCCAAGTCCTGGAGGGCTTTGCGGACTCCATCCACCTAGGGGCGGGAGCCGTGAGCGCGAGGCTGAGACCGCCGAGCTCCCAGCTCCTCCCCTCCCCCACCGCACCGTGCCCTGGCCCCCACCTCGGGTCTTCGTGCCGGGCTCCAGGGCCGCGTGATGAGGGCTGTGTCCCCCTGGATCACGGCCGTGTCGCCGAGCAGTGGTCCCAGAGGCAGTGATTCTTCAGGAGGCAGTTCTAGCAGCTGTAGTCCCAGTCGCTGCCTCAGTTTACCCCCCAACACCCCATGCTCCCTTTGAGCTTTGGCTAGGTCCAGAGCCGGAAGGCCAGCCACGGCAGCCTCCCCGGATCCCAGGCTCTCGGGGACACCCCGGATCAGGGCATGGGAGCAGCGGCCCAGCCCCTCCCCCGGCGGCCCCATCCCATCCACACAGACGCCCCTCTTGGTTGCTGATTTCCGAGTTCTCTTTTTCCTTCACGTGTCTGGAAGAGACAGAAAGCTGGGAGAGAAGAAAAAGATAAGCAGAGCAGGGCGTGGGGTGGGTGAGGGCGCCTGGTTTCCACCCGCTATCTCCGGGCGCCCCTCCCACCGCCCCACCCCCTCCAGGCCTCGCTTTCCAGTGGAACCCGCGCAGTCCCGCACCCCCTGCGTTGTTGCTCCTTTAAGAGGAGCCCAAGGAGCAGACTGGGATCCCTAATCTCCAAAACACCTGTTGTCCCCGCTCGGGGGCTTTGTGAGGTCCCAGCCAAGCGCTCCTCTTGGCAACCACTAGGATGCGCTCACACCCCAAAAATGCGGCGGCCCCGCCCCCTTAACCCTCAGCTGCTCGCAGCCTGAGTGACCTGAAGTCCGGCCAGGTCCCGCGGGGGTTAAGGGACAAGAGGAGAAAGTGAGGGGCGAGTCAGGCTAGGGGGCTGCCAGGCGCGGACGCCCCAAGGAGAAAGGGGAAGAGGGCGGGAAGAGAGGACTTAGGGCCTAAGGAGTTAAGCATCCTCTCTCCACCCCGGCCGGCTGCGCTGCCCCCGTCGCGACCCGGTATAAACCAGACCGAGTCCCGGAGGACTGGGAGAGGTCGAAAGCGAAATGCAAGGGGCGGGGAACCGGGGCGTGTTCGGGGGCGCGACCGCCGCTCCCTGCTCCAAGACCCTGCGCCCCTGCCCATGTTCCACGAAGTCCTCCCTTCCGGGCTCCGCACCCGAACGCCGGTTCCCCGCTCATCCTGGCCAGCGAGAACACAAGGCTCAGCACGCCTCAACTCCAGCCCCCCCGCGCTCCAGGGGAGCCCCTTTCCCAGACTCACCTCCTGCGGTCGCCCCTACTCCAGCGGCACCGCAATCTGGGCCAGGGCGCCACCCCCGGAAGGCAGAGTTGGAATGTAAGTCCTAGTCTTAGAGAAAGGAAGCCTGCAAACCCAGGGCCTTTAGGGGTCCTTGGGCGGAGGAGCTCACATATTGCAGTGGGGCGGGGGCGCGACAGTCTGGCGGCTCCGGGGCATTGTCTAAGCGGGACGGGGCGGGGCCTCCCAGGCCACGCCCACTCCGCCCTGCTAGGCCTCACCCACTCCCCCTGAACTCCGCACCGCCCTGAGTGCAGCCCAGGCCCACCCGGATCTGCTGGGTCTGGCAGCGGGTCTGCAAACGCGGCATGGACCACTGGGCAGTGAAGGGCAGCGATGAGGTGGACGGCCATCAAGAAGGGCATCTCCACCCTAAACAGCCTACTGCTTCACTGTTGGCCTCTGCCCTGCACTGGAGATCATTGACCCACCCCTCGTTCCATGCCAGCCACATTTCAAGCCTTCTTTGTGTAAAAACAACACCAGAGTCTCATTCTGTATTTTATTACTGAAATACTTGTCCTACCCGCCCACCCCACAAAAAAATCTTACCCGTAAGCCCCCTACTTCCCTTCCCTTTTCCCCAGCCAGCCACCCACCCACACCTGCACAAGTGCCCACCAGCCCTTTGGATATGTCCATTGGGAGCAGTGTGGAAACCAGCCAGGGGCTCCAGGGCGAGCTTGCAGGAAAGTGAGTGAGGGAGCCCCGCCACAGCCTTATTTGAGGGCCTTGGCCACCTGCTCATAGGCCAGCTCGATCTCCTCATCATCTGGACAGGTGGAGGCAAATTCTTCCCGACTGTAAGCGTTCCTCAAGTACCGATGCACTCCCTGAAAGGCCTCAGGAATGGTGAAGCCCCTGTACTTCTTACAGACCACCTGGGGGTGGAAGAGGTCAGACCAGGTTAGGCCAGAGACAGACCCCATGCTGGCATCCTTCCTATTAAGAAATGCATGATAGCCGGGCGTGGTGGCTCACGCCTGTAATCCCAGCATTCGGGAAGCTGAGGCAGGAAGACCGTTTTGAGTTCCAGACCAGTCTAGGCTACAAAGTGAGCTCAAGGCCGGCCTGAATTGCACAGCGAGACCCTGTCTCAAAAAGACACACACACGATAAAAAAATCACACTTTTTTGTCCAGGCATTCAAGATCCTCCACTTTCTGGCTATGTTTTACATGAAATTTTCCAAATTAGCTTTCTTGACTCCTCTGTTGCAATGTCTTCATTCTTTTCACTTACTGAAATTCTGGCCATTATTAGCCAGACCCCTAGGGTGTGAGGGGTGAACACTTGTAATCCTAGCACTTGGGAGCTGAGGCAGGAGGACTGCCATGAGTCTCAGGCCAGCCTGGGCTACACAGTGAGTCCAAAGCCAGCCCTATGCTACAAAATGAGACTTTGTCTCAAAAACACAACAAACAAACAAAAACCCAGACCCCTCCTAGACCACCCCATTCCATGGTGCAACTCTTCTCCTCTTCATATTTATTTTGCAGGACTGGGAATTGAACTCAGGGCCCTTGCACAGAAGTAAGTCCCCCAGACCTTCTTTAAATTTTGAGACAGGGTCTGAATCACTCAGTGTGGGCTTGCACATGCCATTTTCCTGCCTCAGCATCCCACAGTGTTGAGACTACAAGTGTGCACTGCCACAGCTGGCTGGTTTTTGTTTTTGTTTTTGAGACAAGGTCGAGCTATGCCGTTCAGGCTGGTCTCAAATTTAGCAATCCTCCTGCCTCAGCCTCCTGAGGTGGGATTATGAGTGTACCACCATGTCTGGGTCCTCACTCAGGTTTTTAAACAAAATTTGATATAGGATGGAAGTGTAGCCCAGTGGTAGAATACAGGCTTACCATGTGGGAAAGGTGAATTTGATCTCCAGCACCAAAATAAAACAAAAAGATGTAATTTGTACAGAGACTTTTTTTTTTTTTGGTACTGGGGTTCAAACCACAACCTCCTGCTTGCCAGGCAGGCACTTCTGGCACTGAGCTAAATCCTGGGCCCAAGATATAATTTATACACTATTAAATTCTCCTGAGGTGGGGCTGGGGATTTAGCTCAGCAGCATAAGCACCTCCCTTGCAAGCAGGCAGTCGTGAGTTCGATTCCCAGTACCGATAAAAAAGAAAAGACCAAAAAAAAAATTCTCCTGAGGTTCTACAGTGGCTTTCTTGTTGCATCATTTGATTTTTAGTCTCTCTTTGCTGTGCTGGGCAAGGAACTCAGAGCCTTATGTGCTAGGTGAGCATTGAACCACTGAGCTACAACCCCAGCCCAGTCACTTATTACTATTATTATTATTATTATTGTCTTTTTCTTTCTGTCTTTTTTTTTTTTTTTTTTTTTTTTTTTTGAGACAGGGTCTCTCTATGCAGTTCAGACTGGCCTTGAGCTCACTTTGTAGCCTAGGCTGATCTTGAACTCACAACAATCCTCAGCCTCAGCCTCCTGAGTGCTGGGATAACAGGTGTGAGCCACCGTCCCGGGCTTATTATTGTTTTTTTTGAGATAGGTATGCAGTTCAGGCTCGTCCTGAATTCACTTTGTATAGCAGGTCTAGAACTTGCAGTGATCATCCTGCCTCAGCCTTCCAAGTGCTGGGATTACAGGGGTGTACCGCCACACCTGGCCTTGGTCACATTTTATTCATTAATTTTCTCATGTGAATGTTTTATATATTATTGGTTCTTTTTGAAAAAAGAACCAAAAATCAAACAGTATTTGTCTTTCAGTGCCCACCACAGGGTATCGATTACTCAGCTGCATGGCAAACTGACATTGGGCTCCTGTTTCCTAAACTGAACCATTGATTTGAGCTTACAGCACCACAACAAAAACACGGGAAGCAGCAGTTTTCATCTTCCTTAAGAGGAAGTGGAGACGGAAGTTAGAGTTACAGCGTTGATTGAGGGAAAGTCTACTCTTTATCTGGGCATATGTCCACCCCAGCCCAGTCCTGAGGACTGAAACTAGAACCTTTGAACTGAGCTATATCACAAGTCGTTTTTCCAATTTTGGGACAGTCTTGCTAAGCTGCCCAGGCTGAATTTTTTTAAAATTTGTGACGCTCCTGCCTCAGCTTCCCAGACAGCTAGGATTAAAGGCACCTGCCACCACGCCCAGCTCAATCTGAGGATGCCATAGTGATATAAAGGCAGGAAGAGTCTCCTGGAAGTTAATATTAGAATGTGTTCCTCTCAGTCAGGCTGTGAGCACTCAGACTGTAGCATGGAATGGAATCCTCCTAATTCAGCAACAGCTGCTGAGGGCTGGGGCTTGCCACTGACGGCAATGCATGCAGACTATTCCAGGAAAGAAGCTGACTCCGGAGCAGCTGCTCCAGGAAGGCTGTGGGGAGCCCCTCTGCACCCCAGCAGCCATGCCCTCCCATAGACACTGCCCACCTGTACTATGTGCAGCTTTGGCAACAGGTTGCAGTCAGCTAGGGTGAGCTCGTTGCCATCTAGAAACTTCCTCCGAGAGATGCCCTCATCTTCCGCACTGGTCTCATCCACTTCTTCTGGGAGTGGAGATATCAAGTAATTGTCTAAAATCTTCAGGGCTTTCAGGAGCCCCTTCTCCAGATCTGTGTAAGAGACAGCAGTGATGAAACCATCCGAAGACCAACTCGGAAGACTGAGTGATCTGGGGATATATCTGCTCCGGCCCAGTCCTGGGGGTTGAACGCAGCACCTCTGAACTGATATATCACAAGCCCTTTCTTCTGATGTCCAAAGACACATGGGTGTTCTAGCCCAAAACACCCATGGGTACAATGGTGGAGCTGGTCAAAATAACAGTAAGCACTAATGTAGGTGGCTTGCTTATTCTAAGCACTGTTTTTTCTTCTAGTGGAGCTGAAGATTCAACGCAGGGCCTTGCATATGCTAGGCAGGCTCTCTACCACTCCCTTATTCAAAGAGCTTTAGAAACAAAACTTTCCTTTAATTCTCACACCAACCTAGGAAATAGGAATTACTGTCCTCATTTTAGAAATCCATGATGGATTTACCAGGAGGTTAAATGAATTGCTCAGTTAGATTCGTACACAGGTAGTCTGAATGGTTCTTTAAACACAACCTCATTCTGCCGGAAAAAGGCCAGCAGCCAACTAAGGTCTCAAGGGGGGCACAAGAGGCTGGGGAACAAATAGAGAGGCTTGAAACTCTCAGCAATGAGAAGGTGGAGAGACAAGGGATGAAGCAGAAACACAGGACTGAGAAGGTTTGCTAACATCTGCTCCATCTCTCTGACATCTGATCTTTCAGTTGCTTCAAATGCCTCAGGCCCGGGTCCACTCCCCAGCTCCAACACGGAGGCCTCTGACTGGCATACTCACTATCATTGAGAGCCGGGTTTGAATTCTTGATGTAGGCAGAAAATTTGGCAAATACGTCCAGCCCTGCTGTGTTAGACTCAGGGTTCAGAGCCGCCAGCTTGGGGTACCTGAAAGTCATTGGGAGAAACAAGGTAAGACATATTCCAAGGGGAGCCTCAGTGAGCTCCCCCGCCGCTGCCCCACCAAAATCTCCATTTTCCCAGCATCCTTATACCTGGGAGGACACAGCATGGCCTCCAGAAACTCCTCGATCTTGTTGGTGTCTGTGTGTACTTCTGTGCCATACAGCAGGAATGGGAGCTGCCCTCCTGGACACAACTTCTGCACTGTCTCAGTCCGCCTGAGGAAGAGGCCAGGTATCAGGACAGGTGAGAGGCATGCATGCACCAGTGGAAACCAGACTGGAGACAGAGGCAAGTGGGGAGAGAGATGGGCTCCAGATGGAGGGGAAAGGGAGGACCCAAGGAAGGACTCAGTGGGCGGGTACACGGGTTTACACATAGGAGTGGAAGAGGAACAGAAGTGAGCCCACCTCTTGGTGTCAACAGTGGTGACGTTGAAGGTGACTCCCTTGAGCCAGAGCACCATGAACAGTCTCTGGGAGAAGGGGCAGTTCCCGATCTTGGCCCCATCACTGCCAGCCTGAAATGCAACCCCCACCTAGAGTTAGGCCTGGTGCAGCTAAACGCTCCCGCTCCCGCTCCCACTCCCAGGCCACTCAGCAGCTCCTACAGTCCCAAACCAGCTTTGTTCTGCCCAGAAAAGACAAGTATGCTGTCCTCCCCCTAAAATTCACCTAGGGCAGATCCACAAGAAAATTTTCAGCGCAAGTAAAAGCGGGTTTCTGGTTTCCTGAAGATTAAGACAGGAGGGAGGAGGTGGAAGGAAAACTAGGAGGATCTGGTGCTGGGGATTTAGCTCAGTGGCAAGTCGTGAGTTCGATCCCCGGTACCGATTTAAAAAAAAAAAAAAAAAAAAAAAAACCAAAAAAAAAAACCTAGGAGGATCTGACTCCCAGAGAGGAAGGGGTTGGGGGGCTGGAGCCCTGGCTTCCCGGGATACTGAGTGGCCCAGAGTCTAAGACCAGGAGAGGTAGGGCGAGTTTTTAGAAGCCAGAGTTCTGGTTCACCACACCTTCCACTACCCAGACTACACTGCCTCAGCCTTTTCCAGGCTGCAGGCTCAAGGGGTCTGCGGCTTGGCGTGGAAAAGGGGGCTGCCCTCCAATTGGCAAGCGGTGACCTCATCCCCTAGGGACGCCTCCCGCTCGGCCGAGTGTGATTCATCTCTGTGTCTTGGTCTCTGCGCTTCCTTCCTGTCGAGGAGGTGGGGGCAGGGCCCAGGCAGCTAAGGCTAAGGCCGCGCTCCAGCGCCCCTTTCCGATCACTAGGTTCCCCGCACGCACGCGTCCTCGGGTCCCCCATCACTCACTCCACGTAAGGCACGGTCTGGAATCTGCAACGCAGCCTCACCCAGGAGTAAAAATAGGCCCGATGGCTAGCAAGGGAGTGAGGTGGGGAACCACACCTAAGGGGGCGGACCCAGCCCGAGCTGACTTCCAAGGCCCGGGGAGAGGGAATGGCTGCCCGAGAAACCGGGCCTAAGGGAGGATAAACGTTTGCACGGGAACACACACAAAGCCGAGATGAACAAAACAGAAATGTGGAGAAAGAGCCTGGACAATGTGCAGAGACGCAGATCAGTGGTCAGCGGAAGGGAGGGGCGGTTCAGTCGCATTGGTCCGCTCCCTGTGGTTCTGATGCCCAGCTGCCACGGAACCAGCTCGGTCCGACTACACCCGCAGAGAGCTGCGCCCAGTTTCCCCCCGGTCCACGACTCTGTCCAAGCCCAGCTGGGCTCTACTCCGCCCGTCCCAGCGTGGCTACCGCTAAACGCTCATCTCCTCTCCGCTTCTCTTTCTCTGGTTTCTGAGTCCACTCGGGGTGTTAGGCTCACCCCACCAGCTCTCAGCCCAGTTCCCTAACTCCACTCCCACTCTCCCCTCTTCCGCCCTTGCCAATTCACCTCCTTCCACTCCCTGGGTGTCTGCAACACACTCTGCTGGAATTCTCCCCTGCCACACTCACGCACGCACACACACGCAACCCCCCCATCTTTCTGGCTTCCTGGGGTCGCGCTCGGGGCAGACGTTTCCTTCGGTCCTGCCCAGGTCCTGATTTGCCCCCGCTCCCCGTCCTTTGCACCCCACGCACCCCAATCTCCTCACTCCTGCAAACTCCTTTTCCCCACTTTTCTCTCCGCTGGAAACTTGCTCTACTAACTTTCTGGGGTCTAGTCCAGAACTCTGAGTCCCCCGCGAGCTCCCCCGGCTCTCACCCCTCCACGCTCGCGAGCCCGCACGTGGGCCCGGTGGGGGCCGGGGCGACGCGCCGGGCCGCAGGAGAGGCCAGCATGGGCTCCAGGAGGCCGGCGGCGGCCGGGCAGCGCACCGCACCCTTACCTTCACGAACAGCTCGACCTGGGGCTGCTCTTCGGCCATGGCTGCCTGCCGCGGGGACCAGGAAGCGGCGGCGGCGCGGGGGACAGGGAGGGGCCGGCGGGAGGGCGGGTCTCGGGTCGGGGCTGCCCAGCCAGCGCCCACCGCACGAGTCCGCTGAGACCGGCGCGCGCGGAACGCAGCTCCGCACCTGCCCGGGGCACCCTACGCCCAGCGCCGCAGCTGCGGCCCCTCCCGGGCTGGGTCGGGGAGTCGCTGACTCACCGGCCGGCCCCGCCCAAGCCTGGGGAGGGGACCGGAGGCGGGCGGGACTCACCCGGCTAGGCAGTGGGTCCGGAGGATCGGGCGTCCTGGCCCCCCAGAGGATCGGGGACGGGGGCCTTAAGATTAGCTGGGTACCTCGTCCCTCTGACCTCTCTTGGCCAAAACGCTTTCTCCTGCCTCAGTTTCCCTGCTTCATTAAGCGAAAGGGTGGTTCACCCTCCTGGAGAAATTTGACACTAAGGGCTGGGGCCTTGAAGATGCAGAACGCAGCGGTTCTGCATTCCTTCTAGACTCCAGTCTCCATTCTGGGGCGCTCCCCAGGAGGCTGAGGTATGAGAGTTCAAAGTTCAGGGACAGCTAAGCAAGACTCGGTCTCCAAAGGAAATCAAAAGTGTTGAGGATGTAGCCCAGCTTGTGAGGCCCTGGGGTCAATTCCCAGCACACTCGCACCCCACCCCCCACCCCCAAATAGTGAGGGGTTGTTGGAACTCTGATTTCTGAGAACTGGAAACCAAAGCTGTTGTCGAGGTGGCGAAGAAAAGTAGCTCAGGGATAAGAAGGGAGAGTGGGAGGCCAGGTGCTGGGGAAACCGGAAGCCGAGCTGCGGGGCTTCCTGGCAGGGCCTCCTCTGCTGGTGGGCTGGCCAGCGGTAATGCTTCCACTGCTGCTGCCTCCACCCGCCCTCGCCTCTTGGGCCCCTTCCTGTGCCTCTTGCCCTGTTGTGACTGGTCGGTTGCCTAGGAGACAGGTGCTGGGGTAGAGTTATCGCTGCACTACAATACAGCTGCACTGATCTTGGAGGTTGGGGGTGACAGCTGTCTTTATCACCCTGATAAAGCAAAGGTCTGACAGAAAAGTGTGAGTGGGGCCCCGAGGGATACCTGTGTAGGTAAACAGGAAAGACAGGAGCAACCAACGTAGCTCTCTCCCTTTCCCAGTAACTTTGATTTGGGAGGGGCTACCAAACTGTGATCTACTGGAAAACCTCCAAAATATGTTCCCCAGACAGCACACATTCCAGTCTCCACATGAGTTGTCTCCTGTCCAACCATCCCTTCTCTTTCCTCCTTGCCACCCTCTGTCCTACAAAAGGCCTACAGTTCCAGAAAAATACGCTGGGCTGCAAGCAAAACAGGGCTTCAAACTTAATGAAAAGGAGAGCCTGGGGGAAGCGTGGGGTGGAGCAACCATATGCCTGCTAGAAACCAGCAGTTAGTGGTTTCCTCCCATGCTTCCTCTTTTGTGGGGTGTCTTGGTTGGGGGGAAGGCGTGTTTCTCTTCTCCCCCAGAAGACGGTATATTTGAGGTTCCCTCCCTTCAATTCCAACATTCCGTAAGGATGTAGAATGTTTCTGTGTGTGTGTGTGTGTGTGTGTGTGTGTGTGTGTGTGTGTGTGCGCGTATGAATCCCCACCTTAGTGAGCCCCCAAGTCTGCACACAGGACTTCTTGCTACCACCTAGGGGCAGCCAAAGCAGCCCTACTTCCCAGAGTCCTCTCCCATTCCATGGGAAGTGTCCATCTGAGGCTCTGAATGATGAAGGTCTCTGGAAGAAGTTCGGAGGAAATGGGTCCAACATTAAGCTGGAACAGGTTTGGCAGCCTCTGCCCTGCCTCTTTTCCTTACGCTTTATAGATACAGCTGCCTTGATCACCAGTATTGACTTTGGCTGGCCTGCATGGCCCACAAAGTGTCCTGCCTTAACTCCCCAGGCAAGAGGCAGTGCTGTCCTCTCTGGAGCCATTCCTGGGTGCCCCATAGATTTGAGGCCACAGGCGGCACCCCTGAATCCTGCACTGGACAAGTTTCCCTCTCATTTCATTCTTGGCCTTTGCTTTTCTCCTATCTCACTATCTTTTCCTTCTGTAGGCTTCTCTTTCACTCTCTGCCCCTCCTTGCTGGGTAAACCAGTCCCTAATCGCTTCACACCCCGCACTGAAAGGAGTGTTTCTCCCTGCCACACCCCAGAGCTGTCATCAGAGTCATCCAGGTTTCCATAGCATTGTTGCTCAACATCGTGCCACAGGTAACCATTAACTCAGCTCTTAACCCTGCTCCTTACCTTACTTTTTTCATTCTTTTTTTTTTTTTTAATCGGTACCGGGGATTGAACTCATGACCGCCTGTTTGCAAGGCAAGTGCTTATGCCACTGAGCTAACTCCCCAGCCCCCTTGCTCCTTACCTTTCTCAGGTCAGCATGACCAGGTGGTCATCTCTCTCTGGTTTCCCAACCTCTTAGGCAGGACCTCCTCATCTTCCCATCTCAGGGTACCAAGAGCAAAGCCGAGGAGGAAGATGTATTTAAGAGAGGGGGGGGGCTGGAGATAGAACCCAGCACCTTTACACTGAGCTACCTCCCAGCCTTTGGGTTGTTTGTTTTAATTTTCAGACAGGATCTTATTAAATTATCGAGACCATGCTTGAACTTGCAATCTTCCAGCCTCAGCCTCTGGAGTAGCTGAGATTAAAAGTGTGAACCACCACACATGGCTAGTCAAGGAACTTTTTAAACTATATATGTGTCTGTGCCTTGCAACCTCCTGCCTTCCCTCACTCCCCTAAATACACTAAAAGACAAGCTTCAGGGAGCAGTGAAGCTTCAGGAAGCCCACCACTTAGAATCCATAGACTGTTCCGGGGTAGGCACTAAGTAGATGCTGAAAGAAGGAAGACATCGGGGCTGGGGATTTAGCTCAGCGGCATAAGTACCTGCCTTCAAGCAGGCAGTTGTGAGTTTGATCCCCGGTACCGATAAAAATGAAAAAAAGACCAAAAAAAAAAAAAAAAGATGAAGACATCCTCTGTCCTTAGAGAGAGAGAGAGAGAGAGAGTGTGTGTGTGTGGGTAGGGTACCCAGCATAGCACAATACTGGTGTAAGTGTTCTTACTAGGGCTATATCTTTTGACATATGGTGTCATTCAAATTTTCCACCACTTGAGGCGCTGAAATAATAAATTAGGTCCCATGGTGCCCTCTCTTGTGGATGTGGTCATATCCTGCACCCAGGAAATAGGGAAAGTAGGGCTGAGATAGGAGTCTTGCTTCTTATTTCTACATATTTATTTATTTACTTTTATTTTTTATTTTTTGTGTTTTTGACACAGGGTCTCGCTATGCTATGCAGCTCAGGCTGGCCTTGAGCTCACTTGTAGCCCAGGCTGGTCTCGAACTTGCAACGATCCTCCTGCCTCAGCCTCCCGAATGCTGGGATTACAGGCGTGAGCCACCACACCCAGCTTACATATTTATTTAAAACACTTGCATAAAAAAAAATAAATAAAACACTTGCATAGTTCTTACTTTGTTCGCCAGGCAGTTCTAAATTCTTTATAAATATTAACTCGAAGGTTACAAATATTAACCTAGAGTTGTTGGCACAGGTTAAAGTAAAATTGCGTCTCTCCATTCTCCAGAAAGTAAACAGGGACCTCTGGCCCTTTAAGGTCGGCCTTCTTCCAGAGTCCCCTAGACCCCTTTCCCGGACTTGGACTCAGGCCCAGCTTCCGACCTTCTCTCAGGCTCCGCCCTACGTCAATCAAAGCCCAGAAACGCCTGGAGCTCAAGGCCAGGCTGCTAAGCAACGGCAGAAGGCGGGAAGTTTGAACGTTATGGCACCGCCCCAAGAACGAATAGACCAATCATAGCCAATACTCTTCTTTGCCTGCGGTCCCCGCCTCCTTCTCGCCCTGTTACATCCCAAGGCGGGATTCCGGACCCTCCGACCGCTGTGGCTCGGGGGGCGGGGCCATGCGCGCGCAGCACCCCACGCCCTTTTCCTCCTACTGTCAGCCTGTCAGTCTTTGGGGCAGTGTCTTGGTGGTTGTGACCTAGGTGACGAAAAAGGCGGGAAAACGCCGGGAGTTGGCAGCGGTGTCGGCGGGAGGGACAGAAGGGTGAGACTGTGAGGAGAAGTGTGGTGGGCAGAGGCGAAGGGGTCGTTTGCGTCTGCCTCGCCCCGCCCCGCCAGGCCCTCAGACCTGCGCGTGACGGGAATTAGGGTGTTGCGCGTGGGGCTTCCCAGGGCTGAGAAGTCGTCCACTCTGCACTCGCTTGTCCCTGCAGCGCCGCACGCCCTCTCAGCGGCCCGTGGAAGTCCCCCGCGGGTTTGCCCCGTGGACGACCGTCTCGTCCGAGCCCCTTGGAGTTGTGCACCCACAGGGCCAGCGAACGCATGGCCTCCCACGCAGCGACACCGACCGCGGCGCCGCAGGGCCCGGGACCCAGGGCAACCCCAGCCGGCTTCCCCAGCCCGCACCCCGAGTGGGGCCCGCAGGAAGCCGAGGACGAGGATGCTGAGGAACCGGGCGAGGTCGCCCAGAGCTGGGGAGTGGATAGGAATAAAAAGGGGTGGGAGGGGGCTGTCCCCCACCGTCTGCCTCGGCTTAGTAGGAAATGACAGCTAAGCCGCAGCCATTCGCGCCGCCCTCAGGAGTGGTGCAAACTGCAGTGTTCTCCTTGGGCAGATCCATCTGTGCGCGCTGTGGAATGGAGGACACCTGGGCATTGCATACTATGACACCAGCGACTCCACCATCTACTTCATGCCAGATGCCCCCGACCATGAGAGCCTCATGCTTCTCCAGAGAGGTGTGGACAGGACCAGGAGGAATCCCTAGGTTCTCGGGATTAGAAGTGTATTTCACCTATATGACCTCACCTGATTTAATCTACTTTATGATTGACTACCAGACTCCCTGGGTTGATTTTTAGAATTATTTTATTACTCAATACATATTTATTAGGTGTTTTCGGTGTATTAAGGGCAGCAGATAGAGTCCTTGGCAAATCACTCCAGGGATTTATAGTCTAGTGACAATGTTTAGAGCATCCCTCTTTCCCCCCACCATTCTGACAATCTTAATACTTTTTTAAAAAATCTCATTCCTGGCTGGGGGTTTAGCTCAGCGGCATAAGCACCTGCCTTGCAAGCAGGCGGTCGTGAGTTTGATCCCCAGTACCGATAAAAATGAAAAACACACACACAAAAAAACTCATTCCTCATTTTCAATGTGCAATCCTACACTGTTCCTGGAGGAAATGAATTCTTGAGAAGGAGAGAGGGTAACAAGGAAAATGCTGTGGGTTCCTTCTTAGTCCAGTGATGAAGATCCTTAAACTCATTGGGTGTGGTGGTGCACACCTGTAATCCCAACACTCACAGTACTCAAGCAGGAGGATCTCTAAATTTGAGGGCAGTTTGGAGTATACAGTAAATTCAAGGCCAGTGTGAACTACGCAGTGAGACCCTATCTAAAACACATACACACGATAATCTGTAAACTCATTCTCTTTTCTTTTTCCAAGTTCTGGATGAAATCAATCCCCAGTCTATTGTTACAACTGCCAAACAGGATGAGAGTATGACTCATTTTCTAGGGAAGCTTGGTAAGAACTGCGTCAGAAAGAAAAAAAATGGAAAAGGACTAATATATGGAATGTTCTAGAAGGCTAGAGTTGAGTGGGAGGAAGTGTGGGACAGAGGTGGAAGGACTGAGAGGTACAGACTGATGGGCTTTTTATTTTTATTTTTTAACTTCCCACACAGCCTCTCAGGAACACAGAGCATCAAAGAAACCTGAAATCATATTACTGCCAAGTGTGGATTTTGGTATCTCCTTCATTTTACTTTATAATGTCCTATCCCAGTGTCCCCAACCTTTCTCCTTCACCCCATTATCAGAGATCTCCCCTCATTCTGAATGTGTCTCCATGCTCCATGACTGATCTCCCCAAGACTTCTGCTTTAGCCCTCTGATAATCAGCAAATTGTTGTGAAGCCTTTGGTTAAAACTGTCTAGTGGTGGCTGGGGATTTAGCTCAGCGGTGTAAGCGCCTGCCTTGCAAGCAGGCAGTCCTGAGTTCGATCCCCGGTACTGATAAAAAGGAAAGAGCCCCCCCCCACCCCCAAAAAAGCTGTCTAGTGGTGAGAGCTACCCTTGAAAGGAGGAAGTGACAGCTTGATTGTTGAACTTTTCCCCTTTAAGCCACAGTTATTTATTGCTTAAAAAACAAAAAGGGTACTACCTCAGTGACACTGATGGTCCATAAGACACTTCCCTAACTTCCAGGCTTGCAAAGGGGGTACAGGATGTTAGATGTTAGACCATGAATGTTACTAGCTTCTGTATTAATACAATCTTTTTGACCCCAAATCCCTAATTTCAGATAGGTATCTCTTTCTCTCCTGAGTCATTAGTCTTTCTCAGGTTGTACCCCTCAACCAAAAATATTTAAATTATATACAGAATAAAAGAAGTATTGAACTAAGTCACTGAAATTTTTAGTTCTTGCGTCAGCTTTCCACTTACTGCCTGTGTAAGCTCAAGCAAGTGTCTATCTGTCTGTCTGTCTCTCTCTCTCAATTTCTCTCTCTCTCTTCCTCCTATTGCCTTGTTCCTAACTGTAGTGACAAAATTGCACAAGACCTTTTCTATCCCTTCCTCCCCAAAACAGGTCTGGAGATAAGCAAACAGCGCCTCCTTTCTGGAAACTACTCCTTCATCCCAGAGTCTATGACAGCTACTGAGAAAATCCTCTTTCTCTCCTCCATTATTCCCTTTGACTGCCTCCTCACAGTGAGCTGGGTCCTAGGGCTGACGTGTTGGGGTGCAAGCCTTGAGGAAGGCACAAGCACCCCAAATCTAGGGTTGGGTTCTGGAAGGTACTGGTCTGGTCCTGGGAAATAATAGTTTTCCTTGGTGGTGTTATCCAACCCCCAGGACATTAATATTTACCCCAGCTGCACTGCTGATTCCCCCCAGATTCGGGCTCTTGGAGGACTGTTCAAGTTCCTGGGTCGAAGAAGAATTGGGGTTGAACTGGAAGATTATAACATCAGTGTCCCTATCCTGGGCTTTAAGAAATTTGTGTTGTAGGTGATTCATCCTAACTTCAACCAAAGCAGAGTGGGATTGGGGATCTAAAAAGTAAACCAGGCGTGGGTGGGGGACAGTGATCCAGTGGGAAACATTCTCTAGGACACTGGAGAATTGGAGGGGTTATGGAGCCCTGGGGAGAAGACTGAGCTGGTATTCTAAAGGGAAGCCAAAGGGGTGGAGCTTTACAATGAACCCAGATCCCTCACACCAAGCCCCCTTTCTTGTTTTCTGTCCTCAGGACCCATCTTGTGAGCATAGATCAAGACACATACAGGTGAGGAGGTGGATATAGGCTGCTGTCGCTGGCAAGAGCGAAGGATTAAGTTTAATGCTCTAATTATCCTAACGAGGCTCTGGTTTCCCTAATCCTAGGGTTATTAAGGGCTCTCTCCATGAAGGAAAGGGGGGTGAGGGGTAAGGAAGGAAAGTGTAAATGTATCACCTGTCTTCCCTTCCTTCTTCTTTTCCTTTTTCTCTCCTGCAATGCTGGAGATAGAAACCAGGCCCTGGTGTGTGTTAGGCAAAGGTTCTACCACTGAGCTGCATCCCTAGCTTGTGACCTTCCTTTTTTAAAGGGAGAAACTGAGGCATAGAAAAAGTGAGCGATGAACCTTATATTTACCAAGACGATCTTGGGGATGTCCCCAGCCCTCATTCTGCTGTCTCAGTCAATTCCTATTCCTTTAAAAAATCCAAGTTAAGGGCTGGGGATTTAGCTCAGTGGCATAAGCGCCTGCCTTGCAAGCAGGCTGTCATGAGTTCGATCCCTGGTACCGATAAAAACGAAAAAGACAAAAAAAAAAAAAAAAAATCCAAGTTACCCCACACTTCTCCATATCTCCTTGACAGCGTCCTACAGATTTTTAAGAGCGAGTCTCATCCCTCAGTGTACAAAGTGGCCAGCGGACTGAAGGAGGGGCTCAGCCTCTTCGGTAGGTGTGCGCAGTCCCTCACCCCACACTATAAGACCCTGCCAGAAAATTAGTTGTCTCCAAATATGTATCCCAGCCCATCTTCACACTTTTCCCCGATGCAGGTCTTTTCCTTGCGTCCAGCTTTCATGCTGTCTTTGCCCCAGCTTTGACCTTGATCTTCTCCACACATATTGCACAGCACTGTCTGTAGGTTGTGGCTTGATGGGTTCTGTGTTCATTCCCTGAGTCTGTGTGGACGTTTCTGCCAGTTGGGCCCTACTTAAGTATGTGCAGCAGAGAGCTATGTAACTGCTTAACTCCCTGTTTGATCCCTACAGAAACTTAATTGGCTGTCTCTGGCTTTAGGAAATAGTAGAGCTATAACCCCAAGTATCTGCATTATCTCAGGGAGTTGGGTCTCATTTTTACCTCCCTGGAGTTGGGCTGTCTGTGAGACTTAGCTGGACCTGCTTTGTGTATTTTTCTGAGTGTTTCTGTGCATGTTCATCCTTTCCCCCTTCTCCATGTACACTCATTCTGGCCAAAATTAGTGGCCAAATACCAGTGCTGGCTGCCTGTGCCCTGGATCTGGGCCCTCAGGCCAGCCTGCCTCACAAGAGCTCACCTCTTGTCCACGCCCCCACAGGAATCCTCAACAGATGCCGCTGTAAGTGGGGAGAGAAGCTGCTTAGGTGAGTGGCTCTTAGACACACGTTGCACACTCGTGCGTCAGTTGCATGGACATGTGACACTCCACTACTTACTGACAGCTATCTGCAGACTCACACACATGCAGCAGGAGCAGTAAAACAATTTCCCTTTACTGAGTCATGGCCAAATGCACGCAATCCTTCCAACAACCCATGTAGTCACTGATCCTATCCACATTTTATGTTGTCAGCACAGACATACATATACCCATTGCTGACAGACTTGTATACAAAAAAGCAGCAGAGCCAGGTGCAATGGCGCATGCCTGTGACCCCATTACTCAGGAAACTGAGATAGGACTGCTGTGAGTTTGCTGTTAATCTGAACTACAGAGTGAGACCCTGTCTCAAGAAACAAAACAAAACAAAAACCTCTACAAAACACTAGTGTAGCACAGAGCCATGTCTTTAATTATAAAAAGACACTTTAGTCAGGTGTAGTGTTGCATACCCATGATCTCAGCACTGAGAGGCTGAGGCAGGAGGATCAAACATCTGAACTCAGCCTGGACAACACAGCAACTTAGTAAGATCTTGTCTCGAAGCTTAAAAAAAGGGCCGAGGATTTAGCTCAGTGGCAAAGTGCCTGACTGGCAAGCACAAGGTCCTGAGTTGGATCCTGGGTGCCCCCAAAAAACTAAAACAAAAAGTTTTAAAAAATAATAATAAAGGGCTTGGGATGTAGCTCAGTGTGAAAACCCTGAGTTCCATTCCTAGTAGTGCAAAAAAAAAAAAAGCAAAAACACTACACATGCAGGCCAGGGGCTGGGGTGGCAGCTTAGTGGCAGATGCCTTACCTGGCATGCGTGAAGCCCTGGGCTGCATCCCTGACCCCAAACTCAAATTTGAGCTGTTCTCTGATAATGCCCAAATTTGCTTGCCTAGTTCTAAACCACATGTGTGGCCCGCTAACTGCAGATCCTTGCCGTCGAAACTTCCAGGGGCGCCTGAAACTCCGCATGGGGCTGCTGCCCACCGACCTGCTCCTCTTCCCACAGCCTCTCTTTCTCCTGGCTAATGGCATTCTTGGCACCCGCGCTTTCAAACCACCAGCCTGATGCTTCCAACCCTGTGTATTTAATTATTCAGTACAGAGCCTGCTAGCATTCTGAAATGTCTCAGCCTTCCCCTTTTCCCTCTTTCCACTGCTCTGTCATTGTCTCTCTCTCATCCTCACTCTAGCTCTCTCCGTCTCTGTCTATTTGATACAGGGTGTCATAGTGTAGCCCAGACTAGCCTTGAGCTCAACAATCCTCCTGCCTCAACCTCCTGAACATTGGGATTATAGGAATATGCCATCATGTCCAGAAAAACCACTTCTTCCCTGTCCTTCCCCGCCCCCATACTGGGGCTCAACCCCAGGGCCTCACATGCTAGGCAAGTGTTCTACCCCAGAGCTAGCTAGCATCACTTTTAACCCGGAGCACTGCTTTTGCCTCCTAATCGGTCTGTCTCTAGTCCCCCATCCCCCTTGCTGGGAATTGAACCCAGGGCCATCATGCTGAACGACGTCCCTAACCCTATTTTATTTTGAGGCAGGGTCTCACTGTGTTGCTAAGTTGTCCAGGCTGGGCTTGAACTTGCGATCCTTTTGCCTCAGCCTCCCAGAGCACTGGGATCATGGGCATGTAGCTACACACATGACTTCCTTTTTCCAATTAATCTGTCACTCTAAAATGCTGTCATTCCAGCACAGAGATCTGAGCATGCCATAGCATTTTTTAGAAACCTTAAGCAGAAACAATAGCAGGAAGCTTCCTGTTACTGCTGGGTGAAGACCGGCAGCTTTGGTAGTGTGATGTTGCAGGGTAACAGTCAGTGTGGCCACTGAACAAACTGAGTTTTAATTCTTTTCCTGAGCTCCTCTTAAGTCCTCTCCTGCTGGATCCTTCCTGCATGCTCATCGTTCAGGGCCGGTTTCCCCTTATGCCAACCCGCTGTCACCTTTTTGACAGTTTTCACAGATTCCTGTCTGGAGATTGATGTGGAACTTCTTTGTGCTGTTTTTCACTTCACTGTCACACCAGATTAGAAGCAGCACTTTCTGAGTTTGCGTGCTTTTGTAGCTCTGTGCTGGGCACATGGCCTTGTATGTCGTAGTGGCGCTGAATGAACACAGTACCTAGATGCAAGCATGCCGTCACATCACTCCAGCAGTCTTTGCCAGCCTACAGGTGCACAGGCCTTTCCCTCCTCAGACTCTGCAATAATGAGTCTTGTAGGGGTTAATTTAGGATAATCTCTGAGGCCATCTCCAGGCAACTTCTGGGATAATTTAATTACCCGCATGTTCTCCAGTGCTTTAGGTGTAGATCTCTAATCTCAACCAGGGATAAAAGGAAGGAGATTCTCAGTGGAGAACTGGGTTAATGATGGGGGAGGAGTGTGGATTTCCAAATGGGATTCACATAGGATCATAACCTGAATGATGAGCTTGGGACCCCACTGGCCTCAAGCTGGACACAATCCTGAGGTGGCTAAACATCACAGATCTTGTCCTGGAACTTTGAAGACCTGAGTTTCTTATTAGCAGTGCAACTCTTGGCAGGCTTCTTATTTGCTAAGGGACTTGTTTCCTCAACCATGAAATTAGGGACTTGGGCTTGACCTAGGGCTCCCAAGGTACTAGTAGAACATGAGTCAGAGAGGCCTGGGTGTCGTTCGAAAAAGTCTGTTAGCGAGGTATAGCAAATACCTGAAGTGGGTACACACAGTCTGTGGGCAGACACAGTCCGTGGCCTACACTGCCTCGTTGAAGCTCTCTGTGACCAAGGGGTGGAATGGAAGTACCTAAAACCCACATTGAAATCCATCTAAGTCTCCAATTTTATTCGTTTTTAAAAAATGAACTTGGAACATTTATTTTTCATTTTTAAGAATAGAAAGAATTTATTAAAAAGAAGAAAACTTCTGTAGAAGTGCTCACTTTGGCAGCACATATACTAAAATTTGAATAGTACTGAGATTGAAATGGTCCCTGCAGAAGGACGACATGCAAATTCGTGAAATGTTTCATACTTATTTTTTTTCTGGTACCAGGGATCAAACTCAGGATCTTGCACTTGCCAAGCAGGTGCTTATGCTGCTGAGCTAAACCCCCAGCCCTTAGGTGTTTAACATTTAAAAATAATAACAATAATAAATAATAAAAGCGTTAGGAAACATCAAGGATATAGCTCAGTGGGACTAGAGCCTGCTTGGCAAGTGCATGGTCCTGAGTTCAATTCCTGGTACGAAAAAAAAAAAAAAAAGAAGGGCCAGGGATTTAGTTCAGCCGCACAAGTGCCTGCCTTGGAAGCGTGCAGTTGTAAATTGCATCCCTGGTACAAAAAAAGAAAGAGAGAGAGAGAGAGAGAGAGAGAGAGAGAGAGAGAGAGAGAGAAAAGGGGATCCAGAAAGTGGGTTACCCTCCTGTTTCATTCTAATTTGAGGTTTTCTGACCCAAGACAGACAGCAATAGACTACAATGTAAAATATACATCCTCAGGATCCGGTTGCACTGGTTGGCTCTCAGATAAAATGCTTTTAAAAGTGCTTAGTGGCTGAGCGTGGTGGAGCATGCCTGTGCTCCCAGCACTTGGGAGGCTAAGCAAGAAGTCACAATGAGTTCAAGGCCAGCCTGAGCTATATATAGAGACCTTGTCTTAAAAAATTAGTTAATTAAAATAAATTTAAAAATAAAAATGCTTAGTGGCTTGCTCAAATGTAAAAAATCTATGGATTTAAATTATTAGGGTTTTTTTGGGGTTTGGGCTTGTGTGTGTGTGTGTGTGTGTGTGTGTGTGTGTTTTTTCTGTCTTTTTGAGATGGTCTCACTATGCAGCTCAGGCTGGCCTTGAGTTCACTATGTAACCCAAGCTGGAATGAAACTCAATGATCTCCTGCTTCAGCCTCTTGAGTGCTGGGACTACAGGCATGTACCACCACACCCATCTAAATTCTTAGTTTTATATTCTTCATAATCGTAGGGTTACAGGGACATCTGCAATTAGACAAACATAGATGAGATTTATTTCTGTATAATTTTTAGCTTATTAGGAAATAACTTTGCCATTCAAAATGAAAATAATAATAACAATAGCAACCTCTCACCAGTTTAAGACATTGCTGGGAACTGCTGACTTAGTGTAGAGTGCTTGCTTAGTGTGTGTTAGGCCTCAATTCTATCTATAGTACTGGGGGGAAAAGTTCTTTAATTCAGCTTCTGGAGGCTGAGTCAGAAAGATCGCAAGGTTTTTCATCTTTTTTTTTTTTTAAACAAGGTCTCCCAAAGTAGTTAAGTCTGGTTTTGATTCACTATGCAGCCCAGGCTGGCCTCCGAACTCACAATGACCTTTCTGCCTCCCAGAGTGCCAGGATTGCAGGTGTGTACCACCACACCCAGCAAGACTGCAAATTCACCGGGGATTTAGCTCAGTGGCATAAATGCCTGCCTTGCAAGCTTGCGGTCCCTGGTACCAAAAAATTAAAAATAATAAGATTGCAAGTTTGAGGCCAGCCTGGGCAATGTGGTGAGACCTTGTCTCAAAATAAGAAATGGATTGGGAATGTTGGCTCAGTGTGCAGGCCTTGGGCTCTAGTACCAAGGCAGGGAAAAAGGGTCTAGAATAAGACACCCTTGTTGAAGTCCCTTAGATGTCCCTGCTGACACTTTCTTCTTTGCAGAGATCAGTGCTTCTCTGCAGCATATTCCGTGAGGGACCGCTACTGCCTTATAGAAGAACTCAGAAAAACAAATGGCTGCTACCCAGAGATTCCTTCAGAGCTAAATCAGACACGCAGACTCACTGATTCACCCACTCCTGCTCTGCCCCAGAGGACGCTACCATGTTGGCACACAAATACCCCAACACGCTGCTCTCCTTCTCAAACACTGACACGGCCAGGTGGGGCGACACATGGTTTTATCCCTCAAAACCAGCACGCACGGCACTCACACTTACATCCAGCAGTTTTCTGTAGAGACACAAACACACCCACACTCCCAGGACCTTGCTCTATAGCATGTCAAAGGTACGGATTGCCACAACCTCCAGGGGCTGCCAAATATTTTGGCAACGTGAAATCAAGGCAAGAGTGAGAAGAGATGTGATTTCCAGTCCCCCGCCCCACCCTCACTTCCAGGCTGTGGTTCACTCGTCCAACTCGGGACCTGGAGGAGCTCAATTCCCGGCTGGATGTCATTCAGTTTTTCCTGCTGCCCCAGAATCTGGACATAGCTCAGACGCTGCATCGGCTTATGAGTCACATCAAGAACGTGCCCGTAAGCCCAGCGTGGAGGGACAGGTTTTGGAGGGGTCCCAGGTGGAAGAGGGGAGGCAGTGACTGTGCCCTCTCCTCACTGCAGATGATTCTGAAACGCATGAAGCTGTCCCACACCAAGGTCAGCGACTGGCATATTCTCTATAAGGTAAGCCCTCCCCTCTCACATCCCGGAAGTCTAAGTCCCTTAGAGTTTGACACTTTCTTTCCTTTGGTCACTCTGTCCAGCCTTAACCCATCACTTCAAAAACATCGTACAGTGGAAAATGTGAAAAGTATTTAAAGAACAATATGCCTAGCCTCCTTGTACCCACCATGCGGCCTTAATACTTAGACTCATACTAACCTTGTTGCATCTATATCTCCTCTCACTTTCCCTTCTTGCATTATTTTGAAATAAGTCCCAGCCACTATATCAGTTTATCCAGAAATATTTCACAAGGTTACGACTTTAAAAATTATTTTTAAAATAACAATGAGGCTGGAGGTAGGCTCAATGGTGGAATGCCCGCCTAGTGTGTTCTTCTTTGGTTAGGTTAATTCCTTAATGTTTAATTTTTCGTGGTGCTATTGTGAATGGTATTTTCCTATTTCTTTTCAGTGACTTCATTACTAGTACACACAAATGCTATTGATTTTTGGGGATTGATTTTGTATCTCGCTATACTACTGAATTTGTTTACTAATTCTAAGAGTCTTTCGGTGAAATTTTTTGGATCTTTTATGTCAAAGAGCATATCATCTGCAAATGATGATAATTAGACTTCTCTCTTTCCTATACACATCCTTTTATTTCTTTCTCTTGCCTGATTGCTCTAATTTTTGTTTTTGGTGCTGAGACTTGAACTTACAACCTCGCTAGTGCCATTCGGGCGCTTGTGCCACCAGGCTAAATTCTCTGCCCCTGGCTAATGTTACAAGTACTATACTAAACAGGAATGATGATAGTGGACAACCTCCCTATGTTATAGATTTTAGTTATTTTATTTTGTTTTGTTTTATTTTTGTCTGTTTGAAACAGAGTTTTACTATGCAGTTCAGGCTGGCCTTAAATTCACTTTGTAGTCCAGGCTGGCCTCGAACTCCAAGTGATCCTCCTGCCTCAGCCTCCCAACTACTTGGATTAGAGGTGTGTGACACTATGCCTAGCTGTAACTGATATTATTATTATTATTATTATTATATTATTATTATTATTTTTGGAACTGAGGATCAAACTCATAATCTGATGCTTGCCAGGCAGGTGCTTGTGCTGCTAAGCCAAATCCCTGGCCCCTGGTTTTATATTTATTTATTTATTTATTTATTTATTTATTTATTTATACTGAGAATTGAACTCATGACCTTGTGCCTGTCAGGCAGGTGTTGTGCCAAGGAGCTATATGCCCAGCCGTGTAACCGGTTTTAGAGAGAATAATTTCACTTTTTCCCCCACTTAATATGATGTTGACAGTAGGTTGTCATAAATGAGTTTAATCAGCTTGAGATTGGGCCCTTATATATATATTTTATTTAGTTTTTTTTTTTTTAATCATGAATGGGTGTTGGATTTCGTCAAAGGATTTTTCTCCATCTATTAAGTGATTGTGTCATTTTTGTCCAAACTTTTGTTTATGAGCTGCATTACATTCATGGATTTGTGTGTGTTGAACTATCCTTGCATCCCTGGGATGACACCTGCTTGGTCATGATATGTGATTTTTTTTGTTGTTGTTGATCTGATGCCTTCTCTTTGGCAATATGTTGTTGAGGGTTTTCTTTTATCTATGTTTAGTATAGAGATCAGCCTGTGGTTCTTTTTGGTTGGATCCTTGCCTGGTTTTAGAATTGGAGTAATGGTAGCTACCAGGAATGACTTCAGGCGTACTCTTCCCTTTCAAATTCATTAAACAGTTTACCCAAGTGAATCCCAATCTCCAAAAAAAAAAAAAAAAAAAAAGAAAATAAATAAATTAAAAAAATACAAATTATAGCTCAGTGGCACAGCATCTGCCTGGCAAGCATGAGGTCCTGAGTTCAATTCCTGGTATCAAATAAATGAATTTTTAAAAAATAGTTTCAGAGGTATTAGTGTTTGATTTTTCTCTGAAGTTCTTATAGAATTCATCAGGTCCTGGACTTAGTAAGCCTTTCACTACCACCTGAATTTCATTGCCTGTTATTGAATTATTTGGAGTTTTTATATCTTCCTGGCTCAGTTTTAGTAATTTATATCTAGGAATATGTCCAGTTTTTCTGAATTCTCTAGTTTATTTAAGTATAGATTTTTGTAACACTTACTAATAATTGTCTGGATTTTGGTGCTGTTTATTGTAATTTAATCTTTTTCTTTTTTTGGTGGTCACATTTTTTTTAAACTTTAAAGATAATAAAATCCAACAAAACAGAACAAATCCAATCAAAACAAAGCAGTGGAATTGGCATAGAACTTTGAAGCAGATACTAGGAAAACAACAATGGCTACCACAGTGTATCTCCTTATGTTCACAGTAGTTCTCCATTCCGTCAGGTGTAGCAAAATCCAACCAAAACCAATCAAAACAGAACATTGAATAGAGCAAAACAATTAATTGGTAAAAAAGACAAGACAGAGGGAAATCCTCATATTTGCCATATTGCATCCTGTTATCTCCCACAGGTGCTCAGACCTCCGACCCCAGGCCTGCAAAACCATCCAAATAGCACAAGCACTGATTTGCTTTTTGCACCTCAGTTGCTATCAACTCCACATGTCTGCTGAACCTGCCGGTTGCTTCTGTGTGTGTGTGTGTGTGTGTGTGTGTGTGTGTGTGTGTGTGGTGCATGGTATTGATTTTCAGCCTGCACTCAGACAGGCTCAGGGGAGGCTAGGCGCTCACTTTTGTCTTCCTGGGCCCTGCATGGCTTGTGTGGCTCACCAAAAAGCCTGGCTACTTGGCTTTTTGGTGGGCTTCTTCCAGTCCCAGTATGGCCAGTTATTGGGAGGCGCTGACTTCTCTGCATGTTTTTCATTTCTAATTGCATTAATTTGGATCCTTTCTCTCTCTCTTTTTTTTGGGGGGCGGGAGTACGGGTGATGGAACTCAGGACAACGTGCTTGCAAGGCAGGTGATTATGCGGGAGGCAATTTAGCGGAGCTAAAGCCCAGGCTTTTTTTTTTTTTTTTTAATCTTTTTGAGACAGGGGCTCACTATGCAGTTCAGGCTGGCCTTCAACTTGCTTCCTAGCTCAGGCTGGTTTTGAACTCGAAGTGATCCTCCTGCCTCAACCTCCAGAGAATGCCGGGATTATAGGCATGTGCTACCACACCTGGCTTTTTTTTTTTTTTAATTAGAAAAGTTTTATTGATAAAAGGAGGAGACTAGTCCGGGGATTTCCAGGAAGGGTCCCAAATAGGGTGGCCCTTATTTGGTAAGATTGGCTAAGGTTTTTCTATTTTGTTTATTATTTTTTAGGATTTTTTTTTTTTTTTGTCTCTTTCCTTTTTATCGGTACCGGGGATCAAACTCACGACTGCCTGCTTGCAAGGCAGGCGCTTATGCCACTGAGCTTAAACCTCCAGCCCCTGTTTATTCTCTTTTGATTTTTTGTTTGTTTGTTTCTTTTGGTACTAGGAATTGAACTCATGACCTTGTGCTTGCCAGGTAGGTGCTGTACCACTGAGCCATATCCTAGGACCTCTATTCTGTTTAAAGAACCAGCACTTTAGGGGCTGGGGATTTAGCTCAGTGGCGTAAGTACCTGCCTTGCAAGCAGGCAGTCATGAGTTCGATCCCTGGTACCAATAAAAATGAAAAAAAGACAAAAAGAATCAGCACTTTAGGGACCAGGGATTTAGCTCAGTGGCACAAATGTCTGCCTGGCAAATGTGAGAGGTTGTTTGCTCTCTAGTACCAAGAAAGAAAGAAAGAAAGAAAGAAAGAAGGAAAGAAGGAAAAAGAAAGAAAGAGCTCTTCTTTGATTCTTTGTAATATTTGGGGATAGGTACTGGGGATTGAACTCACAAGCTCACGCTTGCCAGGCAGACGTTACGTTTATGCCACTGAGCTAAATCCTCAGCCCTCTTTGTAATACTTTAGCTTTGATGGCATTCATTTCTGCTCTCATCTTTATCACTTTCTTGCACTAGCTTTGGATCTGATGGTTATTGTTTTCCTAGGACCTTTAGGTGACTTAGGTTATCCAAGACTTGAATGCTAGCTGTGGTTATCGCTGCCTGCCTATCTGACTGCTAGGCCTTCACCACGGACACTGACAGGAAACGCCTGTGTGGGTACCAACACAGGCAGGCACATCTGTGTCCCTGTATCTCTGTGTCAAAGACCTGCGAGTTCATAGTGACATCTCTGACCAAGTCCAGTGCCACAGAGTGCACTGTAGACTCTTTCTTCCTTAGTAACCTCTCTCTCACAGGAATGAATCTGATTCTCATTATCTGCGATATCTTATTACATAAGGTGGCTTAAATTTTTGAATAAATGTGAGCAAGTGCATCTGATTGCATCTCCTGTCCCACTGCTTCTTCACATTCAGCCGTTTCAGCCGGTCAGGCTCTGCCCGGCGGTGCTCTGGGAAACTGCTGTGCTCCTGCTCAGGACAACAGGTGAAGAGCTCCCTGAGTCTTAGCTCTCATTTCTTTGCCCTGAGACCCGGAAGATTATGCTGCCTCTTTGTGCCTCAGGCTGTTTATCTGTGGAGTGGATACTGTGCTGCTGCCCATGGCCACCTCACGGGATTGGGTGGAATGAATGAGCTTCCGTCTGTGAAGGGCCAGACGTTACCTGGCACGGAGCTGCCAGCCTTCCTCCTCTGCCCATGCTGAGCTGTCGCTCAGAGCGCCTCCCTTCCTTTCGAATCCTTATTCAAGACTCATCATTTTTACTTTTAATTTTTCCTCAGTGCTGTGGTTCAAACGCAGAGCCTCACAGGTGTCATGCGAGCCCTCCACCACTGAGCTGTGTCTCTAACCCGCTCATTTTCTCTTGAAGAGACTTCCCAAAGTATGCTGCGCCATAGTGCTCTTCCTCTCTGACCTGCTTAGTAATTTAGTAATTTCTACAACTTGACTGACCTTCTGCGTGGGGCTGGTCAGTTTTTGCCGCCTGTGTGTGTCCATCACAGCTAGATTACAAACTTTTTGATTTACAAACTTGCCTGTCCCCTGCAGTAGAGCAAAGCTCTGCAGGTGGGTGAGGGCTTGCGCCCGTCTACACCCTGATCTGGGGTCAGACCACCCCTCAAGTCACTGACCCTCACCTGGGGGTTCCCTCTTCCTGCTCTCTGCGCTGCCCTGCCACTTCTCATTTCCCTCTTCCTGACTTTCATCCTGTCTGTCTTTCCTCTCCTCTTACAGGAGTCTGACCTTTCTTCCTTCTTTCCATTCTCCCCCCACCACTCCCTTTTCCTCCTTTATGTTTTGCAGTACTGGGATGCAATCCAGGACCTCATGCATGCGAGGCAAAGCTTCACCACTGACCCACTACATTCCAGTCCTCTTACAGGAATTTGTAACAGAACTATCAAGGGGCCAACAACATGGTTGCACACACATATTCCAACACACTGGAGGCTGAGGCAGGAGGATTGCAAGTTCAGTTTCAGCCTGGGCAACTTAGCACGACCCTGTCTGAAAACAATAAAATAGGAGAGCTGAGGATGACCCTGGGTTCATTCCCCAGTTTTTTTAAAAAAATCTTTTTAAATCTTCTGCATGTGCTTCTGTCCTTACTAGACTGAGAGCTCGTCTAGGACAGGGACCTTATTGTCACTGTGTTTGTGGCCTGAGTGTTTAGCACAGCACCTGGAAGAGCTCTACAGCTGCAGCTTACTCCACGGTGTTTCTTTTGGCCTTTGAGATCTTCTCTGTCTTTGTGGCTGTCTTCCCTGTTGGTCTTTGCTCTTGTCAGGCTGTCACTGCCACCGCCCCCTCCTTGGCCCTTTCCCTGCAGACTGTGTACAGCGCCCTGGGCCTGAGGGACGCCTGCCGCTCCTTGCCGCAGTCCATCCAGCTCTTCCGGGACATTGCCCAGGAGTTCTCCGACGACCTGCACCACATCGCCAGCCTCATTGGGAAGGTGGTGAGTGGCAGGAAGGACACCGCACCCGGCAGGGCAGGCAGGGAGGTCTGAGCGTGGAGAGTGGAGAGGGAAGGCCCAGGGGTGCAGAGGCGGGAAGCTGGGGAGACACAAGAGCGGATGAGAAGAGGCAGCAGGGCGCGGGAGCTCGCTGAAAGGCTAAGGTGAAGGCAGAGCTGCAGGAAGAGCCAGGGCCTGAGGAGGGCCGAGGAGCAGGCCGGCGGCCGAAGGGCTGGGCTAGCCGTCTGTCTCCAGGTGGACTTTGAGGGCAGCCTTGCTGAGAATCGCTTCACCGTCCTCCCCAACATTGACCCTGAAATTGATGAGAGTGAGTATCAGGTGTGGGGATGAGGCTGTGAGCCCTGAACACAAACTGGCCTGCCATGGGGTACCATTTCCAGCTGGGCATCACCCTCGCTGCCATGTGCCCATGTGCCTTCTACCCTCCTAGAAAAGCGAAGACTGATGGGTCTCCCCAGTTTCCTCACTGAAGTCGCTCGGACGGAGCTGGAGAATCTGGACTCACGAATCCCTTCGTGCAGTGTCATCTACATCCCTCTGGTGCGGGTGGGAGGGAAGTCTGTTGTTTCCTTTTTGAGATAGCATCCTGCTGTGCAGTTCAGGCTGGCCTTGAACTCACGGTATAGCCCAGGCTGGCCTTGCACTCGCAGCAATCCTCCTGCCTCAGCCTCCTGAGTGCTAGGATTACAGGCATGTACCACCATACTCTGCTGGGAGGTCTTTATAGCTTTATTTTTTCTGTCTTTTTCTTTTTTATCGGTACCAGGGATTGAACTCACGATCGCACACTTGCAAGGCAGGTGCTTATGCCGCTGAGCTAAATCCCCAGTCCCTATAGTTTTATTTTTTAAAGATTTTTGAGACAGCCAGATGTGGTGGCACACTTCTGCAATCCCAGCACTCGGGAGGCTGAGGCAGGAGGATCACTGCAAGTTTGAGACCAGCCTAGTTTACAAAGTAAGCTCAAGTCCAGCCTGAACCACATAGTGAGACCCTGTCTCAAAAAAAAAAAAAAAAAAAAAGATTTTTGAGACTGAATCTCACTGTATAGTCCAGGCTGGTCTTGAATTCACTGAGAGTCCAGACTAGCCTCGAACTTGCTGCCATCCTCCAGCCTCAGCCTCCTAAGTGCTGGAAATGCAGGCATGTGTCATCAGGCCCGGCCACCGGGGCTCTTAGTGAGGACAGAACACTTTGAGGGACCAGTATGCGTGCAGGGGTCTCTGGGAGGTCCTGTGTTGGGGCAAGATGGCGCCCCATGGGTCACTCTCTACTGTATCACCCCATTACTCCCCTAGATTGGCTTCCTTCTTTCCATTCCCCGCCTGCCTTTTATGGTGGAGGCCAATGACTTTGAGATCGAGGGACTGGACTTCATGGTAAGACCCTTGGGCTCTGCAGGGGTGGTAAAGAAAATGAGCCCCTGGGGAAGGTGCTGAGCCATCGCACCCAGTGTGGCAGCGCTCTCTGCAGACAGCTTTCCCAGCCCGCAAAGGGGGAGAAAAGGCCGGTGTGACTGGAGGGGCTCTACAGGCTCCAGGGGATAGGAGGGGGACCGCACGTTGCAGAGCCCACAGCTCTGGACCCTTGTCCCCAGTTCCTCTCAGAGGAGAAGCTGCACTATCGCAGCACTCGGACCAAGGAGCTGGACGCGCTGCTGGGGGACCTGCACTGTGAGATCCGAGGTGAGAGGAGCCAGGGCCTCGGGGAGCAGCAGGGCGGCGGCACAGCTACTTCCAGGTCTCTGAGGCCTCTGATCGGCCTCACTTCCCCTCTCAGACCAGGAGACCCTGCTGATGCACCAGCTGCAGTGCCAGGTGCTGGCGCGGGCCGCCGTCCTGACCCGAGTGCTGGACCTGGCCTCCCGGCTGGACGTGCTGCTGGCTCTCGCCTCTGCTGCCCGGGACTATGGCTACTCAAGGCCCCATTACTGCCCGGGACTCCATGGGGTGCGAATCCGGAATGGCAGGTGAGAAGACACAGGGACACGGGTCCCCATGTGGACCTAGGGGCCACATGAGCCTCCTCTGTACCCCCGCAGACATCCGCTGATGGAGCTGTGTGCCCGAACCTTTGTGCCCAACTCCGCAGAGTGCGGCGGGGATAAGGGCAAGGTCAAGGTCATCACGGGTCCCAACTCCTCCGGGAAGAGCATATTCCTCAAGCAGGTGAGCAGCAGACCTGGCTGGCCTCAGCTCCTCCTTGGCCTCACACGCTCACTGCTCTCCCTTCTGCACCCCGACTCCCCCGCCACCTGAGTGGGCAGATGCTGCGTTCCCAGGGCTGCCTCCACGCACTCCGCCCCCTTACAGACTCGAAGTCAAGACCCGCAAAGGAAAGGACAAAGGAAAGGAAAGGAAAGCGCCTGTGCGGCCCATGCCTCTTCTTCAGTGGCTCTTTGATCGGTTATTTCCAAGCTCTGTCCTCCGTGCCCTCACTGCGCCTCCCTCTTATGGCAGCCCACACCACCAGACTGTCTGTCTCCCTTACCCAGGTGGGCCTGATCGCCTTCATGGCCCTGGTGGGCAGCTTCGTGCCAGCAGAAGAGGCCGACATCGGAGTGATAGATGCCATCTTCACCCGAATCCACAGCTGCGATTCCATCTCTCTGGGTCTCTCCACCTTCATGATTGATCTCAACCAGGTCAGAGGCAACGGCAGGAGATGGCCCAGGAGGCGGGGGGAGCCACTAAGCACTTGGGGGCGCTCAGCCACGGCCTGCCCTTCGCGCTGGGTGTGGGATGCAGCAGTCAGAGGTGAGAGGAAGCGGGGCCTGCTATGTTTCTGGGGTTCTGGCTTTGTGCGAGGCACTGCTGGCAGCAAACGGTGAGCATGCCGGGCACCTGGTGATAGAGAATCCAAAGCAGCAGCAGCAGCAGCGCCACAGGGCTGACGTGCGGACAGGCCACGTCCCAGCTCTGTTCGCAGGCGGTGCTGGTGATACGCCTCCTGTCCAGCAGATGGCGAAGGCAGTGAACAACGCCACCGAGCAGTCTCTGGTCCTCATTGATGAATTCGGAAAAGGAACCAACTCGGTGAGGGCAGGAACGCGCTGAGGGGGGGGTGTGGAGGAGCACGGGGGCAGGGGATAGACGGACGGACAGATGGACGCGCTGGCTAGAAAGCAACAGAGGCAGCGAGACGGGGGTGCCCGGTTCTGCACCCTCACCCCTCCCTGCTGCAGGTGGACGGACTCGCCCTCCTGGCTGCTGTCATCCGCCACTGGCTGGCACTCGGACCTGTGTGCCCACACATCTTCGTGGCCACCAACTTCCTAAGTCTTGTGCAGCTCCAGCTGCTGCCACAGGGACCCCTGGTGCAGTACCTGGTGAGGAAGCCCAGGCGGCTGTACCCCCAGGGGCACATTTCCCAGAGGGGGGACCTGGGTCCCCACAGGGACTGGCCAAGGACCGCAGGGCAGGACGTTGGGGGCTGACACACCACTCCCTTCTGTTCTCTTTCAAGACCATGGAGACCTTCGAGGACGGGGACGACCTTGTCTTCTTCTACCAGGTGTGCGAAGGGGTTGCCAGTGCCAGCCACGCCTCCCACACAGCCGCCCAGGCGGGGCTCCCTGACAGCCTCATCGCTCGAGCCAAAGAGGTGACACGATCCTCCACCTAGCACCCCAGCGCCGCTTGCTGGGCCACGCGATCTTTGACTCCTTCTCCCACCTCTGCCCGCCCCTTCCCTCTTCCGTCCGGCTCCCAGGTTTCGGATTTAATCCACAGCGGGAAGCCCATTAAGCCTGTTGAGGAGCTGTGGAGGGAGAACCGAATGGCGAAGTAAGCGTGTGGCTCCCTCCCGCGCTCCTGCGTCCCCCTCCCTTTGCTTCCTGCAGCCTTCGCCCCCTGCCTGTCCGGCACCCGAGGCTGCCCTTCCTGCACCCCGACTCTGCGCGCAAGGCCCTGCTCGTTCTCCGCCCTGCACATGTCTCACCACTGCCCCACTGCAGCTGTCAGGCACTGGTGGAGAAGTTTCTGAAGCTGGATTTGGAAGATCCCAGCCTGGACCTGGACACTTTCATGAGTCAGGAGGTGCTGCCCGCAGCCCCCGGTGTCCTCTGAATGATCCCTCTGCCCTCCAGGGGCTCCTGCCCACTCCCAGCCCTGCAGACTCCAGTCTGGTGGCCTGGAAAGTTGGGTTTATTGTTGGGAATAAAGTCTATTTTGGGTAAAGTTAATGTTTCCTTAGGTCACTCAAAACAAGGAAGACCGGGATTTACCTCAGCAGCATAAGCGCCTGCTTTGTAAGCGTGAGGTCATGAGTTTGGTGCCTGGTACCAAAACAAAACAAAACAAAACAAGACAAAAAAACCAAGAGACCAGGGAAGCTCTGAAATACTAAGAAGTCCGGGGCATGGGCACGGGGCGGCTTGGACACAGTGCTTGCCTGGCCCGGGTACAGCTCTGGGTTTGATCCCCAAAACTGAAACAAACAGAAACAGGGGCACCACTGAGGGAAACCTTGCATCCTACCCCTGGGGACATCGCAAGCACGAATCACCCCAGAGAGGCCCTAGAGGCCAGATGCAAGGGATGCCAGAGGGGCTGCCAGCTCCCACGCTGTAGGCAGGGGCCAGTGGGCCGGAGGCCAAGCCGGGCTGGGGCGGGGCAAGCCCTGCCCGCCAGAGGCGCCCCACCTGCCACTGGGAGCCATGGGCAGCCGGGGGCCTGGCCTGGTGCAGCCTCCCTACACCGTTCTGCTGCTGCCACTGGGGACGAGCCGCCATGACCCGGGCGCCCGGAGCTTCTTCCTCTGGGTGAGCATCAGTCCGAAAGGCCTGGGGAGCCCCTTTCGTGCTTCTGCTCAGCCCAGGGGGTCTCCCCTGCTCCCCCTGCCCCAGGGCGCGGTGGGGCCAGCGGCCTGGGCCCTGCCAGCTGGAGCCAGTCACCCGTCTCGCCCCTGACCCAGCTGCAAAGGATGCAGGCTCTGGAGAGGCGGCAGGACGCCCTGTGGCAGGGGCTGGAGCTACTGCAGCAAGGCCAGGCCTGGTTCCGGGAGCACCTGAGGGCGGCACAGGGACAGCAGCTGCGCCTGGGGGCCCTCGGAGAGGTAGGGGCGGCCGTGGGGCTGGGGCCGGGCACTCCGGGCAGGGCAGAGTTAATGACTGGATGACAGGAAGCCACCAGGCATTAGGCCGGGTCACTGGGTCGCTGTTCAGCAGGGAGGCTGGTCTGCATCCCATTCAGAGGCCCCGGAGGGATCACTCCACAGGGAGCAGGAGGGGCCTGGCGTACCCCACTCCCAGGGATGGACACGGGCCAGGGGGCAGAAAGGCCAGGCGGGTCCAGGACCGCTGAGGGCCAGGGCGCTGCAGAGGGAGGCCTGGAAGGGGCCGGAGCCAGGGCTGTGGCAGGGGAGGACCGGCCTGCGAGACAGGAACCGCAGGGGGATCTCAGGCCTGTCACCCTTGACTCCTCCTCCAGGACTTCCGGGCAGATTCACACTGGGAGCCCTTCGGCCCCCCGCTGGCCCAGATTCAAAGGGTGAACATCTGCCTGCGGGGGCTGATTCAAGACGAGGTGCGTTTATTGTCTTTAGTCCGTGCTTTTAGGGAAGGGGGGGGGAACTGCTGGGGGTGAAGAGGTGCTGGGGTCAGCACCAGCTTCACTGGAAGCCTCGGGACTCCGGTGCTCCATCTCCCACTGTGGCTGCAGCCCAGGCTGCTTCCCGGCAGCCAGGGAGGGAAGGAAAGGCCTCAGCACAGCGTGGGGTGCAGCGGGTCAGCAGGGAGTAGGGCGAATGCAGATGCTCGTTTGTCTCCGTCCTCTCTTCCAGGAGATGTTGAGGCGGCACAACGGAGCCCCACAGCGCGAGGGGGGTAAGGCTCCGCGGGGCCGCACTACCCTTGTGTGAATCCTCGGTCCCTCAGGAGGCTGAGGCAGGCAGAGCTCCCTGCCTTAACCCAGCAGCCCCATCTTGGCCTCAGGTCAGGGTCCCTGGTGGCCAGACCCCTTCTAAGTGTAAAGCTCCCCTCCGGCTCTCTCTCCCCTGCACCCTCCTGACCAGGCCAGCCGGAGAGGCAGTACCCGGGAGGCGGATAGCTCCGCGCCTTGTCAAGCAACTGTTCCAAAATCAAAACGTTTTTTAAAAGCGCTGGGGATCGGGGCTGGGGATTTAGCTCAGCGGCATAAGCACCTGCCTTGCAAGCAGGCGGTCGTGAGTTCGATCCCTGGTACCGATAAAAATGAAAAAGACCAAAAAAAAAAAAAAAAAGCGCTGGGGATGTGCTCAGAGCAGAGGCCCTGGGTCAACGCCCAGTCCTGAGAATGAATAAATAAGTAAATAGGTACGGACACCAGTGTGGAGAAGAGGCTCATGGGAACCTCCTGGCTTCCAACACAAAGCTAAGATAGCAGCTGCTTCGGGATTTGCTCTAAGGACCCAGTCATTCAGGACCGCTGGGACCCGCCCACCCCGCCACCCCACCACCCCGGGCCTGGGCGCGCATGCGCTGGCTGGGATAATGCTGCTGCCCAGACCGAAGGCGACCTCTGCGGAAACCCTGGAGGCTCTGGCTCGGTTTCCATAAAGGCTACAGGAAGCGCCCCTCTTCTCGGCTGCGGGTTTTTGTTTGTTTTCCGGTGCTAGAGACGGAGCCTGGGCAGGTGCTCTCCGCCCCTCCTGGGGTACAGCAGGGCGGGGGGTCGAGTTTGGTGGGACCCATCCCTGGCCGAGATGTCAGCAGACGACCAGGCCGAGCAGGAGAAGCATGGCCCTGAGGTCCCAGCTGGGCCGGCCCCCTCGCCGCCCCGCAGCCCCGGCCGCAGCCTGCCAAGCAGGGGCGCGAGAGGCGACAGCGATCCCCGGAGCAGCAAGGGGGGAGGAAGCGGTGGGGTCAGAAGTGGCTGCAGGGTCGGAGTAGGCGGCGGGGTCGGAGGTGGCGGCGGGGTGGGAGTTGGGGTTCGCGGCGGGATCCGAGTCGGTGGGGAAGTTGAGCTGGGCCTGCAGGCAGAGGGGTGGGGAAACCGGCCTGAGCCTGAACTCGCCCGGCCTGATCCCTGGACCGGCGGGCCGCAGGGTCCTGGGCTCCCCGGGGCCGGGCGGGCGGGGCAGCGCCTCACCTGGGAGGCCGGGTCCAGCACCACCAGCCGCAGGTAGGCGTGGGCCGAGGGCGCAGTGCCGGCTTCACCCACCGCGGCCACAGTCACCAGCACCACGGAGTCCGGGGCTGCGGCCTCCGGGACTTCCAGCCACAGACGCCCCCAGGTAGCCTCGTTGGGCCCCACGTGGACCCTGCCGAGCGGATTCGGATTAGAATACAAGTTGCTGAAACAGTGCTGAGGGGTGGAGCCAGGGAGGGGCGGGAGACAGCATGGCTGGCCAATAGGAAGGGTTCGAGGCGGGGCTTGGAGGGAAGCGCCACACCCCATACCCCACTTGAACCTGAAGGAGGGTTGGAAACTAGGCCTCACCTGGAGAGGTTGGAGATGAGCGGAAAGCTAGGGCGCACAGACGTCCTGAGCTCCACATCTTGGAAGCCGGAGAAGCTGGCGACACGGAGGCTGAGCGCGACCTTGCTGCCCGGGGTCAAGGAACCCGGGGGGCCGCTGAGCTGCGGGCACCGGCCGGTCAGGGTCAGGGGAGGGGCCGTCCAGACCCCTCCTGCCACGGTTCAGCCACAGCTCAGTCTGCCCCCCCCCCCGCACCGCACCCCCCTCCCTCGCCGCCGCCCCTCTCACCTCCAGAAGGACTGGAGCTACGGAGCAAGGCTGGGGCGCAGCCCTGTGCAGGCTCTGGCCGCCTCCGTCCTGGCCCACCAGCTCCAGGGCAAAGGCGCCGGGCGCAGACAGCAGTGCGGGCGGCAGTGAGGCCGAGAGGAGGCCTCGCTCTGCCGGTCCCTTGGGCGCCAGGGGTACCTGCCCCAGCTTAGTGCCCTCCGGGAGCCTTCGAAGGACGGCGTGGGAGAAGTGCGGTGGATCCTCCTCAGGACTGCCTCTGGAGCCCAGCCCAATCACCTCCACCAGCAGCTGGGTCGGAAGCCCTGTGCTCCAGGGGATGGAGAAAGGCGGGGCTGCGTGAGTTTCAGAGGCACTGGGAAGGAAGAGTGAATGACCTGTCCTGAAGGGGGCCTATGAAATCCGTCAAACCATGCACTCAGGTTTAGGGCCCTTTGCTCAATAAACGGGTACAACTAGCAATGTGCACGTGTATGCATTTGCATAATGTACTGGGATGGTGCAGGGGAATGAACATACCTGCGACTGGCTGAGCCAAGGAGTAGAGGCCAGGGTGGGGTCCGTCCTCCATGGGGACCCCAAAGTGGAACAGGAAGTCCAGGGAGGTCTGAGCTGGGGGAGGGGGAGGGCAGAGACTGAGAGGAATGTGACAGGACTGCTGCTCCCGTCCCAGGGACACCACCCTCCTTACCTTGCACTCTCACTCGAGGGGTGTCCTCAGCTGTGACCTGGATCTCCCAAATCCCTGTCTCGGGGGGGTCTGCCATGGTCACCAGCCAGAACTGGCCAAAGCGGCGTGTGTGACCTAGAGCGCCCATACCTTCCTCGTGGTCCTGAGACACCCCTGGGGTGGGAACAACGTGTCACATGGAGCGGCTTCCTCTCCTGAGCACACCCTCTTCCTGTGCAGCTCCCCAGTTTCCAGTTATTTCTGCTGGGACGACGGCAGGGCTACCTGCAGGGCTCCTGATCCGGAAGCCGCAGACCTTCCCATGCACCCGGACAGTGAGCTTGCGGAGCAGCCCGTCTACGCTGAACACAGATGGCCTCCCAGGGACCAGGGTGGGAGGGTCCAGGGGAAGGGTCACCTGGGAGAGAGCGGGACGGGAAAATGGGGGAGACAGTACTGCACGGGATGGGGTACAAACAGGTGGAGACGGGCACCAAGCCAACAAGTCCAGTGGGGTCATCGACCAGGATGGCCAGCTGTGATCAGTGACAGCTAGAGGCAAGGATTCAGAATGAAGCAATGACTCTTGTCCTTTAAAAGGTGACAGGTCTTCCTGTCACTGCCCTGAGGACAGAGCTCCAGAGGCCACGGTGGAGGAGAGGTTAACTGATTTGAAGGGTAGGGAGAGAACTTCCTTTCTACTCTTCTGACCAAAACGAAGCACAGCACCCTTTCTCCTTGAGGAGGACTCAGCATCGCACCCCCACCCCCGAGCCCAGGCACCCACCCCATATGCAGTGTGATCTGGAAATATGGCGAACAGTTAAGCTCTGAAAATATCACAGAGCACCTGGGAGAGAGCTCAGTGGTAGAAGCACCTGCCTGGCAAGTGCAAGGTCCTGAGTTCAATTCCTGATATCCAAAAAAATGAATAAAAATAAATAAAAAATATTACAGAAAAACACACATTGCCATTGATCTTCCAAATATGCCCCTAACTGTGAACACATTTATCTCCTCGTGTTCACCACTTTCTAAAGCAGTTCTGAAGCCCTCCCTGGGGGCGCCCTTAGCCATGCTGCTGCAGTTACCTCCCTGTCCAGAATCGATTCTAAAGGTTTATCCTGCTCTGTCTCTAACGGGCCGGATCCAGTGAGCAGGCACAGAATGCACCGTCAGGCTTTCAGGTGTCTGCATGGTCACTGGACAGCACTGAACAGCAGCGTTAGCTGCAGTTTTGATTGCGCCTCATGGAGACACCCGAGAGAGGATTCCATAATGACTTAGAACATGGCAAGCGCAATGCAGCAGGAGCTTTCAAACCAAGGGATAGTATATTTGAAAGGGATCCACAGCAATTAATCTCATACTGTAATAAAAAAAAAATTTTTTTTTTTGGTACCTGGGATTGAACACACAACCTTGTGCTTCCTAGGCAGGTGCCTGTGCTGCTGAGCTAAACCTTTGGCGAATTTTTTTCTTTCTTTCTTTCTTTCTTTTTCTTTTTTCTACTTTTTTGTCTTTTTGAGACAGGGTCTCACTACGCAGTTCAGGCTGGCCTTGGGTTCACTTTGTAGCCCAGGCTGGTCTCAAACTTGCAAAGAATTTTCCTGCCTCAGTCTCCCGAGTGCTGGGACTGCAGGAGTGCACTACCACACCAGGCCTGGTTAAAAATTTTTAAATGGGGGCTGGGGATTTCGCTCAGCAGCATAAGCACCTGCCTTGCAAGTGTGTGGTCGTGAGTTCGATCCCCAGTACCAATCAAAAAGAAAAAGACAAAAACATTTTTAAATGTAAATATCAGCCATGTATCTTGGTCCCCTCTCATTCTCACCAGGGCACTCATGCTGTCTCCAACAATGGCCGCCACATCCTGAATGTGCTGGTCTTTGGTGAAGATCACTTCTCCTCCAGACGCCAGTGCCACTGCTTCATATGGCTCAAAACGCAGCGGCGACAAGACTTCACGCCGGGTTCGTCCCTGGACCCTGGACGGATCCTCAGTCACCAGGAAAGTCACCTGTGGTCAGAAGGCACCCTCTGCTCAGACTTCCTGCAGGGCTGGATCAGAGACAGTGGTTCCCTCAAAGCCAGGAGTTAGCCGCAGCCCCTGTCAGGGAATGCCTCTTTTTTTTTGGCGGGGGTGGGGGGGGTGGGGGGGGTGAATGCCTCTTGCAGTGTGTCTGGGCAGGTTCCCTGTGAACACAGCACCCTGGGGGCAGGACTACTGCTCTTGAGTCCAGCTGAAGTGACCACTGGGCAGCACACACCCATCATCCCAGCTACTGTACTTGGGAGGCTGAGGCAGGCAGACCACAACTTCAGACCAGCCCAGGTGACTTAAGAGCCTATCTCAAAACAGCCTGCACAAGGCCTTGGTTTTGATCCCCAGCATGGGGCTGGGGGTGCAGTCAGGGCTGGATCAACCACTGTGAAGTGAATGACTGTTAGAGCATCACAGAGTCCCACCACCCAGGCATGGCTACCGCGGCTTCTCTGTCCCCCGGCGCTCACCCTGCAGCGCCGCTCCTGGGCCAGGGATTCGATCCTATTGGTGAGAAAGGCATCCTTGGGGGAGGCATCGGTGAAGACAAAGATGTCGGAGAGCGGCGGCGTATGCAGCAGGGCCAGCTGGCAGGAAGGAAGGGGCCGGCGTTAACCGTGCGATCAAGCGGGCATGGGTACTGCAGGGAGGACCGCGGACAGGGGGTGCGTGCCAGACCCAGGCCTGATTCGGGGGAGCAGGCCTGGAGGAGAGGGGGCGCGGTCCGTCTCTGGCTCCCCCTGGTGGTGGGGCCTGGACAGGTCAGGACATCGGGAAAGACGGGGGAAGGGCAAACCTCCAGGGCAGACAGGCACATCTCTGGCTCGTCGCCACCCCCCAAGGCCTGGATCTCATTCAGTCGCTGCCAGAAGGTGTGAGGATCACTGGTGGTGAAGACTGGGCCGAACCCTAGGCAGGTGGAGGAGGCTGAGATGTGTGATGCAAATCTCCTTTCTGCCCACGTGGAGGTGCTCACTGCATCCCAGACTCGGGAGGCCAGGCCGGCCTGAGCCACACAGGGAGACGAGTCTCAAGAAACCAAAAAAGAACTACTACGACTACTTCTACCACCGAGTCAATTCTATAAATCTTAAAATAAAATCTGTTTTTTCTGTGAGACAGGGTCTTGGTATGCAGTTTAGGCTGGCCTCGAACTCACTATGTAGCTCTGGCTCACTTGGGACTGGCAATCCTCCTGCCTCAGCCTCTCAAGTGCTGGGATTATAGGGGTGTGCCACCATGTCCAGCTAGAATAAAATCTTAATTACTCCTTTATTCATACCTTCATCAAGCATGTAATATGTCCCTATTAAATACCATGCCTGGAATGTGCAAGATCCTGCATTCGATTCCCAATACCAAAACAGCAAAAAATCCTATAACCAGCCACAGACGGATGTGGTGGTGCATGCCTGTAACCTCAGCACCCAGGACACTAAGGCAGGGTCACTATGAGTTTGAGGCCAGCCTGAACTATAGAGTGAGACACTATCTCAAACAAAAACCAAGAAATAAATAAGTAAACCAGCCACGATGAGACTGACAAGACAAATCAGACTCAGACTGTCCCTTTAGGGCGTTCTCAGACCGGGAAACTTCCACTGAACTATTTAGTGGGTGATGGACATGAGACCACGAGTGTTAACTGCCCAGCGTGAGGGCACTGTGGGAGGGTGAGCCAGGCCAGACCGCAACCGCCCCAATACTTCCTGGATGAACAGACCCCTATCTGCATCGCAATCTCGCTACAGGAAGTAGAGAGTCCCAAATAGCTCATTGTATTAGAAGCCTAGGAAAGCAGAGGTCTGAGCCAGTGTGAGGTGCAGGCCTGCGACCCTAGCACTCCAAGAGGCTGAGGCAGGAGGACTGCAAGTTATTGCCCTGTCTCAAAATAAAACATAAACAGTGCAAAGGCCTTGGGTACATTCCCTAGAGAAAAGGAAGTTTAAAATATATAAAAGGAGCGGGAAGAAAGCAGAGGCTGGGCACCCAAGTATGGCTGGCACACCAGACTGGCAGAAGAAGTGCTCCTCCTTGGTCCTTTTGCCCTTTAGGCCCTGGCTGTCTGTGCACACAGGTGCCCCACAGGCTCAGGACGAGCCTCGGAAGACTGCTCTGTCAGCAGGGGCGCCTGAGGCCTCTCTCCCTGCCCCCTGGCCCCGGGGTACCTGGGTCGTGGAAAGGCACCAGCACGTAACTGGCAGGCTCCATGGGGCCGCCACGCCGCTGCTCCATGATGCGGCGAGCCTGGATTTTGGCGGCATTGATCTCCTCGCCCATGCTACCCGTGGTGTCCAGGACGAAGCTCAGGCTGGAGGCCGTGGTCAGGTCCAACAGCCTGAGGAGCAGCGAGAGACTCAGTGAAGCGTCTGCGTGCCGCCTTCCCCCCAGCCCTGGTTTCCCTGGAAGCCACTCACCTGGAAAAGCCCTTGTCACCCAGGCGGCCTCGCAGGAGGTTGAGGGCCTGGATGGAGGCCAGCAGGGCCAGCTGCGCAGCCTGTGGGTGCAGCGCATGGTGCGGGGAGAAGCCGGGGGCCGTGCTGTCCTTGTTGATGCCTCCCCGGGGTGGCTGGGCACTGCTCAGGTCGAAACGGCCCCCATGGCTACACTTCCCTGGGTTGGGGAATGAGATCTGGGGGTGGAAGTCAAAAAGCCACTGCCTACTGAGAAAATGGGTCCCTTTCTGACCGGGTGTGGCCCTCTCATCCCTCAGCAAAGGGTCATCGGGACATGACCACAGCTTGAGGCAGAAAATCCAGGGTAAATCTGGAGGGGTCCGTCAGCACAGGACATGGTGGCCCCAAAAGCTGCCCACAGGTAACAGAAATCCCGTGAGGAAAGTAAGCAGCTGCTCCCCACACAGCAACCCCAGCCACTCAGCAGGTCCCCATCTACCCACCCTGCACCCAGCAGCCCCCTCTCCTAGGAAGGGAGGCCATGCAAATGGAACAAGGGCAGGCTGGACTGAGAGCCCGGGTGAGAGATTAAAGACAGTGACAGGATTTTCCTGCCGTACCTGGGGGTTTGGGAGGGTGAGTTCCAAAGTAGCCAGAAGTAAGGAGGCTGGAGCTCAGCAAATTGCCAGGGCAGCTCGGTTCCTCACAGTCGGAGCAGGTAGGGTCGTCCACTGGGGAGAGAGTGGCGGGCTAGAGCACACACTCAGGGACCTCAGGCCCGTCCGCCCTTGTCTGCTCCGGTCTGCACCCCTTCCTCCTGGTCATAGCAAGGTGACAGCCCATGGTGTCCCTGGTGAGGCTTTCTGAGCCAAATCCTGGCGTTCTGGTGCTGGCAGTGGGAGTGGCTGTTTGGCCTAGGACCACACTAGAAAGCCCAGAGATGTTCTGATTCAGCCTATGAAATGCTGCCCCCTGAGCTGCAGACAGGAAGTGCGCTTTGGTGCACAGGAGGCAGCTTCCCAGTCCTAGCTGAATTGGGAACATGAGGGGACCATGAGAGCCGGAGCCTGTGGGGCGCGGGCTCTGACTGTGTGACCCAGCCTAGAGCTGGCCTGGGAGCTCAGGTCCTCTCAGAAAGGAAGAAACACCACCTCTGAGGGACCAAGAGCAGAAGGCTGTATGTGTGGGCTCTCCTTCCTGGGATGACGGCTGCACCTTGTGCCAGGGTCCAGAGCTCCCGCCTCCGGGGCCAGAGGAGGTGAGGGTGTGGCTGCTGTTTCCCCAGCTCCACCCAGTTGCTGTGGCTGTAGAAATCCTGGGCCAGGGGAGAAAAGAGGGCAAGGGGGAGCTGCTCAGCTCACCCAATCACCATCTCCAGCCCTGACCCTTCTCTGCCTTGCGCTCCCACCCAGGAGGCCACTTAGCACTTGCACTGCCGGAGCCCCAGGGCCTCCTGCTGCCCAGCACAGAACCCTGTGTGCCCGAAGTGTCCAGGCATCTTCCCAGCCCCAGGACCTGGCCACTTTCCTCTCCTCTCCCTTCTCCAGCCGCCACCACCGTGGCTCCCCCCACTGTTTGGAGTTGGGGGATTAGAGCAGCAGGCCCTGTCCCCCTGGAGCACACAGGCCTGACCAAGAAGCCCTGCTGGGTTGGTGGGGCTCTCCATCACCCGTCCTCTCCTCACCTGTAGGGCGTGCAGTGCAGCCCCCAGGCGCTGGCGGGCCAGCGTGTGGTCCTGGGCTCCAGCAGCCACCAGGGTCTCCCGCAGAGCCCCTGCCAGTCGTTCACGTGCCTGGTCCAGCCGCTCAGCATCAAAGTGCAGGTCAGGGTCGTTCTTGGAAGTTGCCAGGAAGTCCTGGGCTGCATTGGCACGGGACACCTCTCCTAGGGCTGCTCGGAACCGCCGGGAAGGAGCCCCAGGTCCAAAGTAGGCAGCAAAGAGGTCGTCAGCAAGCAGGGTGTGGCCCTGGCAAGAGTGGTGAGGACAGAAGCCCCTGGGATCACAGTGTGGCCCGTGCTACCTTGTGGCTCCCAAGGCTAGGGACAGATGGCACCCACAGTGCTGGCCCCATGAGAAAGCAGCAGAAAGGGAGCAGCCCCAGCTGAGGGAGACCGAGAGGGCGCAGCCAGAGGGAGTGGGTAGGAGGCAGGTGTCACCTCCTCACAGCCAGGGCCCTGGGGAAGGGACTGGGGTGCTCACCAGGAAGTCCTGGAGACAAAGTGGGGGCCGCCCCGGGGGCGGTTGCTCCAGGAAGAGCTGCAAGGTGACGTTCAGTGCCGCCTCTTCGGTCAGGTCCTGGTGGGTGACGGAGCCAGGGGCGGCCAGAAGGCTCCAGATATTGGGGAAGAAGGCAGATGTGGGAGACAGGAGCAGCTGCAGCAGCACCAGCACTGAGGGGCCTGGGCAGGCCAGGGGCACCCCCACAGGGAGCATGGCTGAGACATGGGCCCAGGGCACAGCAGGCTCACGGCAGCAGCTCCTGGCCAGCCGGGCTCTTCTGCAGGGCACCTCCTCTGGCCACCTCCTTAAATGTATTCGCTCCAGCCTGGCTCCTCCTCCCATTGCTGACAACCTGGAGACCTCATCATGCCAGAAGGGACAGCCACCTGCCAGGACAGGGGTCCAATACTCCTCGGCTGGCCCTCCCAGCCCTGTCCCAGGGCCCACCCCCACCACACGGAGCCTTCTACTCCCCTACCTGGCTGCTGGGTCAGTCTCCCGTGCAAGGCCAGCCCTAGCCACTGGGCCAGCGTCACAGGGCACTGAGGTCAGAGTTATAATTAACTAGGCCCCAGCAAGGAAGGCAGGTGGCCCCTGGCCCTCAACCCCGGCCCTGGCACAGGAACCACGATGAGCGCAGTGCAGAGGTGAGAAGCGCTGGGAGGACTCAGCAGCAGAGTGACTCAGGCCTGGCATAGAGCCAGGCCACACCCAGTTCCTAGGAGCTGCACCCCCACCCATCTGCTCAGGGCCTGAGGCTGCTCACATGCAGCCCACACAGCCAGAGACACAGGAACCCCGGTCCCCGCCCCTCCCACCCCCACTGTGGCACAGACACATGGGTTTGTGGCAAAATATTTTATTGCAGCTGTCCCCAAGGTGGACCCCAGGGGCCCTGAGGGCTGAAACGGGTGTCACAGCATCTTCTGGAATAGGGCGATGGCCTCGTCCACTTTCTTGAGCTCTGCCTCCGTCTGTCTGAGCTGGGGTAGAACACAGGGTGCATGGTAAGGACCAGTTCCAGGGGGACCCCAACTCCAGGCCGGCGGGAAAGCCCTGAGACAATGAGGGTCCGGCAGGCCAGGTGCTCCTGTCAGCTCCATCAGCCTGGCTCCTGCCACGCCCGCTGTGGGCTCTCCAGGAATCAAAGGGACCCTTCACAGGGCAGGCAAGTGCAGGCTACCAGCTGGTCATGAAGCTGGGGAACAGAAGCACTAACAGGTCTGCACAGAGGGCGTGGGCAGCCAGCTCCGGGCCAGCTCTCAGCTTCCGGTCCCCACAGGGACTCCACACCAGGAGGTACACCCTGCACCAGCCTGGGAGCCACAAAAGCAGGAGGGGGCATGGGCCCCGGGGTCGGGCTGGCAGGCAGGTGCCAGGGCCAGGTCTGCCTGTCTCTACCTGACTGTGACACCACTGCATCTGTGTGTGGGGAGGGGCTGCGTGGTTGCTGCTTGGGGTAGCTCTGGGCTCCCCTGGGGCTGGCATCTGAGCTGGAAGGGCACTGACATGTGGGAGAGCCCAGCTCCGCCATGCACCTTGGCTTCATCCGCCTCCTGCACTTCCAGGGGCACCTTGACGGCGTAGCCCGAGGCAGAGCGGCGCTCCTGCAGACGCTGAGCCTGGCGCTGTGCCTCTGCCTGCTTGGCCTGCAGCTTGCTCAGCTCCCGGGCAGGATCCACCAGGCCCTGCAGCTGCAGGTGGATGGAGCAGCGGTCAGATGCCAGAGCCACGGCGCAGCCCTGGGGTGCAGGTGCCCCAAGGGCCAAGACAGCGACCACTCCTGCGCTGGCCAGTGCCTGCACATAGCCGGATACTGCCGATGCCACGGCGCCTGTGGCCTCATCGGCCACTTCCAGGAAACCTGCAGAGAAGAGGAGTGAGACTGGGCTGACACAGGTTCCCAGAGTAGGACGTGGGGCATGGGCACGCTTACAGTCAGGCCGGGTTCGAGTGAGGCCGTAGTCTGCTCGCAGTGAGCGCACAGCCCGAGAGATGCTCAGTGCCAGCTCCAGAGCGGCTTCGGCTTCAGGGTCCTTCCAGGAGCACTGTGGGGTGCAGGAGGCCATGAGGGTCCTGGGGGGGCCAGGGCACCCCACGGAGCCCACAACGGGCAGCCCCTACCTCCGCAGGCTCTGGATAGGGGGTGACACAGAGGCTGGCGGGGGCCTGCGGGCTCCTCCGGGGCAGCCTCTGGAACAGTTCCTCGGTCACAAAGGGCATGAAGGGGGACAGCAGTCGCAGGCCAACATCCAAGCAGGTGTAGAGTGTCTGGCGGGCACACTCGGCTACCTCCTGGTCCGAGCCGCTCAGGACAGGCTTCAGGCACTCCTGGGGGTGGAGGGCACAGCTCAGCCCTGGCCACCGGGAGGCCCAGGAGGACCTTGGGGGAGGGCCAGGCCAGGCTTCTCCTCACCAGGTAGACATCACAGAGCTCATACAGCCAGAAGCTATACTGTGCTGTGGTGACGGCCGGGAAATCGTAGGCCTGGAAGCCCTCACTGCTGAGCCGCACGGCCTCCGCCAGCCTGCTGAGGATCCATCGGTCCACCAGGCTCCCTCGGCCTGCAGGCTGGGAGGAGGCAGATGAGTCTCAAGGCCACGGGGGCCCTGGGGACAGCCAAAAGCCTGACAGAGTCCAACATGTGGGAGCAACGACGGGTAGCTGGCCACCTTGGTGAAGGAGGCTGGCACCCATAGCTGCAGGAGGCCCCTGGACAGGGAAGGAGCTCCTGACCCCACAGACCCGCCGTGCATGCAGGGCCTTACCGTGGAGGTAGGTGAGGGCACAAAACCCTGCCCGAGGCCTCGGAGGGCAAACTTGGTGGCATTCCAGAGCTTATTGCAGAAGTGCCGGTAGCCCAGTATGCGGTTCACATCCAGGTTGATGTCCCGGCCTAGGAGAAGGTGACATGGGAATCTTTGCCTGCTCTGTCACAAGGAGCACACAGGGGTCTCAGGGGAAGAGGAAGCAGATGACTGAAAGGGAGGTTTTGGGGACCTACCCTGGGATGTATAGGCACAGAGGCCAAAGCGGAGGGCATCGGTGCCACACTCAGGAATCCCTGCAGGGAAGTCAGCCTTCTGCAGAGGGGAAGGAGTCAGGAGAGCCCATCAGCCCCGCCCCAACCATGCAGGCCCCTCCCTCTGCCCCCCCCCCACCCCAGCCCCACACCTCAAAGGCCAGCCCCTCAGACCTGTCCTTCTTTGGCCTTCTCCACCTCGCTGGGATCCAGGTTGCTGTTCAGTAACTGGTCATGGAGGCCCTGAGGGGGAGACGGGGCCGTCAGGTAGCCATGGTCACCTCCACAGCCAGTCCTGGCTGGCCCAATACCCGCCCTACCTGCAGGGAGACACCATGAATGACGTCTAGGGGGTCGATGACATTTCCCAGAGACTTGCTCATCTTCCGGCCATGTGCATCCCTCACGATGGCGTGGAGGTAGACCTGTGGGCGGGGAGTGATCTGAGCCCCAGCATTGCTCCCCCCATGGTGTCCCCTGCGAGGCAGCTGCCTAAGTCCAGGCCCACCCTCTCCCTGCACCCCACACCTCTCGGAAGGGCAGCTTGCCAGTGAGCTTGAGGCCGAGCATGACCATCCGGGCCACCCAGAAGAACAGGATGTCGTGGCCTGTCTCCAGCAGCGTCCCCGGGTAGAACACACTCAGGTCTTCTGACTGGGCATAGAGTGGGGTGTTAGGAGGAGCCCTGCATGCCTTAAAGTAGCTCCACACCCCAGCCCGGCCCCAGGCACACACCTGGCTGGGCCAGCCCAGGATAGAGAAGGGGAAGAGGCCGGAGGAGAACCAGGTGTCCAGCACGTCCTCATCTGAGGAGCAAGGTCAGAGGTGACAGGTGGCCAGTGGGTAACTCCTGACCCTGCCGCCTCCTGCCGGGCTGGCCTGTCTTGCCTTGCTTGAGGCTGATCTTATCAGGCGACACCCCAAACTCTGCAGCTGCCTTCTCCAGGGCTTCCGCCTCACTGCGGCCGCTCACCCAATAGCGGCTGTCCGGGTCCTGCCACAGGGGCTCTGAGTACCTGCAGGGTACCCCACCTCCAAGAAACCCAGCAAACCCCCAGGACCTGGGCTGGCCTGCCTCACCTCCCCGGGGGGCACCGCTGAGTCATTGATGGTGATGAAATAGGCCGGGATTCGATGGCCCCACCACAGCTGCCGGGAGATGCACCAGTCCCTACGGGTGCCACAGTGGGGGTCAGGGGGCTCCTCATCCTTCGCCCCATCACCCCACACAGGAGTAACCACACACCGGATGTTGTCCATCCAGGAATGCCACGTGCGCTGATGGGCCTCGGGCAGGATTCGGAGGTCACCCCGGGTCACGGCTGCACTGGCTGCCTGGGCCATCTCCCCACAGCGCACGTACCACTGCGGCCGCAGCAAAGGCTCTACCACGTCCTTGGACCGGCTACAGGACAAACGGGCAAGAGTCAGCGGTCAGACCCTGGGAGCCCCCACCCGCTCTCCTCTGGAGCCCCTGGCCTCACTTGCAAAGCGGCACCACCATGGGGTTGTCCCGGACACCCCGGAAGAGTCCCCGCTCTTTCAGGGCTGCCAGCACGGCCTTCCTGGCCTCAAACCTGGGCAGGCCCTGGGTGGGAGAGAGTCATCGTCACAGGGACGCCTAGGTGGCCACTCCCAGCTCCCACAGCTGGCAGCCTCACCAGGAAAGGTGGGGGCACATTGACCAGGGCCCCATGGACGTCCATGATGCTAATGGCCTCCAGCCCATGCCGCTGCCCCACCTCGTAGTCATTCTGGTCGTGCGCAGGGGTGATCTTCACAGCACCTGGGGTATAGGGCAATGCCAGGGTCCCCAGGGTCGCCAGGGACTCGGTGGCACCCTGCCCCAGCCTCTGTCAACTAAGCCCCACCTCCCCAGCACTCTTTGAGCACCGAGCATGGTTCAGGTCTCGGCCTAGGTGCAGGCCGTCCAGCTGCAGCGCACTTCCTTCCTCTCGGGCTTTGCGCTTCTGGTCTCCTCCCCTGTGAGACCAGCGTCCTGCTCACCTGTGCCGAACTCCATGTCCACGAAGTGGTCAAAGACTATGGGCAGGCTCCGGGACACGAACGGGTGGGTCACACGCTTTCCCTTCAGGTGCTAGTGATAGAGGACACGAGGGAAATGCCGCTAGGACCCTGACCAGCCAACACCCAGCTCCCTAACAGCCTGGCAGCTGTATTCCCAGCAGAGGATGCCACCCTGACAGCCTCCTGCATCAGATGGGCAGTCTCTTCCCGCTGCCACCAGCCAGAGGTGCAAGCGCCCTACACACCTGGTATCTGGGGTCCTCCGGGTGCACAGCCACGGCCACATCACCCAGCATGGTCTCGATCCGAGTCGTGGCCACCACCACCTCTTCATCACTGTCTGTTAACAGAAGGCCTCACAGCTCAGCCCTAGCCATTCCCCCACCCACCCACTGGCCAGCACCCTGGACCTGGACACCTACCTGAGTCCTGGACCTTATAGGCGAAGGACACGAGGACGCCAAACTCCACCTTCTCTTTGTAGCCAGGCACAGAGAGCAGGGTGCGACCCGTCAGCTCCTTCTTATCCACCTGTAAGACAAGTCCTCAGAGTAGTGCCCAGGCGCAGGCACTGGTGCCGGACTGCAGGTGTGTGTGGGGGCATACCTCAATGTCAGAGATGGCCGAGTTGAGGGCACAAGACCAGTTGACCAGGCGCGTGCTACGGTAGATGACTCCTTCCTCATGAAGCCGCACAAACGCCTCTGTCACAGCGGCCGACAGTTTCTAGGGTACAGTGGGAGGAAGTCATAGCTGGGCCAGGTGCCTGGAGGCCGAGGTGCCCAGCAAGGTATCAGGGGCTGCACCAGGGTGTCTGGTCAAGTCCCCCCCAGATGACACACAAGGACTGCTTTGGGGGAGAAATGCCTCCTTGTGGGAGGGCGGGGAAAAGTCTGGTGAAGCTGGATGCTAAGGGAACCCCCCCAGCTGGAGACAGGGGCTGGCACAAGGTATCCTGGGAGTTCAGGAGCCCTGGGAGTAGGAGGCTGGTCCTGACCGGGCAATTGCAGAGGAAGGGGAGCTCTGAGTGAAGGACCAGGACAGGGGTGGCATCTGCGGCTGAGCCATCAGGGTGTCCTAGGAGGGGGTTCAAAGACCCCGAGGGAAGTCCGCTGGGGGTGTTGCATTCCCACCCCCACCCTGAGACCCCGTCCCACGCACAGGGTCCATGGTGAAGCAGGCTCGATCCCAGTCCAGGGAGCTGCCGAGCTTCTTCAGCTGGTGGTAAATCCGGTCGCCTTTCCTGGAAGGACAGACAGGCCGGGGATGGAAGGACATCAGGTCCCTGATGGGGCAGCGTGGGGGCTGAGGTATCTCCTGACAGGGCAGGTAGGGCAGCCACTGTGTCCCAGGGGGGCTGCATACTCACTCCTCTTTCCACTTCCAGACCTCCTGCAGGAAGGCCTCTCGCCCCAGCTGGTGCCGGCTCAGCCCCCGCTCCCGCCACAGTTTCTTTTCCACCACCACCTGGGTGGCGATGCCCGCGTGGTCGCAGCCCGGGTTCCACAAGGTGGTCTCACCGCGCATGCGGTGCCTGGGGAGGGTCAGGGGTGAGGGTGAGGCAGGCCACCGCACCCAGCCCTGGGAGCAGAGGCTGCCGGGGCAGACAGCCAGGGTGCTCATCGAGGAGGATGGAGCCGGAAACCTCCTGACCAAAAGCCATCGGGGAGAGGAGATATCTGGGAAAGGAGCAGAACAGACCGTCCCCAGCCAGACAGTGAGGGGTGAGAGAAAGCAGGGAAACAAAAGATCCCAAGGACACAGGAACAGACCAAGGGGCAAAACAGAGGCAGGGAAGAGATGCAGGCAAAGTGCATTTGTGAAAGGTTATAACGAGCCAGCTGGGACAAGGAACACTCTGGAGAGAGACCCTCCCTCCTTCCCAGCATCCACACACGCAGTTCCTCATGGCCGCCCTAAGAAAGGAAGCCAGGTCACAGGCTGGAGCCCGGGACAGAGGGCCTAACACGCTAGGCCCTGGGTTGGAGCACTGCCAACACACGCACGCACAACCAGCAACAACCATGGGAGGATTGCACCACAACAGGTAAGCAACTGCATCCACAACACAAGGTTAAAACACCTCCAGTAACTGACTGAAAAAGAGAACAGCCACGTGAGGTGCTACATACCCATAACCGCACACACTGGGAGCTGAAACAGGCTTGAGCCCAGCTTGGGGCACTCACAACTTAACCAGACCCTGCATCCAAACTATACATAGGGCTACTGCTCCATGGCAAGGCCCTGGGTTCAATCCCCCACCATAAAATAAGTAGCAGACAGACACAAGTAATTCACAAATGGGAAAAACCTGGCTGGCCAAGATACACAGCCTCACAGCAGCTGGTGACATAACAGCTGCATGAGACTGACAAAGACTGATGAAGGCCAGGGCTGACACGGGTAGGGAAATAAACACCCCGCACAGGACTCGAAGAGCGACCCTAGCAGCTCCCTGGAGTCTCACATGGGCAAATCCGGCAGCCCAGCAGGGTTACTTCCTGGCAGCTGCATGGGAGAAACCCTAAGTAAGCATATATAGGACACACAGTACCCCAAGGTTCCCATCAGAGGAAAATCAGGAATGACTATTAATTAAAAAAGGATTTAAATATGCTGTATCCACACTGTGGAATACTATGGAGCAATCAAAAAGAACTAAAATCATATAATGGGTAAGAACCAGAAAAGATCTCCAGGAAAATCAGCTAGGGGGGAAAATGCTATTGAGGGACATGTGAGACGCGTGCTCTTTCTATGAAAAGGTGGAAGAGAAAAGCTCACCTATGGAAAAATTACCCCCTGGGTATCTGGTACCTAGCACAGAGGTTTTAAAAAAAAAAGAGCTAGGTGTGGTAGTGCACATGTGTGATCTCAGTCCCCAAGAACCTGAGGCAGGGAGATTCCTGTAGTTTGGGCCAGCGTGAGCTACATAGTAAGACCCTGTCTCAAAAAAAATAAAAAAGAAAGAAAGAAAAACTAAAAGGCTTTTTTTTTTTTTTTTTAAAGAAGAGAAGAGAAGCAGAGCCCCTGAGTGGGGTGCATAATGGAACCACCAACTAGGTAAGGCTGCTGGAAGAGCCCATGAGACGCAGCACCACCGGGGGCAGAACAGGGAGCCCGGGCGGGCAGAGGGGGCAGCCAGGGCAGGACAGCTCACCATCGGGTCAGTGAGTCCTGAATGGCGTTGGTGAGCGCGTGGCCCAGGTGCAGGGAGCCTGTCACGTTGGGGGGTGGGATGCACATCATGAAGATGCCCCGGGGGTTTGGCGTGGACACGCTGGGGCGCTGATGGCAGAGAAGGATGGCACACGCTGAGGCCTGGCGCCACCTCGCTGGGCCTGGCCTGGCTTCTGCCTCCCTCTCCAGCTGGGGCTGCGCCTTCACCTGCACTCACCCCGTATTCAGGCTTGAAGAAGCCCTGCTGCTCCCACCAGGGGTACCAGGCAGCCTCCACGTACTGCGGGCTATAGGAGTCAGGCATGGGGCCGCTGACATCTGTGGGTGGGCGGAACGGAGCTCAGTATGGCGGGACAGAAGGACAGAAGGACGGGTTTCTGCCATCCCCGTGCAGGCCAGGTACAGGGAGCAGGCAGGCAGAAAGGGGTGGCCCCTCCCCATAGTACCTTTCTTCTCCCCAGGGGGGGTCGGCAGGTCATAGGTAATGACCCCAAGATCCCGCTTCTCCTTCTTCTCTGCTTTTGGTCTCTTCTGCTCGGAGGAGACAAAGATCCAGGTGTCAGGCCCTGCCTTGCCCAGCCCAGCACCCCCTATCCCTGCAGTGCCCTCACCTCCCCTGCCGGGGGCTGCTGCTGTTGGAGCCTCTGCTTCTGCTGGAATTTCTCTAGCTTCTCCCGCTTCTTTGCTTCTTTCTTGAGCTGGGCGGCTGTCTTTGGAGGTGCAGGACTCTCGGGACCTGCAGAGGGGATGGAGACTCAGCAGGCCTGCTGGGGCTCTGCACAGGGCTCGCTTGCTCAGAGGGGGCTCTGTTCTGTGTTGAAGGCTGATGCCCCCGCCCACCCTACCCTGCCCACCTGACTGCTGACAGGGGGACCTGGTCCCTGAGCACAGAACCACCTCTCCTAACACGGCCCGGAACTCTGGCTGCTGGACACAGGCACTGAACCAGCGGGTCACACTACCCCAGATCTGGCGGGCGGAGGGGTCCAGGACCTGGGTGGGCAGAGAGCAGCCTTGGTCACAGGCAGCTCTCAGCAGTGAGGGCAGTGCGGCTACTCCTCCCCAGCCCAGGAACTCACATATCGGAAAGGCAGCAGCAAGGCTGTCACCGCAGCTAGGTCAGCCAGGGAGGGCGCATTCCCTGCCAGGTAGGTGTGCAGCCTCAGCCACTCCTCCAGGGGCTGCAGGGCCTTGCCCAGAGCCCCCAGTGCAGCCTGGCCAGAAGGAGAAGGGTGTGAGACGAGACCTGGCCACTGCAGCCCACGGCTGCCCATCAGGCCTCGCCCACTCCTTCAGATCACCGCCTCTGAGGCCAGTTCCTGCTCCTTCGGGCTGAGAGGGCTGGCCCAGTGCTGGGGCCCATGCACTAACACGTGTGGGAACGCACACATATGCGCTCCAGTGTGTGTCTGAGTGCATAACACACACACACACACACACACACACACACACACACACCTGGTTCCAACAGCTCCTGACCCCATGTTATGTTGCAGATGAAATACATCAGGCACGAAAGTTAAAAGTAAATATTAGACGAGGCAGCATAAAAACTACCAAGTCCAGGGGGCTGGGGATTTAGCTCAGTGGCATAAGCGCCTGCCTTGCAAGCAGGCAGTGGTGAGTTCGATCCCTGGTACCGATAAAAACAAAAAAGACCAAAAAAAAAAGAACTACCAAGTCCAGAGCAACAACAATTAGATTTTGTGGTGGGAACAAGCAAGAAACAAATAGATAATATTGCTCTATTTTTTATTTATTTTTTTGTACCAGGGATCAAACTCACAACCTCACACTTGTCAGGCAGGCGCTTATGCTACTGAGCAAAATCCCCAATCCCTTGTAGCTCTATTAGAAATATATATATATATAAAAAAAAACCTCTTAAGAAGAAAAATAAACAGCTTGGCTAACAGGATCTCTAAGAAAGAGGGGACAAAAAAAAAAAAAAAAAGAAAGAGGGTACTATTTTGGATTGGATTAGGTGAGTAGATGTGAGAGGCACATGCTTGTTCATTTGCCCACTGAAGAAAAACTAAGTACACACATGTGCTCAGTACTCTGCAGGAGAGGGGCTGTGAGCACCGCACGGCAGCCCCACTCTGGAAGGACCCAGGGACAGTCCTGCACTTCCCTTCCTCCTCCTTTCACTTCTTTATCTGCTCCCAGCATCAGTAATTGCTCCCTCACCCAATCTTCACCTCCCTTCAAAATAACCTCCACAGCTAGGTAAGGTGGCACATTCCTATAATCCCAGTACTCTGGAAGCTGAGGCAGGAGAATTACTTTGAGTTAAAAACCTACCAGGGCTACACAGGGATGTCTTGTCTTAAAGAACCCTCAAAGTAACCTCTATCCTCATCAACAGCATACTTGTCAAACTTTTACTCAGAGACTAATCGGGCTGTCACCCGATTACGTACCAGTGAGGCAGCTATTTCATCAGCTTTCATTTTCAATCATAGGAAAACCAAAGCACAGAGAATTTTTAAAAAAAAAAGTGCCCAAAGTTACCACACCAGTAGCAATCTGGGATGTGAGGTCTCTCCGCGTATCTGACAGACTCCGCGGCCTCAGAATCCACGCACCTCTCTGCTTCTTTTCCCGCACCCCCGTTCCAATTACCCCGCACTCACCTGGGGGTCCTGGGCCGGGCTTCGCACCCCCAGGGCCGGCAGCGTCGCCCCGCAGGCGGCCGGAATCAGCTCGGTGTCAGCGTAGCTGACCCACTGCTGCACTAGCACAGCCTCCTGGCTGCCCCCGGGGCCCCCCAAGCCCGCTGGCCACAGCAGCTGCGCCACGGCCGCGGCGCCCCACACCCAGAGCCCCCCGGGTCCCTGCTCTAGGGCCGGCAGGCGGGGCGGCGGAAAAGGGGCCCGGCTGGCGGGCGGTGGCTGCAGGCAGATGCGGGGGTGCGCACCGCCCCAGCCAGGCCCGGCCCCGGCCTCCCCGTAGCGGGCGGCGATGAGGGCGCGGAGGCTGGGGAAGGCATCTGGGTGCGGGGAGACGTACAGAATGGACATGGCTGCGCCGGCCGCGCAGCCGGCAGCAAGGAGCAGGGCGCAGCCGGGACCCTCGGGAGCCGGGGACGGCGGCAGCGGCTCTCGACCTTGGCTCTTGCGACCGTGCCCCGGCAGCGGCGCTCACGTGCTGCCCCTTTGTGACAGCGCGCGGTTCCGGGTCCGCGGGTCCTGGCAGAGGCGGCCGAGCCCCGCCTGCGTGCGCTGCCCGCGCCCCTGCCCGCCGCCCGCACCAGGACCCGCGCGGCTGTAGCACAGGGACACTAGACAGCGCTGGCTCAGGCGCTGCCGTGGGCACCCCATGGGGGTCCTCGGGCCGGGCCCGGCGCGGAAGCGGAGGGGGCGGGGCGAAGAGGGATTGTGGTTCCAAGCGACCGCTAGGTGGCGCCCAAGGCCTCCGGTTGGGGCTCCAGTGAACGCGTACCTCGGCGCCGCTCCTCAGAGGTTAGGGTGAGTCACCGTGCGAGTGGTGGGCCCCAGCTCAAACTCCCCAACACACTTTCACTCTGCGTCTGTATTTATCTTGCACTCTAAGAAATGTGATATGGAAAATGGTGAGAAGCCCAGCATGCCCAAGCCCGTGTGCAGGCGAACGCATGTAACCCCAGCACTGCAGAGGCCGAGGCAGGAGGATCGCTGAGAGTTCAAGGCCAGCCTGGGCTTCATTGTGAGATCTTGTGTCAGAAAAAGGCATTTCTGCATCTCCTAACAGTTTCATTAACAGAATGCCTCAGTGATGGAAAGGCGGCAAGTTCCTCAGCAGCAGGGACAGTACTACCTAGGGACAGAGGAAATGAGGGCAGCAGAGCGCTGGGGACTGAGTCCAGCTGCTGCAGACACTGTGGGGGTACAGCGCCCTGGGAAGCTGGGCTGGAGCGCTTGGGTGAACTGAGCCCTCTGCCCTCCCACACAGACCACACCTCCAGGACTCAAATTTGCATAAATTTTATTCCCGATGCGGGACAGATTCCTTCCACCCCTGAAATGAGTAACAGGCTGCTCTGGGAAGCCTGGGCCACTCCGGCCACTCAGGGAGGGAGCGAAGAGGCAGCTGGGGCGGAAGGCTGTGTGGTTCCCACCTGCTTCTTCTCAAGACAGAGGATGCTGTCCCTTACTCCTCTCAGACACCGGATACCTTGCAGAAAGAAAAAGAAGAAAAAACCCTCCAGCACCGAGTGGGCCCCGAGGGGAAAAAGGGACGGCAGCTCAGGGCCCCAGGTGAAGGCGTGGAGGGCCAGGGTCACTGCTTCTGCTGCAGTGCTTCCTTTCTGGCGGCGTCCTGCAGCAGCTGTGTGTCCACCTCATCTGCCGGCAGCTGCACGTAGCGGACCACGGAGCCTCGGATGAAGCAGTTCTTCACGGACAGCTAGACGGACAGACAAATGTGCAAGCCCTCTTTATGCTGTCCTCTGAGCAGGCGGGGGCCTCATTTCCCTGTGTTCCCTCCTCCCACCCAGCTCACCATGTGAGGGTATTTCTCAGGGTCCGTGACACTGATGTCAGTCAGCTTGATGTTGAGATACTACGAAAAGCGGGCAACACCATCACTGACCTGGGAGAGGATGCAGGCAGCCAACCCCCATCTCTCCTCTCTCCTCCCCTGAGAACAAGTTATAGCCCTGTAGGGTCTTACCTGGTCCACAGAATGGAGGGTTCCACAGATGCTGTCAAGGAGGAGAGGAGGGAAGAAGGGATTAGCTGACACTAGGTCAACACGAAGGGGACTTCCAGGCTAGGGTGGGCACATGGCAGGGGATGAGGCCCTCGGAAGCTGCACCCCTACACCATGGTGAGGAAAGACAGCAGCCAGGGTATTTGTTAAACTCCGCATCTCCCTTCTCTAGACCAATGCTATTTGGTTTTGCTCATAGACAGGGTCTTGCTATGTAGTCTAGGCTGGCCTTGAACTCAAGATCCTCCTGCCTCAGCTTCCTGAGAACTCTATTCTTTTTATTTTCCAGTGGTAGGGATGGAACCCAGGGCCTTTGCACTAAGCAACATCCCCAGATTTTGCTCCCCTCACACCCAACTATTGTTTAGACAGGGTCTCCTAAATAACTAAAGCTAAACTTGACCTTGTGACCCTCCTGCCTGCCTCCCAGAGTGCTGGGATCACAGGTGTGGGTCACCACCTGGCTAATGTTTGTGATCTTTACAGCCATCTCTCCAAAATGGCTATCGCCATGCAGAGGCTTCCAAAGTGGTACAACTTACCCCCTTGTATAGGCATCAGTCCAGGCCTCCCTCCAAGAACCCTCAGCTACCTGGAAACATTTATCACTTTGGAACCAGAGCCCCATGTGGAGATAAGGCCGTTGGCATCATTCTTGGCAGTGCAGGCACAAGCCACAGCCTCTCCAACAACAGGACTGAGAATGTGACACAGACGCCAACACTGCTACACACACTGTCTCTTAGTGCCATTCCAGTTGTCAAGGGCTCAGACAATTTAAATCTGATGCCTTCGAATTTGCTGAGTTTTACTTCTTTCCTCTCCAGGTTCCGGGAATTCCCCCTTATCTGCTGAGGTGAACACTTCTGTAATTCCTTTTCCAGCCTGACTGTCACACGAAAAGGCATTATTACTCTTCAGCTCAACTCAGGCCAGCTAGCCACTGGCCCCATAACTGTCCTGCAGGTTATGACCAAATAGGAAAAAAAAGAAGCTTTAGAGGGCTAGTAATGGAGCTTAGTGGGACAGCATTTGCTTAACAATAAGTACTAGGCCCTGAGTTCATTCCTCAATACTAATAAAAAACAAAACAAAAACCACCTTTAAATGATCACACTGGGGGATCTAGCTTAGCAGCAAAAGCACATGCCTGGCAAGTGCAAGGTCCTGATCCCCGGAACCAAACAAAACAAAAAACAAAACAAAACAACAACAACAAAAAACCACGCACTTGCAAGGCAAGGGCTTATGCTGCTGTGCTAAATTTCCGGCCCTTGAATGGTAGTTTTAAAAATGCTTTATCTTGCCAAAAGTAAGTCATTAGATCTCTGATGGGCCTTTTCTTTTTCTTTCTTCTTTTATACAGGGAATAAACACTAAGGGCCTCACACATGCTATGGCACAGTGCTACCACAGATCTACAGCCTTGGGTTCCAATTTTTTTCCTTTTTTTTTTTTTTTTTTTGGTACTAATTGAACTCAGGACTTAGCGCTTGGGCTTGCCAGGCAGGCACTGTGCCACTGAAGTACACCCCTGGCCCCAATGTTTCAATTTTTGTGAAGCTTGAAGTCTTTGAAGTCTGGTATCTGCCTCAGACCTACTGTCTTGAGTGTTCTTACCCCATCTGTGGCTGCTAAAAAAACCTCTGACAGCACCCTACCACCTGCAGCAGTGAAATAACTTTCAGGAACTGCATACAGTAGTGTCATTTTATTCAGTCCCCTAACGAGGATAAACTTGGCACCAAAACCTCCATTCTACAATGTATAGGCAAGTCAAGTAGCTCTCCTCCTCATCCTCTGCATGTCCATGCTTCCTTAGCAATACATGACCTCATACAGAAACGTGGAAGGTACAACCGGGGAGAAAATACATTGACACAATCATTCTACAAGACAATCAGAAAGAAAAAAAAATAATCAAGCAACAAATAAAGGTATTTTAAATGTACATTTCAGCCAGGCATGGTGGTGCATGCCTGTGATCCCATTACTCAGGAGGCTGAGGCAGAAGGATTGCTCAGAGTTCAAGGCCAACCTGAACTACATATCAAGACCTTATCTCAAAAAGAAAAAGACACAAAGGGGTCTGGGGATTTAGCTCAGTGGCATGACCGCCTGGTGACAAGTTCGAGGTCGTTTGATTCCTGGCACAAAAAACAACAAAAAACCTCAGAAAAGTACATTTCATTTAAAGATATTTCTTTCCAAAAAAAAAAAAAAATAGGTATATATACGGATGTATGGATGTGACTATGCAGGTCCTCAAGGTTTTCACACTGGGCTACATCCTTCCCTCACCCCCTTTTTTTAAAGACAGCGTTTTGCTAAATCGTCTAAGCTGGGCTTGAACTTGTGATCCTCTGCCTGTCTCATAAAGTGCTGGGCACAAAGGCACACGCTTTGTATACTGCTTAGTACTTTTTTTTTTTTTTTTTTTTTTGTCTTTCTGAGACAAGGTCTCACTATACAGTTCAGGCTGGCCTTGAGCCCACTTTGTAGCCCAGGCTGGTCTCGAACTCGCAATGATCCTCCCGCCTCAGCTTCCTGAGTGCAGGGATGATAGGTGAGCGCCACCACGCTATGCTTGCTTTGTATTTTACAATACAGCATACAACCCCTCAGCTAATCTTAAAATTTAAGGGACAAGGCATTCATTTCTCTCTTCAGACGGCCAATGAGTAAGTTTATCCAGTTCTCTGCCCCTGGTCACACAACCCTCTGCAGACTCCCTGACCAGCTACCTACCTCAGGTCATTCTTCAGTTCCACGACCACATCCTTGCCCACAAGGGACTTGAAAAAGGAGTAGAAGAGCTATTGGGCAAGAGAGGGAAAACCATCACACGGGAAAGGAGAGGGCCGCGGCAGGGAGGAGCGGCCCTACCGTCCCGCCGGCCGCCCGCGCCCCCGCCGGCGCGCCCTTGTGACGTCACGGTACCCACCATGGTGAGGGCGCCGCGCGCTACAGGCGGAGCGGGAAGAAAAGGGCCCGGTGGCGCCACGGGCCGCAGGCCGGGCTGAAACCGGAGCGCGAGCCCGCACGTGAGGTGGGACAGGCTCACGCAGGCGCGGGGGAAGCGCCGCGGAAAGCTCCCAAGCGCGGATAGAAAGAACGCGGCGGACGCGTGGACCGCGGAGAGTCAGTGGGGGAGACCGGAGGGGGGCCCTCTGAAGCCGGAAGAGGGGCGTGGCCTCTCCCGACTTCCGTTCCGGGCGGGCGTCTTCCACTGCGCACGCGCCAGGCGAGCAGCTAGCTAGGGTTTAACCCCGCAGGTTTTCCCACTTTTTAGCCAAAAGGTTAAAAACCTATAATGTAAGGTTTTAGTTACTTTTTATGTCTGGGTCACGTGTGCTGTTTTGCTTACACCCTATACGTATTTCCCGTTGAGAACTGTTAGGCACTACCTACGTGAAAATTCTATGTACACTCTGATAAAATGAGTTCTCCGAGATCAGGGAGAGTCTGAGTACAAATCTTAGCTTTTATCCAAAGACCCCGTTGAATATGTTTCTCCCAAACTTAGGCTCCATTTTGTTTTCTTTTGGTGCTAGGATGAATCCAGGGCCTCAAGCACACTACATGTGTACTCTACCACTAGTGTGTCTCCATATTAAATTGTTTTCCCAAAGACTGTCCTGTAAAGACTCCCTTAAACAATAACTTACTATAAAAATGCCCCATTCCCCCTCCCTCAACTACTGGGGATTGAACACAGTCTCCACACTACATCCCCATCTGCTTTTTTATTCCTACTTTTTTTACTTATTTTTGTCTTTGAGACAGGGTTTTGCTATGCAGTTCAGGCTGGCCTTGAACTCACTTCATAGTCCAGGCTGGCCTCAAACTCATGATGGTCTTCCCACCTCAAACTCCTGAGTTCTGGGATTACAGGTGTATGCCACTACACCCCACTAGAAAGGATTCTAGTATTTCTCTTCCAAATAATATCCTCTTAAAATACAGAGGGACATATATGGTTATCTACATGTCCATATTCATGTCTCTCAAGTTTTTATGAATATGTGAAATAAGTACAAAAAAATTTATACAGTAAGACTGCAAAAGTACTTCATTTCTCATGTTGCATAAAAGTGCATTGTTAGGGATTTACTGTAGAAATATTTTCTGCATGTAAAGGATGAAATACTGGATTCTGTAAAAGCACAGGTACTGATATGGACCCTAACCACAATGACATCCAGACATCAACAGTGTCTGCCCCTCCCGGCTGCTCAGCTGAAGTCTAAACCGATTATCACTGGTTATAAGCAAAACCATAGCAAAAGCTTCATCTGTGCCACAAGTGTCTGAGAAGCATTTTTGTTTGAAACAATGAGCTCATAAAAATCCAAATACTTTCCCCTTGCCAATTTAATCATTCACAACGAGCTCACAGAGAACACATGTTCCCCATTATCTGTCCTTTACTTTTCAACGTACACTTACAGCCTAAAGATACCAGAAGTAATTGCCTTTAGGAATAAATTTACTGAGTGACAATCATCCACGTGGGAAGGAGACAGTTGGTGTGGCTGGAAATAAACGAGACATTCAAAATCACCAGATGCTTGAAGAGGGTCTAGCTTTCCTTAAAAAGTCCATTTCAGAGCCACAGACAAGATGGTGCAGTATGAAAGGATGATTTTTGAGACTTCTCTGTCAGAATCCCAAAGGGATGGTAACTTAGGTTCAGGTCCAGTCAATTCAAGAATCAGAAGAATATTTGAAGAGGAAAGAAATAAAATTCACCTAGATGCACCCCCAGAACCCTCTAGTTCTATAAAGCACTAATCTACTTCTTCGATGGTAGGGCCTGTTGCAGCAGATCTTCCGGGTGTGTACCCCATTCCACATGTAGGCCCAGTACATCCGCTCTGGTAGAGCTTTGTGATGATCGGGTTACACACCTGCTCCAGTTCTTTCCTCTTGTGATCAAACTCTTCCTTCTCAGCCAGCTGATTGACCTCCAGCCAGGAGAGGGCCTCACAGCATTTACTCAGTATTTTCTTTTTATCAGACTCGCTAACCTTGTCTTTCAGACCATCATCGCTCATGGCACTCTTCATGTTATAAGCATAGGACTCTAAAGCATTTTTTGCAGCAATTTTTTCCCTTTGGGCCTCGTCCTCCGCCTTGTACTTCTCCGCCTCCTGCACCATGCGCTCGATCTCCTCCTTGCTCAGGCGGCCCTTGTCGTTGGTGATGGTGATCTTGTTGGCCTTGCCAGTGCTCTTGTCGGTGGCCGTGACGTTGAGGATGCCGTTGGCGTCGATGTCGAAGGTCACCTCGATCTGAGGAACCCCTCTGGGAGCGGGGGGAATTCCAGTCAAGTCAAAACGGCCCAGCAGGTTGTTATCCTTCGTCATGGCACGTTCACCCTCGTACACCTGGATCAGCACCCCGGGCTGGTTGTCAGAATATGTGGTAAAGATCTGCGTTTGCTTGGTGGGGATGGTGGAGTTGCGCTTGATCAGGACAGTCATCACACCACCTGCCGTCTCCAATCCCAGGGACAGGGGCGCCACATCCAGCAAAAGCAGATCCTGCACCTTTTCGGACTTGTCCCCCATCAAAATAGCTGCCTGTACTGCAGCCCCGTAGGCTACTGCTTCATCAGGGTTGATGCTCTTGTTGAGATCACGGCCGTTAAAATAGTCCTGAAGCAGCTTCTGCACCTTAGGGATGCGTGTGGAGCCACCTACTAACACAATGTCATGGATGTTAGCCTTGTCCATCTTGGCATCCCGGAGAGCCTTCTCCACGGGCTCCAGGGTGCCCCTAAACAGGTCTGCACACAACTCTTCAAACCGGGCTCTGGTGATGGATGTGTAGAAGTCAACACCTTCAAAAAGTGAATCGATCTCCAGGTTGGCCTGGGTGCTGGAAGACAGCGTCCTCTTGGCCCGCTCGCAGGCGGTGCGCAGCCGCCTCACCGCCCGCTTGTTCTGGCTGATGTCCTTCTTGTGCTTCCTCTTGAACTCCTCCACGAAGTGGCTGACAAGCCGGTTGTCGAAGTCCTCCCCGCCCAGGTGTGTGTCACCCGCCGTGGCCTTCACCTCGAAGATGCCGTCGTCGATGGTCAGGATGGACACGTCGAACGTGCCGCCGCCCAGGTCGAAGATGAGGACGTGTCTCTCTCCCTGACCTGCTTTATCCAAACCGTAGGCAATGGCAGCAGCTGTGGGCTCGTTGATGATTCTGAGCACATTGAGTCCTGCGATCACACCTGCATCCTTGGTGGCTTGGCGCTGAGAGTCATTGAAATAGGCTGGCACAGTGATCACGGCATTGGTGATAGGGTGGCCCAAAAAGGCCTCTGCAGTCTCCTTCATCTTTGTCAGCACCATTGATGAGATCTCCTCGGGGTAGAAAGCTTTATTCTCCCCTTTGTAGGACACCACCACCTTGGGCTTGCCTCCTTCATTGATCACTTGAAAAGGCCAAAGCTTCATATCTGACTGCACAACAGGATCGTTGAACTTCCGGCCGATCAGACGTTTGGCATCAAAGACGGTGTTCTGGGGATTCATGGCCACCTGGTTCTTGGCCGCATCCCCGATCAGCCGCTCGGTGTCAGTAAACGCCACGTAGCTGGGGGTGGTGCGGTTGCCCTGGTCGTTGGCGATGATCTCCACTTTGCCGTGCTGGAACACCCCCACACATGAGTAGGTGGTGCCCAAGTCGATGCCAATTGCCATTCCCTTAGCAGTAGCCATGTTTGTCCGAGACCTGTGCAGAAAGAATGAGATACCTTCTCAAAGAAGTGCTTTTTAATTTTTTTACTTAATAGCATATTTTTTTTTTGTCTTTTTCATTTTTACCGGTACCGGGGATCAAACTCACAACCGCCTGCTTGCAAGACAGGTACTTATGCCCCTTAGCTAAATCCCCAACCCCCAATAGCATAATTTTATAAGATGTACTGATTAGTTTTCAAATGCAAGAATATACGAATAAACACAATATGTGTACCATTGTTGCCCCTGATATATTTTGAAATTTTGTTTTAGTCTTTTTTCTTTTGTCTTCTTTTTTGCTTTATCCTTGAAATAAAATGAATTTGGAAAAAAATAAAAAGAAAAAAACAAAAAGAAAAAAGAATTAAACATACCAGGGCTGGGGTATAGCTCAGCAGACAGCGCTTGCCTGGCAAGCAGGAGGTCATGAGTTCAATTTCCTGTACCGAAAAAAAATAATAATAAACACACCCAAGTCTCACTAGCCCTTTCATGACAGGGCTTCTTCCAAAAAGCTGGAAACTCCTCTTTTTTTTTCTTTTATGATACTGGAGGCTGAACCCAGGTCCTTCACTTTGAACTACAACTCCAGCCCTCCTTTTTGTTTGTTTTTGCTTTTTAGACAAGAGTTTCACTAAATTGCTAAACTGCTCAGGCTGAGTTTGAACTAATGTTCCTCCTTCCTCAGCCTCCAAGAGTGTTGAGGTCACAGGCATATGCTTTGTGATACATGGCTTGGCCTTGAATTTGTGTCCCTCCTGCTTCAGCCTCCTGAGTAGCTGGGATTACAGACGTGGGCCACCTGGCACACTGTGCCCCACTGGAGCTCCTTTGTTCTTTTACAGTTCTGGGGATTGAGCCCACACCCTTTTGCCAAAACCCTTACAATCGTCCACTGAGCTACACTGCCAGCACTCCCAGAACGAAAATCCTAGATTCCACGCAGTTGCCACCTCCCAAGTATAAGCACTTGTTTCAGGACAACCCCAGCTGCTGCGGTGTTTCCTCGTGTGTCTCTGCCACCCACACCCATGGGCTGTAGTCCTTCTGGGGAGGCTGATCACACGGCAGCGCGACACAGGGCACATGCTGTCACTGCCCTTCCATGCAGACACTGCTCCATAGAGAAGGCTGAGGCCTTGAACCCGCGCTGCTCTCAGCCTCCACGCATCCCGGGGGCTGTGCATTTACACAGCAGGAGCGTGTTTCTTCATGATGAACTAAAGGAAACTTTCACAGGTGCCAGGCATATTCCTAGGAAGCACTTGCCGTGGAAATGGGGGTCTCTGCTTTCAGTCTCTGGGGTGCTGGCTGCTCAGCTGTGTTTTCCTGGACCAACAGGAGCTCCTGAAGATGTGGTTAATTTTGGGTGCACCACCTCAGAAGCAGTCCTGTGTGCTCCTTTCCAACATCTCTGACCAAAGTGCTCGCTGCCTCTACTGGTTCACAATTTGTGTGTGTGGGGGGAGTGCACATGTGGGTATGGGTGTGTATGTAGGTGTGGCCATGTATGTATGCATTGCATATATGGGGGTGGCCGTGTGTGTCTGTGTGTATGGATATATGTGCATAAGTATGTGCATGTATGTGTGGACGGATGGATGTGTGTGGGTGGCTGCATGTGTGTGAGTATACAGGTGTGTGTGTGGGACTGTGGGGGGTTAGTGTGGGGGTGGGGGTGTATATGTATGTGTGTGTATATGTGTGAGTGGATCTGGGGGTGTGTGCAGTACACTGCTGGGGGTTGAGCCCCGAGTCTGCACTGAGTCACATCTCCAGCTTCCATGTCCATACCTTTTCTTTTTTTTTTTTCTTGGTTTTATGAGACAAGCCTTGCCATGGTTCCACACTGGCCTTAAACTCACTGTCCTATGGCCTGAGACTCCCAGTGTGCTGGGACTACAGATGTGCACCATCAGACCCAGCATGGGCACTGGTTTTTGTTCTTGGTAGCACTCTGTTCCTCTTTGGGTGTTTGCACACAAAATTCTGCACTTTCTGCCTCAAGCTCTGTGGCTTGGTGTTCACCTTGTCCAGTGGGGTTCTGGCAGAATCTGTCAAGTGTCCCAGCACTGGAGCTGCTCTGGAGTGACAGCCCTGAACTGCAGCCCATGGGGAGGCCAATGACTGGGTCTCCACGCCATGCCTCAGCTGCCCTAGTTTGCTGGCTCTGAACTTCAAGGAGACCAACACAGCATCCAGGCAGAAGAGGTGCAGAACAGGGAGGCAGAGGAGAAAAGTCCTAAGGAGACAGTGGCAAAGGTGCACGTGGCAGTGCTAAGGGAGCAGGGTTGCTGTGTCTTTTTTTTGTGTGTGTGTGTGTGTGTGTGTGTGTGTAAAATATGTAAACATGCATTTATCATCTTAACAATTTTTATGGTGCTGGGAACTGAACCCAAAGCCTCATACAGTCTAGGCAAGTGTCCTATCACTGAACCATATCCCAGGCCCATCCTAATCTTTTTTTTTTTGGCACTAAGGATCAAACTCATGACAGCATTTGCCAAGCAGACACCTAAACCTCTGAACTAAACCCCCGGCCCCTCCCTATCTTAATCTTAACTGTTTTTGTTTTTGTTTTTGTTTTTGTTTTTGAGATAATATCTTTTTCTTTGGTATCAGGAATCAAACTCATGACCTCACACCCTCACACTTGCCAGGCAAGCACTGTGCCACTGAGCTATATCCCCAGGCCTTGAGATAGGATCTTTTTTTTTTTTTTATCAGTACCAGGGATCGAACTCACGACCATCTGTTTGCAAGGCAGGTGCTTATGCTGCTGAGCTAAATCCCCAGCCCAAGATAGGATCTTACAAAACTGAAAATAAATCCATTAAACAACTCCCCATTCATACTCTACAGTTCTCATCAGCAATGTATTTGACTACTCTTTTTTTTCTGTCTTTTTGAAACAGGATCTCACTATGTAGTTCAGGCTGGCCTTGGGCTCACTTTATAGCCCATGCTGATCTCCAATTTGCAAATGATTCTCCTGCCTCAGCCTCCCAAGTGCTGGGATTACAGGAGGGTGCCACCATGTCCAACTCAACTACTCTTAGCACCTGCCTCATAATGGTACAATGGGAGATTAAAATATGTAATGAGTATTTAAATTTTTAAAATAGTGACCAGCTAATGTCGTACACATCTGCAATTCCAACCCTTGGGAGGATACGGCAAAGGGACTGGCACAAACTCAAGGCCAGCATGAGCTACATAGTGAGTTCAAAATCTGTCTGAATTACAAAGCTAGATCTTTTGTCTAAAATCAAAACCAAAACAAAATTACATTAAAAGATACATTACCACTAATCTCCCTCAAAATACTCCCCTCACACACACTTCAAGCATTAATCCCATTATTATTGCCACTTTCTGTAGGTCTAGAAGTCCTCGTTCAGGTCTGAGGTATGATTAAAAACAAAAAATAAAAAAGCTGTGAATGCTACTGTCCAGCACCAACCAACAGAGACCGGCAGGCTCACAAAGAGGTTTTTTGGTGTTTTGGCCCCACCCACCTTCTTCACTGGATCTGTTGTGGTGTTATTCCCCCCCCCCCCGCCCCTTCCCAGTCAATATAACACGCAAAGTAAATCCCTTGAATTGATTTGGAACACTGTGTGGCCACAGCAGTACAACTAAAGGCACTCTCGGTGGGTGTGGGCACATACACCTGTAATACCAGCATTTGGGAGGCTGAGGCAGGATTATCACCTTGAGTCAAAGCTGGTCTGACTCAAGTCATAATGAGACCGTGTCTCCAAAAACAAAACAAAGAATAAAGGCACCAATAAGGTGACTTCCAAACTCCTTTAGAAAGTGGCAAGAATGGGGCATGTGCACTCAACATGAGAGTATTTTGAGGGGGCCAAATGGCAGTATGTCTTTTAGTGTGATTTTTAAAAAAATTTAAACAGTCATTGGTCAGGTTGAGGAAGGGGTAACAAAGAGGCAGGAGCCCAGCCTGGGTATTTTAGCCACTTAACACTCTTGTCTTAAAAAGGGGGCAGAGTGTAGCTCAGTGTGAATGCCCTGTTCAACCCCAGTAATACCAAATAAACATAAACTGTCAACCAGGCGTGGTGACACATGATTGTAATCCCAGCATGTGGGAGGCTGGAGCACAAAGATCATTGGAATCAGCGTGAGGCCAGACTGGGCTCCCAGTAAAACCCTGGCCAAAAAAAAAAAAAAAAAAAACTCTATTGTTCAATCACACTTCCTACATGGAATTATACAGTGTTTGTCCTTTTGTGACTTGGCTTATTTCACTCAGCATGTTTTCAGTTTTCCTTGTGAGGTAGCATGTTCAGGACTTCTAAGCTTGAGTAATCTTCCTCCTAAGTGTATACCACCCTTTGCCTGCTATTCCTGACTCCTGAGGCACCAGGTTCTTTCCACTTGTAGGCTGTTGATGAGACAATGTTGTTCTGAACATCAGGACATAAACAAGGCAAAGTGCTTACCGGCACAGTAGACAAAGGTGTCAGGGAGCTGGGATTCAAATTTCGTGCTCTTGTCTCTAACAGATTTTACTGTAGGATCCTACCGGGTTCCTGTGGAACTAAGATTACCTTCCTTTCTGAACTCCTAAAGAGGCATTAACTTGCCTTGCTTCTTTGCCCTCTTAGGTATCCGTGATTCAGGCCAGTTGAGTTCGGCTGTTAGCAACTCCGACAGGCTGTCACAAGGGTTTTCAGAGAAGTAGTTGCTCTGTCCTTTTCCTGTGCACACGCTCTGCGATATGGAGCCAGTGACACACGCTGGAAGGGGGGAGGGTTTCCTGCCCACCTTATGTCCACACCAGTTCCCGGGCTACACCCTAACTTCTCTGGCTATAACCAATTCCAGCCCCCTGCCACTTTGAAGGTTTCCTCTCTGCCTGGCCCCCCAGTATCCCGACACTGCGGACTAAAACCAGCAAGCGAACTTTGCAGGCTTTTCCCCAACCCACTCTTGGGCTTTAGATTCCTACGCAATCCGGATGTGACCCCTCCCTCCTCACCTGGTCCCTCGCCGCCTGTGATCCAGTTTGGAAACCTGTAGAGTGCGGAGCCCCTGAGCGTGGGAACCCCTCGAACATTCAAATCCTGCAGCTCAGCGCCCCCCACCCCCCTCCCGCCCTGCCCTGGACTGGGGCGCCCGGGTGCGGCCGCCAGGACCCTCAGCTGGCGCTGAGGTCAGAAACGCCTCGCCATTGTAACGCGGCGGGGCGCAGTTTCGTCATCAGCAGGACCACGCCCGCTCCCCGCTTCTCGGGAGCTGCGGGCCGCACAGAGGCCGGCGCTCCTTGTCCAGGACGGACCCGGGTGCGGACTAGGGCGGGGGCACCGTCCTTCCCTCCCGTCCTCCGGGGACCTTTTCTCCCTAAAGACCATTTGTTTACGAACCTCGTCTCGTAAAAACAAAGTGCCTCTAACACAGATTTTAATCCTTGTAAGGGTCTGTTTCCTTTTGATTTGATTTCTTATTTTGAGACTGGGAATCCCTGTGCAATTCGCCCTGGTCCTGATTTCACTATGTGGCCCAGGCTGGCCTCAAACTCGCCGCGATTCTGCCTCAGTCTTCTGAGTGTTGAAATTACAAATGTGAGGCACCACGCCCGGCATAACCTTGTAAGGTTAAAAATGATATTTAAAAAAAAAAAAACTGCATGGCGCTTTCTCCCGCATTCCAAAGGCACCACCGACCCATGCCTTCTAGTTCTGTCGCCCGTCCAGGATAAATCAGCCTCGGACTCTAGCTAACCCGCCTCCTTCAAAAATTCCGGCATTCCGCTTATTGGGTCTGCACTATCACAGACGCCGGTCCATTCGCAGCCAGCAAACGCCCACCTCCCACAGCCCAGCAGTCCAACCAGCCAGTCGCTGACCCATCCGCCCAGCCCTGGCTCAAGCGCCCAGCTGGCCACCGGGTCGCCATGGAGACCGGGGAAACTACAGTCTCCCGCCCCGCCTGCCGAGTCCAACTTCCTCCAGTAAAGCTCTGGCTAGCTCTTGCACAACCCAGAAACCTCTGGAGAGTTCCGAGAAGGGGCGGTACCCTCGCCTCTGATTGGTCCAAGGACCACGGGTGGGCAGGACCCAAGAAGAAACCCCTGGAACGTTCCGGGATCGCTAGCCCCGCTGCGGCCGCTGATTGGCCGGGAGCGAGTAGGCGGGACTCGTCCATGAATTATAAAAAATGCAGCGCACAGGTCCCAGAGAAACACCCGGCCTCGCTGTGCTCTGTAAAGGGTTTGGCGCTTCCCGTGAACGCCCAGCGGAGCGCTTAGCTTTGGGATCCCGTACTCTGCACTCAGCAAAGAGCCAGCTTCTCGTCGCGCAGCGCATCGACCAACTCCGGCGTAGACCCCAGCGCGGAGGCGACGGCCAGCACCGACATGGCCAAGACCACAGCGATCGGCATCGACCTGGGCACCACCTACTCGTGCGTGGGGGTGTTCCAGCACGGCAAGGTGGAGATCATCGCCAACGACCAGGGCAACCGCACCACCCCCAGCTACGTGGCGTTCACTGACACCGAGCGGCTGATCGGGGATGCGGCCAAGAACCAGGTGGCGCTGAACCCGCAGAATACGGTGTTCGACGCGAAGCGGCTGATCGGCCGCAAGTTCGGCGACCCGGTGGTGCAGGCCGACATGAAGCACTGGCCCTTCCAGGTGATCAACGAGGGCGACAAGCCCAAGGTGCGGGTGAGCTACAAGGGCGAGACCAAGGCCTTCTACCCCGAGGAGATCTCGTCCATGGTGCTGACGAAGATGAAGGAGATCGCGGAGGCGTACCTGGGCTACCCGGTGAGCAACGCGGTGATCACCGTGCCCGCCTACTTCAACGACTCGCAGCGGCAGGCCACGAAGGACGCGGGCGTGATCGCGGGCCTGAACGTGCTGCGGATCATCAACGAGCCCACGGCGGCCGCCATCGCCTACGGGCTGGACCGCACGGGCAAGGGGGAGCGCAACGTGCTCATCTTCGACCTGGGCGGCGGCACGTTCGACGTGTCCATCCTGACCATCGACGACGGCATCTTCGAGGTGAAGGCCACGGCGGGCGACACGCACCTGGGCGGGGAGGACTTCGATAACCGGCTGGTGAACCACTTCGTGGAGGAGTTCAAGAGGAAGCACAAGAAGGACATCAGCCAGAACAAGCGGGCGGTGAGGCGGCTGCGCACCGCCTGCGAGCGCGCCAAGAGGACGCTGTCGTCCAGCACGCAGGCCAGCCTGGAGATCGACTCGCTGTTCGAGGGCATCGACTTCTACACGTCCATCACGCGCGCGCGCTTCGAGGAGCTGTGCTCGGACCTGTTCCGGGGCACCCTGGAGCCCGTGGAGAAGGCGCTGCGCGACGCCAAGCTGGACAAGGCGCAGATCCACGACCTGGTGCTGGTGGGCGGCTCCACGCGCATCCCCAAGGTGCAGAAGCTGCTGCAGGACTTCTTCAACGGGCGCGACCTCAACAAGAGCATCAACCCCGACGAGGCGGTGGCCTACGGGGCGGCGGTGCAGGCGGCCATCCTGATGGGCGACAAGTCTGAGAACGTGCAGGACCTGCTGCTGCTGGACGTGGCGCCCCTGTCGCTGGGGCTGGAGACGGCGGGCGGCGTGATGACGGCGCTGATCAAGCGCAACTCCACCATCCCCACCAAGCAGACGCAGATCTTCACCACCTACTCGGACAACCAGCCCGGGGTGCTGATCCAGGTGTACGAGGGCGAGCGCGCCATGACGCGCGACAACAACCTGCTGGGTCGCTTCGAGCTCAGCGGCATCCCGCCGGCGCCACGCGGCGTTCCCCAGATCGAGGTGACCTTCGACATCGACGCCAACGGCATCCTCAACGTCACGGCCACCGACAAGAGCACCGGCAAGGCCAACAAGATCACCATCACCAACGACAAGGGCCGCCTGAGCAAGGAGGAGATCGAGCGCATGGTGCAGGAGGCGGAGAAGTACAAGGCGGAGGACGAGGCGCAGCGCGAGCGCGTGGCGGCCAAGAACGCGCTGGAGTCCTACGCCTTCAACATGAAGAGCGCCGTGGAGGACGAGGGTCTGCGCGGCAAGCTCAGCGAGGCCGACCGCAAGAAGGTGCTGGACAAGTGCCAGGAGGTGCTGTCGTGGCTGGACGCCAACAGCCTGGCCGAGAAGGATGAGTTCGAGCACAAGAGGAAGGAGCTGGAGCAGGTGTGTAGCCCGATCATCAGCGGACTCTATCAGGGTGCGGGCGGCGCGGGGGCTGGCGGCTTCGGGGCGCAGGCGCCCAAGGGGGGCTCTGGCTCGGGCCCCACCATCGAGGAGGTGGATTAGGTGCCCCGTGGCCCGTCCCGTCCCGTCCCGTCTCTCCAGCCTCTCTGCGAGTCCCTTCCTCTGGGACAGGCGGGCTGTTGGACTCGGGGGACCCCGCGGTTGCTCTGTGCTGTGTAACTCGGGTCTCTGTGTTTGATGGTGTTGTGGAGTTAAGCAGCCACCTGACGGATCGGGGCGCTGCGTCTCGCGTCTCCCGTCCTTGGTGCTGTAAATCATGTTATGTAGTTTTATTGTAAGTGCTAGAAGGATGTTTTTATGGTCTTCCCACCAACTATTCAATACTGTCCCCTTTTGTACAATTTTTTTGCTTGCAACAGGCCAATAATAAGGCTAATTACGATTTGTAATTTATGTGATGATTAAAAGATTTAAAGATATTAGTAGACTGTACCGGGATGGGTGGTCTGGGGACCGTTTTTGTGGGCTCAGGCTCCTGTGTTCCTAGTCTGCTCTGTTCTTGAGAATGTGGATTAGACCCACAAGTTCACAGTCGTGCTTGTGTTGTAGATGTTTGGAGTCACTAGTTGCCTTTCTCATATTGCCTATTTGTATGTAAAGTTATACAATATTTTGTCGTTGAGCTGTGGAACACGCTGTTTATCAATATCCTGATTTGGAGACGAATTTATACTGTGGCATTGTTTTCAGTTTTCTTTTTTGCACACTCTGAACCCAAGCTAGTTGTTTTCATTGGTCATTTTAAAATAAAAAAAAAAAAACGCTAAAGTTTGACTGATGTTTGCCTGTTTTTATATGATGAAATCAGAAGTTCCTGCACTGGTTGTTTTAAGGTTTCTAAAATTGAGTGGCAGTTTGTCCAAGGTAAGGGGCAGGGAACTGGGGAAGGAGGCAGCATTGGGTTCCAGCCCCTTTGTGTTAGCCAGAGGCCGGCTTTACTCAGAGCCGTCAACCCTGGGCTAGGAGTGTGGCTCAGTGTAGAGTGCTCACCCAGCCTGGGGAGGATCAAATTCAAGTCCCAAGAGCAAGAGGGAGGCAAAAGAAGAACCCAGACTGTGCCCTCAGGGTGGTCCAGGTGTGGACCACTAGAGTAGGCAGGAAGGGCTGTGGGAGGGGTCCTAAGGAGTAAGAATTGACCCTGAGCTCCTGTGGGTAAGAGCTCTAGCTTCTGGAGTTTGTGTTCTTAACTTTAAGTGCTTTTAACTACTGATTCCACTTCAAGTGGAAGTTTTGGCTGAAGCTTTTTGTAGTTTTAACTAAAAAGATAAGTAAACAGAAAGGCCACTCGAGGGCCGGGTGTGATGGTTCACGCCTGTAATCCCAATACTGGGGAGGCTGAGGCAGGAGGATCCTTGTGAGTTTGAGACCAGCCTAGGCTACAAAGTGAGCTCAAGGCAACCTAAACTGTATAGAGAGACCCTGTCTCAAAAAGACCAAAAAAAAAAAAAAAAAAAAAAAAAAAAAAAGGTCACTCGTAGTGGCTGTCCCCTATCCAGTGTGTCCGGGAATTTTCATTTCAGCTCTGGAGTGCCTTAATGGCAGAACCACCACTTTGCTGGGCCCTTGTATGTGTTACTGTTTATTAAACTTCTAATGCATCCTCCTAGGTATGGCTGATTTTAACAAATGAACATTAGGGGAACTGAAAGTTAATAGCTTAACTAAAGCTACTTAAAAGTTTAGGGAAAAACTCACTGGTTCAGCAAGGATGTTGAACCTGGGTTCCAACTCCACTTAGGGTGCTTGTCACGCAGTCCTAAACCCACTTGGGTGTGTTTATTCTGTCGTGTTCCAAGTTAACAGTTGTACCCTTGGTTTTATGGCCAGTAACCCCCAAACTTTTACAATCCTAAGCAGTTGTGCCAGATATACTATAAGAACGAGGATAAACATTTAGGATTTGTGCCAGGAATGGTAGTTCATGCCTCTAATCTCAGTACAGGGAGGCTCAGACAGGAGGACTGAGAGTTTAGGCCTCGATGGGATATGTAGTAACCTCAGGGCCAGGTGCAACCTTATAGTTTAGTATTTGTTAACTTTCTTTTTTTTTTTTTTTTTTTTTTTGGCTTTTTCGTTTTTACCGGTACCAGGGATTGAACTCATGACTGCCTGCTTTCGAGGCAGGTGCTTATGCCGCTGAGCTAAATCCCCAGCCCCCAGTATTTGTTAACTTTCAAAAGATGGTGTGTGTGTGTGTGTGTGTGTGTGTGTGTGTGTGTGTGTGTGCCAGGAAGACCTAAAGTGCAGACTTCGGTCTCTTGCACTTGTTTTCTTTTCAGATGACTTAATCACCCTCACCAACTCTTACAACTCTGAAGGCTTTGATTATGGGCTTCTGTAAAAATCAATTATAGGAGGCTGGGGATTTAGCTCAGTGGCATAAGCGCCTTGCCTTGCAAATGTGTGGTCGTGAGTTCAATCCCTGGTACCGATAAAAAAGAAAAAGACAAAAAAAAATCAACTATAGCTGGCGGGAGGGTGCACACCTATAATCCTAGTTGGGAGACTAAGATAGGAAGATCTCTGCAAGTTTGAGATCAACCTGCACTACATAGTAATACCTTATCTCAAAAAGCCAAAATTGAGGGGAGTGATCATAGAGCTGGGTGCAGTGGGAAGATCCTATGGTAATCTGAGATACTCAGGAGAATGAGCAAGGATGAGCCAGAAATCTTAAGGTCCTCCTAGGTGAACAGGTGATATCCTTGTCCCCTTTTTGCTACAAAGAATCAGTTGTAAATGGAATAGTAAAAATATTTCCATCCCAGGGCTGGGGATGTAGCTTAGAGTGGGAGAGGGCTGCTTAGCATGAATGAGGGCCTGGGTTCCATCCCCAATACCACATTGAAAAAAATGAACTACACAGATGTAAGGCTGTATAATACTGTGAATATATACCACTGCATTGCTTACTTAAAATAGTTGATTTTTTTTAAAGCCAGTCAAATTTAGCAGTGGGGGGGTGGTATACCAACTTTAGTGACACTAATAAAATAGTTGATTTTTAAAAGATAAAAAAAAGATTGATTTTATATTGGTGACTTTTTTGTGTGTGTTGGTGACTTTTTATTCAGTGCTTGAGATAGAACCCAAGCCAGGGCCTCACCCAGGCCAGGCAAGTGCTCTACTGACAAGCTGTATGTCCAGCCATTAAAGCATTTTTCAACAACAAAAGATGACAAAACACCATCAACATTATACAAAACCACTTTGTGAGCCCCTCAAGACCCATCACACCTTTCACTAAATGCTAGCTTTGAAGAAAAGGCAGTATTAGGAGAAAGACACACACTGGTAGACATTGCCTTGAAAGTCTGGAAATGGAGAGGAAATCTAAGCCAGGCATGGTGGCATATCCCAGCAGTTGGAGGCTGAGGCAGAAGTGAGTTCCAGGCCAGCCTTGAGTACATAGTGAGTTCAGGGTCATCCTGAGCTACATAACAAGACAAAAAAATATACAAATAAATTTTTAAAATCTGAGAGATGCTTAGGTTTCTGGCCAGTCAATATAGACACGTTTAACACTCATGGTAAGCTGAGATGCTGGTATACTCCTTTAATCCCAGCACTCATGAGGCTTAGGCAGGTGGATTGCTACAGATTTGAGAACAGCCTAGGCTACAAATGTGAAGTGAAGACCAGCCTGAACTGCATAGTGAGACCCTGTCTCAAAACGACAAAGAAAAAACAACAACAAAAAAAGAAAACAACACTCATGTAGGTGAACTGTATAACACTGCGAGTGCACAGTGTCAGTTACTGTGTGGGGCCATACGTTTCAGACCTTTTTCTAAAGCCCCGGTAGCATTTGTGCCTGCCATCTGCACACAACATGCTAAATGCTTAAACCAGCAGCCACTGCCCCTACTTTGGGATGAGGGCAGAGGGTAGGAGGTGAGAAAGGGTAGAGATAGGAAAGGATTTATCAAGTGTCTTTTATGAGCAATGTGGGAAATTTCCAGAAATAACCCGAAATGGATAAAACAAGAGGGTTCCTATGACCAGCTCAGTCACAGTTTTCAGTAGGTGTTTAAGAAATCAATATCAAAAGAAAAAAGAAAGAGATCAGTATCCAATGGCTTACCTGCCTACCTTACCTAGCACAGAGTACTTTGAAATAGAGTACTAATTGTAACTTCTAGATCAGACTAGGAAAATCGGAATTAGCAAACAAAGCAGTACCACTTGTAGAAGAAGCAATATTTAGGATAGCAAAAAATTTTGAAGGAGAGGAGAAAAAATTAAGTGTGCAAAGAACTTTTAAAATCAAGTATCTATCCTGGACTGGGTGTGGAAGCCCATACTCATAATCCCAGCACTCTGGAAGGCTGCGGAAGGAGGATCTCAAGTTTCCACCCAATCTAGAAAATTTAACAATTTATGGAGACCTTGGTTCAAAGTAAAAAATAACGGTCTGAGGATATGATTTCCCTGTAAAGGTTCTGCTCCCAGTACCACAGGAGGGGAGGGAAAAAAAAACCAACCAGATTCTAATCCCTTCCTGTGGTCCTATGCCCCTTCTCAGAAACAGCGGGTAAGAGATGCCTGGTGTTCGAATCTAGGATATGGCTCTATACTGGTAGTATATGGTTATTCCTGGACTTTTAAAAAGTGTATTTCTTGGGGGCTGGGGATTTAGCTCAGCGGCATAAGCACCTGCCTTGCAAGCAGGCAGTCATGAGTTCGATCCCCGGTACCGATAAAAAAGAAAAAGACGGAAAAAAAAATGTATTTCTGGGGCTGAGAATTTAGCTCAGTGGTAGAACGCTTGTCCTCAGCACCAGAAACTTAAAAGCTAAAAACAAAACAAAGAAGAAGGAAAAAAAAGTATTACTAGTACACTATGTGTTTGCAGAAAATAGCAATTGCAGTACATTAATGAGTCATCGTGGGAGTTGGTACATGTACATAACACATCTTAATATCCCTCATCTTTAGAGTTCTTTAGATTTAAAAAGAAAAGAATGGGCTGGGGATTTAGCTCAGCGGTATAAGCGCCTGCCTGGCAAGTGTGAGGAGGAGGAGGAGAAGGAGGAGAAGGAGAAGAAGGAGAAGAAGGAGAAGGAGAAGAAGGAGAAGAAGGAGAAGAAGGAGGAGGAGGAGGAGAAGGAGGAGAAGGAGGAGAAGGAGAAGGAGAAGAAGAAGAAGAAGAAGAAGAAGCAGCAGCAGCAGCATACCCAAACAAGAATATAAATTACAGCTAAGTGGTCAGGAACATGATTTCTGAAAATCGTGCACCGGGTGAAGCGCACTCATGAAGCTGAGGCAGGAGGATCGCTGAGCTTTGAGCGTGAATTACATAGTGCAGCCGGGTGTCCAAAAACCAAAGGTTATTTCATGCGAGGAGCCAATATTGGCGGCTGCCAAGGGGGCGGGCCCTGGGCACCCCTGACCTTGATCTCTCCGTAGCGCCCCACTGGGCCCGGGAGGCGGCTCAGCCAAGGATCGACCCCGGCTGACCCCAGGCCATGAGTAGGACACGGGCGTGATGACCGCCCTGAGACCGCCCCGACAGCGCCTCGGTGACGCGGGAAGGCTGAGGGGAGGGGCGCTCGGCCCGGCTTTTGAGACCGCTTAGACGACCAACATGGCGGGCTTTGTTTCTGAGAGGCAAACAGGTAAATAATTAACCAGCATGGGACAACCCTAAGGTTTTTACTTTATCCCGTGGTGAAAAAAGAAAGGAGGGCTCGAAGCCCAGTGGCCCGCCCGCCGCCCGCCCCGCCCAATCATTTCCCTAGTCCCGCCCATCCGTTTCCCCTCGTCCC